TTCGAAAAAATATCGAAACAAAAAGATCTAATACAAAATTGAATTATAAGAAACTCGGATTATTCAAAATCAAGAAAGTAAAAGGATTTTTAAATTATAAATTAGTATTATCAAAAAGTATAAATATATATCCAATATTTCATATATCCTTACTCGAATTAGTATTTTCAAAAACATTTAAAGCTTTTGAAACGGAAATCATATCTATAAATCAAAATACCAAATATAAAATGAAGAGAATACTAAATTGTAAATATATTAAAAACAAGATCAAATATTTAATAAAATAAAAAGATTACCCCGATTCTGAAAATATATAAGAATTCGAGAAAAAGATTAAATACCTAAAGCGGTTCTAAAAGTTTCATCGATAGAATCTGGATTTATTCAAAAAGAAGAAGAATTTATTGTTTTTTGTAAAGAAGAATCGAAAGAATCGAAATTGTTTATAGGATTTTCGTTGAGGTTGATAAAGTTAATTAGTAATTAACCAAATCGATCAAATTAATTAAAGCTTAATTGACCAAATTAATCAAATTGATCAAATTGATTAAATTGATCAAAAGGATCGAAAAAAGCAACAAATATAAAGGATATAATAATTTCTTATTCCTTTTCTTTTCTTTCTTTTTCTTTTAAAATATCAAATTTATTTATAGAATTCAAATCAATTATAATCATCTTTTGTTTTTGTTTATAAAGAAACTTTTGTTATTTATTAAAACGAAGAATTTGTAATATTGTTTTATTTTTTTTTGTATTTATATATTCGATTTGAATATTAATAGTTTTCTAATCAGAAATGAAGAGTATTTTGTTCAATTTACAAATATTATATGATTTATTGAGAATAGTATAATGATCATAATAACAATGCTTGGTATTGCAAAAAGAAATATATTCGATATTAATACTTTTATATCGAATATAAAGAATTATCTTCTTTTCAATCAAATTAATTTCTTATTCAAAAACTTTATAATCGATATAGGATTGAAAACGAACAAATAATATAATGAAGAAAAAAGTATTCGAGATAAATTATACAAAGAATAATGTTTCTTTTTAAATCTTATAAACGATCAAGAATGATACTTAATCAAAATAAAGATAATATTACGATTTATAGTTTTCTTTATAATAATATTATTGATATTAATGATTTATAAATCGATTACAAAGAGGATGTAATTTAACTATTGTTTTCAAGGATCTTGATTATCTAAATCTAGGATTCTAGAATTCTTAGAATAAGTATCCTAAACAACTATAATAGAATAGGACAAATATTCTATTTAATTGGTTGTAATAGGATTATCACTTTAAAGGATATTATATTCTAAAACTATAATTCCTAAAGGGAAAGCTTCTGAAATAAGTATTCTAGGAAAAGAAAGGCCTTAGGATATAAGAGGCTTCAGGATCAGTCACATGATATACTAGCTCTGCTAGCCAGTTAGCAGAGCTAGTATTACAGGAATGCTAACTGTACTAATCAGTTAGTATAACTAGTATAAGAAAAAAGATTAGTATATAATCAGAATAGTTTCATAATTTAGGAGCTTCGTACTTAACTTAGTTATCAATTAGTTTATCTACATTCCAATTGATCTAATAACACATTCATCTTCGAATGGATAATCCGTGATTATTAGCCTTAACCTACAACTACCAACTATACGAAACCCTGAGGCAGCCGCTGCCTCAACCAGATCATTACATTTTCTTTCCTTCTAATAGTATCAGTTGATAAAGGTTCTATTTTAATTCTATAGGAATTTTATTTTTTTTAATGAAATTGGGATTTATGAATATATTTATAACTTCGAAATCAATTAAAACATTAATTTGTTGATTCTTTAATTTGATTTTTATAATTAATTATTCAATTCCTATAATATTATTTAATTCTAACAATAATAGTTTAATGATTTATTCTTTGATAAGAAGATTCAGTTATTCATATTGATATTTGTTTATACTTAATAATCGATAGAGTATAATAAATAATAATCTTATTGATTCTATTTAGAAATCTCGATAATAATCTTGGTTTAATATTTCTTCGTTATCTCTATCGATTCTTTATCAAATATAACGAATCTCAGTTTGTAATAGAATCTTCTATATATTTTTAATCTCTAGATTATATTCATTATATTTCTATACTTCATTAAAAGATGAAGAATCTATATCTATAATATATCTTCTAATATTATTTACTTTAATATTTTCCTTAAATATTATACAATAAGTATTATTGTATACTACTATATAAAATATTAACAAAATAAAATAATCATAAGTTTTATATTTTTCGATAAAATTAGGTTTCTCTTCTTTATAATAACATTATATCCATTTTTCATTTAGATAATTGATTAAATACTATAGTTCATTTTCTTAAAACAAATAATGGGACTCAATTGATTATTGATCTTCTTCGAGTTTCTCGATTGATTTCTTATCTCTTGATTCGAGATCTTTTGAGGATTCTTTTTTGTAAACAATATTATTCTTAATATTGGTTTTAAGATTTTAATTATTGATATTTAATTCTTTTAGTTGTTCAAAGTTGAATTAAGATAGATTTCTTTTCAATAATCTTATTTCTTTTAAACTTCTTTTCAAGATCTTTATTTCTCGAAAATTTTATCTTTTATTCCCAAATCTTATCTGTTTTTTATTTTTTGTAATAAATAGTTTCTTCTTTTAAGAACAATCTTGGAATATATATCTGCTTTTTCTATAAGTAAAGTATAAATTATTCTTTTTATATTTTTTCTTTTTATTAGTATTTAAATTGTTTGATTTTATATAATATTGTTCAGTATTATCTAATTCTATTAGATTGTTAGTATTGTAATATTTGTTCTGATAATGAGGTTTTTGGAACTTTTTGCTTTTCTAAATGATTCCTTTCTTTTTTATTCGTTGTTTATAAAATCGATTATCAATAAGAATAAAGATTTCGATTAATTCAGAAAGGTTAGGTAATTTCAAAGCTTTCGTTAACTTATCCTTGATGATATCTTTCAATTCTTTATAAAATTGCAACTTTAGATAATCATTATTCTAGATAATATATCCAATGTATTGTTGAAATTTGGTAATATAGATTGTAATTAATCTGGTCTACTTGAATTGTTACAATACTTTTTCAATTATATAATCAAGGTTTACTTCTCTAAATACCCTATCGAATCTCTATCTGAATAATTCATAATTCAGGAATAGATAATGAATCTCAGATTTCATATTTTCGTTCAATTGATTATCAATAATCTTGATTATTAGATTATTAAAGAATAATTTAATTTAATTAAATATAGTTCTTCGAAAAAAGGAAATCAATTATAAGATTTTTTATATAGGAATTAAGAAAAGTTGTTTGTTAAAGATATAATAGAGATCAGTTTGTATAACAAAAGTTTAATGTTTATTATAATCTTTATAGAATAAATCAAAGATGAATATCTGAATTGTTTATCTATATTCTATAATAACGATAATCTGAACAAAGGCCTTGATTAAGTTGAATAAAGACAATTCAATGAATTGTTAATTGGAAATCATTATATTATATATAGTTTAACTATAATAATATTTAAAGTATAACGATCTGATCAAGATAACAGCTGTCTCAGGTTTTTGTATGATTAGTAGTTATAGGTTAAGGTTAATAATCATTGATTATCTATTCGAAAATGAATATATTATTAAATCAATTAGAATATAGATAAACTAATTGATAATTAAGTTGAATATAAAACTCTTAAATTATGAAATTATTCTGATTATATATTAATGAATATAAAGGAATTTTGTAAAATTCTAGAACTTCAAAAAGCTTCTGGAGCTCTAGGAGCTTTTGAAGCTTTCAGAGTTCTTTATTATATGATTAGAATTAGACTATATATTCAAGCTTGTTAAAAATGGGGAGATTATATGAGGCGATTATTATACAAATTTGTATACGAATCGCTTTACTTTTCGATAAGGCTTAAACTCATATGGATATGTTGATTGCTGCCCCTCAATATATCCTTATCTTAATCGTAAATCGTGATATATATAAGTCGATTACTATACAAATTTGTATAAAAATTGCCTCGCTTTTCGATAGAACCTAAGCTCATGCGGACAGACCCTATAACAATCTAATATTTTATTTTTCAATTAATCAGTATAATCTAATAAAATTTGAATTATAAATTTATTATATAATTATTAATAAATTTTCATTATTGATTTCATTGAAATTTAAAAGATTAAAATTTTAAATTTTTAATTTATATAGAATTTATATATAAATTTGAAAGATCATTAAAATCTTTAATAACTTTTCAACAAAAATAATTAAAAATAAATTATAAATTTTTTTTCCAAATATTTATATTATAATTAACTATATAAATCAATTTATTTTAAAAAAATAATTTATAAAAATCTTTTTAATCAAAATATTAATAATTTTAATTTTTATAAAATTTAAAAATATTAATAAAAGTTTTCTTTATAATTTAAAATTTAAAAATTTAATTTAATCAATCGATTATAATATAAATATTTAAAAAGAATTTTTAATTTATTTTTAATATTTTTGATTGAAAAGTTATTTCAAATTTTAACGATTTTTAAATTTGTATATAAATCTTATATAAATTTAAAATCATAATGTCAACTTTTAATTTCTCAATCAATAAAATCGTGAAAATTCTAAAAATTTCAAAATCTACTAATAATTATATAATAAATCTACAATTAAGATTTCAATTGATTTCATTCATTTGTTATTGAAATATTAATAGTTGAAAATGATGATTTTTGATGTAAAAGAGTGGCCGAAAAGAGGGGTACTAGACTTAATGAATAATTCACAATTGATAATTAACAATTATAAAACAATGTAATGATTAAAAGATACAGTACAAGGGCTTATACATGATATATATACACAATACAGTAATTATTCTATTTTCGCTTGGGATTGGGATTGGATGCAAGGTGATGAGGTGAGATGAGGGGTCTAAAGGTGATTATGGAGGGGTAAGTGGATCTGCTGGGCCTATGATTAAAGAGGGAGAAATGAAATAAGCTCTTTGATTTGAAATGTTGGAAAGATTCACGGAAACAATATTTATTCATGTATTGTTCGTGAAACACAAGACCCTATTCTGATAGCCATTAAAAGATACCTAGAGTGGAAAATGATATCTCATTTTTGGCCCTTCCTTGTAATCATGATGGAGTCATAGAAATTCGCCATTTCTAGCGAACAAAACAAGAGATATCTTACAGACAAGAATAATGAAATTGAAAGTAAAATCATCTTGAGCCATAAACACCTCAATTTTCGCATTCCTTATTTCGTACAAGAAAGAATTGACTCCATATTGTTGACGTAAGCTGTTTCAAAACAACTCAATTGCACATGGTTTATACCATGCATCGGTAGTCAAGAATGAAAATAAAAGTGGATGAGAAAAATCGAAGTATGAAGAACTAGAAATGTTTATGCTTGGGCTTGGGCTTTAGCAAGGCGAGCTTTGACTGGGTCATGCTTGTAAACTGTCTTGTACTCTTGGATGTATCGCGCGTCATCAGCTGCAGAGGCTTCCTGAAGAGGCTATCAATGTGTTAGGGGCATAATCTAATAGAACTGGAACATCAATGTTGTGACTTACCTTGAGCTGCGCAGGCGACAACTCCTTGAACTCTTGTGCAATACGTTTCATGGCCTCGGTGACCCTAATACCAGCAAAATCACCAGATTGAAATCGCTCTTTCACGAACATGATCATAGGTCTCATAGGTCTCTTCACCATTCGATCATCTTTGATGAGTCTTGGAGAGGAAGTTTTGCTGGTCAATCTTCGAATGTGTTGACGTGCAAGATTTGCCAGACGAATTTCCTCTGGAGTATGACTCTCAACCCAATTCTTGTAGGCAATAGCATTGGCAGCTTTGTTCTCATTTGCGATGTGATTGAGTCTCTGTAATGTGATTAGCATGGCCTTACGAGAAGGAAAAGTGTGTTTATCACCTCCAATTCTGCCGTCGACACCGATTTATATTTCGCTGACGCCTCCTTCGACGCCGCGGTGATATCATTACTACCAGTAGCCAACTCAAGATTCAATACTCTATAGGCACTCTGGGGCTTCTCTTTTGGATTTTCTGAAATTAACGCAGCAACCTTCAATTCCCGCAGCTTCTTTCTCAACTTTTGTGAATCGGTCAATGGCGTCTTTGCCTTTTTTGCTTTCTTCGGCTTAGCCTTAAGCGTCTTCTTCACTGGCTTCTTGGCTGACTTCTTGGCTAACTTCTTGGCTGCTGGCTTCTTCGCAGCTTTTTTGATGGGCTTTTTGACAACAGTTTTCTTTGCAGCAGGTTCCTTGGTAGTGGATTTCTTTGCAGGTACCTCCTTCGTAGCTGGTTTCTTTGCAGTTGTAGTTTTAGTTTGGGTAGCTTTGGTGGCAGTAGCATACGATCGACGCGCCGGGAAAGATGCTGAGGGAGCTTTCAGGACTGATTCGACATTTTGTTGACCTTCAACGCGTTGCAATTGCCAAAAAGTAGCAAGAAATCGGTTTGTTGATACGTGAGATCCGCTGATTCTCTTGATAGCTGCACGACCAATGTTGGACAGCATGATGATTGTTGAAACGTGGTAGTTTTGCGGTTACCAGACGTTTCTCGAGCGAGGATGATTGAAATTTAGAGGGTGAGGATGACGGCACAAACGGAGAGTTTGCGATTGAAGTCATTCTTTTTCGTCTAAATGTCCCAAAATCACGCTAGGGCCAGTGAAGCTTCAAAAAGTCCGTGCGCATCATAACTACGGTCGGTTGAACAAACCGGAAGGTCCACCAGTACCTAGTCAGTTCTGACTTAGTTAAATATCTGCAAGGCAAGCTCAACAGCTGTAACAACATCAGACTCGGAAAGAAGTAAGATCCTACCTAGTAACCACGACCATTCTACAAACAATACATATTGAGCTCATATCATCGACCTTATACCTTCTTGATCTGTTCATTTTGAAGTTATAGACCGTAATCTAGAGAGGATAATTTTGTTTCCTGTCATTTTGATTGTTGCCTGAAAGTATTTCTACCCATCGAAATACCATAACTTGGGCAAAAAATGGCTCGGCACAGGGACTCTCGCTCACCATCGCCAACAGGAAGTCACCACTCGTCGAGACGAAGCCGGAGAGATGATAATGGCAGACGCGATCGAGATCGAAGAGATGATGTTAGAGGACAGAGGCATCGCAGTCGTTCTCGAAGTCCTGACGTGAGAACTCTTACCTTTAGACCCCGCGTTCATCAGGTACAAATTACTAATGATCCCCAGCGTCGCGAACGTGATCGTGATATGCCTCGCAGAAGAGAACGTTCAGTAGGAAGATTAAATGATGATTACCATAGATCTGGTCGTCGAGATAGATCTCGAGATCGCAGAGGCTATGCGGATAGGGAACGATCACTGGATAGGAGAAGACGCAGAAGTCGAGAACGAGATTACCGTGATAGGCGAGACAATTCTTATGATGATAGGGCTCGAAGACGCCGCGAGGATTCTACTGACTCATGGTCTCGTAGCAGAGGAGACGAAAATCGCGGACAAACCCCCAGATCAGATAGTGGCGCAAAAGTTATTGATGTGAGTTATCCAGATTCTGATCAAGACAGACCAATTACTCATACAGGATCACAGGCTCCAAAAGCATCAGCACCAGCTGCGCAAACCGAGGAACAAAAGAAAGCAGAACGTCTAGCAAAATTAGAAGCGTGGAAGAAGAAGATGGCCGAAGATAAAGAGCGTAAGGAGAAAGAGCTGGCTGTGGGCGGGACTCGAAAATTACTCGATGATATAGATCAAAAGGCCAATGGTTCTCCTTCCCAACCCTTATCCAAGACTCCTACAACTCCTTCGACACCTGCGATATCAGGCGATCTCGCACCTCCAACAAATTATGCTGGGAAATTTGATCCAAAGGCGATAGCTAAAAAGGCAGTGGCCAGCTCGAGCAGTGCGCATGCTCTTGGAAGAGATTTACCATTAAAGGAATTGTCTAAAACGTCCGCCACCTTAACTTCTACGGTCAGAGGATTACAAGCTGACAAAAAGCCAACAGCTTTCAACAGCACCTCGAAAGGTAAGGCAAAATGCTACTCCTCTATGTATAATCATTTGGCTAATCAGTTCGATTATAGTATCTGCGTTACCTAAGACAAGAGGGAACCTTAGTGTTTTCGGGCTCGGCGCGAAGGTTGCCGACAATGAAAAGACATATCAGAAACGTGCTCTAGATTTTGATGAAGATGAAGGATCAAGAAAGAAACTAGAAAAGCTACCAACCCTGCCAATGGCAAACTCCAAGGAAGATGATGCTGCGCTCGCTAACGGTGTTGAGGGACAAGATGATGACGATGATGCGGAACTGGAAGCTGCCGGCACGGAAGAAGAGGCCGCAGCTGCAGCCAGAGCAGCCGCAGAGAAGCGCGAAGAAAGATTGCAAGAAGCTGAATCTCAACCACAGACAAACGGTGATGTCCACATGGAAGATGCTCCTCAAGCTGATTCAAGCGCCATGGATGAAGATGAAGAAATTGACCCATTGGACGCTTTTATGGAAGAAATGGGAGACCCTTTCTCCTTACCGAAAGCCAACACAACATTTGTCAAGAATAATACCAAGAGTCAGCCACAAGAGCCGGAAGCTTTATTCGGTGATGATGATGTGGACCTAAAAGCCTTGGACGCGGACCCGGATGAAATCCTTGCGATCGCAAATAAAGCCAGAAAAAAGAAGGATATTCCAACCATCAATTATGCAAATTTAAATCTTCCGCCATTCCGCAAGAACTTTTATACCGAACCAGCGGAGCTTGCGGATATGACTGAAGCTGAAATAAACGACTTACGACTTGAGCTTGATGGTATTAAAGTAGCTGGTAAGGATGTTCCCAAGCCCGTACAAAAGTGGTCTCAATGTGGTCTTGATGTGAAGTCCCTGGACGTTATTACAAAACTAGGCTATGACAAGCCCACCTCCATTCAGATGCAAGCTATTCCGGCAATAATGTCTGGCCGAGATGTCATTGGAGTAGCTAAGACAGGATCGGGTAAAACCATCGCTTTCTTGCTCCCCATGTTTCGTCATATTCGAGATCAACGCCCATTGAAAAACTCTGATGGGCCTATCGGTTTGATCATGACTCCAACGCGAGAATTGGCAACACAGATTCATAAAGAATGCAAGCCTTTCTTGAAGGCAATGGGGCTCCGTGCGGTTTGCGCATATGGGGGTGCCATTATCAAAGACCAAATTGCCGATCTCAAAAGGGGCGCAGAAATAATCGTTTGCACTCCCGGAAGAATGATTGAATTATTGGCCGCCAATTCCGGTAGAGTTACAAATCTTCAACGTGTCACATATGTTGTTCTAGATGAAGCTGACCGTATGTTTGATATGGGATTTGAGCCTCAAGTCATGAAGGTTTTCAATAATATTCGACCTAACAGACAAACTATTCTTTTCTCAGCTACCATGCCTCGAATTATGGATGCACTAGCTAAGAAGACGCTCCAATCACCAGTAGAAATTGTTGTTGGTGGAAGAAGTGTTGTTGCGCCTGAAATCACACAAATTGTTGAAGTTCGAGAGGAGAAAGAAAAGTTTCACAGACTTTTGGAGCTTCTTGGAGAGCTCTACAATGCTGATGAAGATGCTCGAACACTCATCTTTGTTGATCGACAAGAAAAAGCTGATGACTTACTGAAGGACCTAATGAGAAAAGGTTACCCATGTATGTCTATCCATGGGGGGAAGGATCAAGTTGATCGTGATTCTACCATTGATGATTTCAAAGCTGGCGTGGTTCCTATTATGATTGCTACGTCAGTAGCTGCTAGAGGTCTTGATGTCAAGCAGCTTAAGCTCGTTGTTAATTTCGATGCACCTAATCATCTAGAAGACTACGTTCATAGGGCTGGACGAACTGGCAGAGCTGGTAATACTGGTACTGCTGTCACTTTTATAACAGAAGAGCAAGAACAATATTCGGTAGGTATTGCGAAAGCCCTTGAACAATCTGGACAAGAAGTACCAGAAAGGCTTAATGAGATGAGGAAGTCATACAAAGACAAGGTCAAAAGTGGTGCTAAAAAGGAGAGTTCAGGCTTTGGTGGAAAAGGTCTGGAACGTTTTGATGCTGAGCGCGAAGCTACTAAGGCTCGCGAGCGCAAGATACACAAGCTTAATGGCGATGATGATGAAGAAGAAAAAGAGGAGAAAGATGATGACGTCCTTCTCAAGGCTGCATCCGTGGTTCAACCCGCCTCTGCTTCTACTGCCCCACCTAAACTGCTTGGTGTGCCTAAAGGTATTGATCTCGATGGAGATATTAAAGTCCATCGCACCGAAACTGCAGCCAGCTCCAGCGGATCCAAAAATCCCCTCGATAAAGTCACGTCGGCCATCGACGCCATCAACGCCCGTCTCAACAAGACAGGACAGCTCCGCTCCGGTGTCCCGATTGATAACAAAGGACCCGACGCAGGTGCTTTCCACGCTACGTTGGAAATCAACGATTTCCCACAGAAAGCTAGATGGGCTGTTACGAATCGCACGAATGTGGCCAAGATTCTGGAAGCGACGGGTACAAGTATTACTACCAAAGGTAGTTTCTACCCGGCTGGAAAAGAGGTCCAGGCTGGTGGTGATCCTAAATTGTATATTCTGGTCGAGGGTGATACTGAGGTCGTGGTTACGAATGCCATGAGGGAGTTGATGAGGTTGTTGAAGGAGGGTACGATGGCGGCTGCTGATGCGGAGGGTAGGGCCCCGGCTAGTGGGAGGTATACTGTTACTTAGGTGGGATGGTGGGTTTCGGTGGATGGGGATGGGGATGGATGGGTGGAGGGATTTATATATGAGAAGATAGGAATGAAAAGGTGGCAATGTGAAATAGTAGTAGGAATAGGAATATTATAACTATTCTATCGTATCATACTTATCATCATATCACATCAGTACATTCATACATACATACATATTCCTTTATGCATAGTCCCAATCTTGATAAATACATACTGGGTAGGTAATCTTAGATGGGTATTTGAAATATTTGAGTTCCATCCCTTGTTTCGAATTTCTTTCTTCACTGTATACATAAATATCTTATCTTATCTTATCCTATCCTATCCTATGCTATCCTATCATATCGTATCGTATCCTAAAATCTACCTCTGAAGTAAGTAGAATGAATAAACAAGCAGTCAGGAATCCATCCCATATATTTCTAAAACTCCCCATCTTTACCCAAAACGTGTTTACTCCCGATTATAGATTATCTATTCAATGTGCGCAAGGATAAGGAGAAGAAGGAAAGAAAAAGGAAAAATGAAAAAGATACAGAAAATAAAAGATGGATATATCCCAATACACCTTCCCGTTTTCTTCCTTTGTCCTGTACTAGTAATGGTAACTCCTCTGGTTTATATAATACCAGGTAATATTAACGTTTCTCCGTCATCTTGTCATTTCCGTTCCGTTCTGATAGGTTCTTCTATGCCTCTTTTTTCTGCTGCTTCATCTGATTTCCGCGATCACCGACTAATTAAAAGCCCTAGCGTTTGCTGCCGCATCTGCATCTCTCACTTGTCTCTCGATTGCACTTGCGTTTTTGCGTGTTGTTTCCAGGGTTTGGGATTGTTCGTCTGCGAGCTTTTTGCCTAGTGTTCCTTTGGGTTTTTTGGAGTTAAGGCGTGCCTGTTTTGAGGGGAGAGCTGTTAGTATATATGTGTGTATTTGATTACTTGTAACTTTGGTTGGAGACTTGATTGTGAGAGGAGGGGAGAAGGAGTTTGGTTATAGGGGTATGGAGGAAAGCGTGAGTTTGGGAGGGGCGAGTGTCAAGAGAAAGGGATTAAAGAGAGAAAAAATACCTCAGCAGCTTCAGCAGCTTTCCTTCTAGCATCTTCTTGTGCATTTGATCCGCTATTCGTAGAACCAGAACCGACTGTCCGTGGTGGACCACCGACAGTGCGCGGCACGCTGGATTTGGGGGCTGCTGGAGGAGGGCTACTTTTTGGAGGTGCCGAGGAGAGAGTCCTGCCTGGTTGGTCGAAGGGGGAGGGATCGGAAGTACTGCAGCAGTTACCCATTTTAGGGAGGGGGAGGGTGAGGCTGAGCAAGAGACGAGGGGAGAGGATGGGTAATTGTAGGGCCTGGAGGACCGAGGGTCCCGTGCGAGGGGCGGAAGATGAGGTCTTAAAAATCCTAAACTTGTGCGGTCGCGAAGTGGGCGATTGAAGCGGTATTCCGAATAATCGAGTGTTGAAGTGATGTTGAAGAAGTGAAGTTCAAAGGTAATGAATGATATGATACCACGCAGGCCAAGGATGAGGCTGTGTTCTCATTGGATGGGATGGGGAGTTTAGTGATTGGGTTTGGTTGGTCGAGATTGACGAATTAACTAATCGACTCGATGTCAAAGTCTTATCGATAAGAAAGAGGAGACACACAAGGTGGGGCTATTTCAGTCCAACTAGGATTCATCATTGGTCAGCAAGAATCTTTTATGATTGATTCATTGTAAGGAATGAATGGAAGAGGATTATTTCATCTTTGGCGGTCAATAAAATATGATTTACCAGTGCCGTATTAAATGAATAAATAATACGTATACAGTGTATGAATTATCTATCTCTCCTTGCATATCCAACTTTTCCCATAAATCACATCCTTCAACAATACAATATATAAATAATAAACAACCCTTTTCTTTAAGTTCAAGATCTTTCAAAAAACACCTTGTTGGATACTTTTCTACTTTTCACCTTAGCTACCCTCCTGCGCCGGTACTTTTATCACCCTTACCCGTTCGTTACCCATTCGTTACCCATTCGTTACCCCATCCATACATTTTCATCTGCCTCGCCTCTAACCTCACCTTTTTGTGCATCAACTCGTTTTTACCCCACGGCAAACCTTTCCAATCTATCAAGATCCAACTTTGTCAACATTGGATAAGATCACAAGTTGGCTCAAACTCAGCTCGGAAACTTCTCATTGCTACCTTGGCGACACCACAACTGACTCCTCTCTTCTCTCCTTCGTCGCGACCCACCACATGCGAGCCAAAAACAAGCAAGCAACCGTCTGGTGAAACTTTGCGACCATGGAGCAACCCACTCTCGATCAAGAGGTTACTCTAAAGCAATTCCAACGTATGTCCTATGACGAGTACCATCAACCATATTACCCTATGCGACAACCTGGTGCGACAGTCTTTCCTTCCAATCCGCTTTACTCCGCTCAATATAAATTTCCAAATATGTACCCTCAAAGTCAAGCATATAATGGAGAAATGTCTCAAGAAGAGCCTTTCGAAGCTCAGGTCTTTTCGCAGCAGTTAAATCTACAATCACAATCTTATCAACCATATGTCTATCATCAAACAATGGATCTTCCGCAACAATTTCCCCCTCAGCAAAACATGAACCAAGGATATTCGAATATGAGAGCTGTCGCAGACCCAACTCCAAATTACACGGAGAAATCTCCCAGAAAGCGACAAAGAGTTAATGAATCCAATGGACCTACTACAAAACGATTTATGCCTACAGTCACTCAACCAGCTGAAATGGATACAACCAGCGAATGTTGTAGTTCTTGTCCAAGTGGTTCATTATGCGCCGAGTCGGATTGTGATGGAAATGATGTCGTTGTTGCTTGTACCTCACCAGAATGCGAACAACCCGTTTGCACCTCACCAGAATGTGAACAACCTGCCTATACGGAACCTTGTGTTAGGGATGGTGCTCTTAGCAGACGATGTTCAGTTGTTGGAGATAATGAAACATCTGACAAAATGTTTCCAACTTGGGATAATTTTCTTGCAATGTCGCGAGTAGAGCAACAACGACCTTCCTCATTTCACACTTATGCGCCTGGATTACGAGACAACCAAGCTCAAGAAGAAATATCCCCTTCTCCTGTTCCAACAACACCATCATTGGTCTTGAACATGGAAACACCTTATTCAGATATAGCGGTCTCACAGGCTCCAGGACCTCCTATGCAGCAATTAACAAACAATATGTCTGTATCCTCACTTTCTGGTACTGGGATGCGTTTCGGTGATGGATTGGAGATGTTCAATTGTAATTGGTTGGATTGTGGACAGCCAATGCATGATCAATATGAATGGCATAAACATTTTCATCAGGAGCATATCGATCCACAATTTACCTTCAATTGCCCAATGCCTTCAGGATCTTGTCATACACCACTCAACTCAAATCCTTTAGATCATTTGCAAATGAATCATGGCTTTACCTTTGATGAAAATCTCAATGGATTTCCTTGTCCTGCTCCTGGATGTCTTGCGGATGAGATGTATTGTGATCCTTCAATGCTTCACAATCATATGGATCAAATGCATGCTATACCTTTACAAGGGCAATTACAGTGTCAAATTGATTCTTGTAATACTTCATATCAAGAACCAAATCAATTCTTCAATCATTTAAATCATGATCACAATTTACCGATTCCAATGACACCTGTTGAGGAAATTGATCTTTCTAGTATATCAATGCCAGAAGCAAAGGCATCAGAAGAGGTAGAAGAAGAGATCGCTCCATTGGCGAAGAACGAAAGATCAGAATCGCATAATCATCTATCTTGCAAATGGTTAACCAACACACATCTTTGCGGTCAAGTATTTAGATCAGAAAGTGGTCTTCAAACTCACGTCAAGGATTTTCATTTGTCTGCTTTGAACAAAACTTCAGGCTATTTTTGTAAATGGCAAGGTTGTTCTCGAAAGCATAAAATGGGTGAGAAGGAAGGGTTTTCACAAAGAGGAAAACTCGAAAGACATATGGCGAGTCATACAGGGTGTAAGTTTCATTCTTTTGGATAGGTTTACAAGACTGACAAGTTTTAAATAGTCAAGGAATGTACGTGTGACTATCCTGGTTGTGGAAAATCATTCGCGGCGGCTCAATCATTAAAACAACATTACCGTCTTCATACTGGTGAAAAACCATGGAAATGCAAATACTGTCCAAAATCCTTTCCTCAGCAAAGTGCATGCACAGTTCATGAACGCATACACACTCAAGAAAAACCTCTGGTTTGCAATGTCTGTGGAAAGACTTTTAGCGAATCGTCAAATTTAGCAAAACATAGAAAGACTCATGGGGAGAGAGGTCATTATGAGTGTCCAGAGTGTCCAAAGACATTTCATAGGTTGGATCAGTTAAAAAGACATGGGGAGATGCATGAGAGAAGAAAGAAGAGATTTATTAATGGTGAGGGTGGTGATGGTGAAGAGGGAAAGAGTGAGATAACAGAAAGTATCGCGACGGAAAGTTTGATTGATGGGGTTAGTGTGAGAGGTGGTGATGAGAATTAGGACGTGATGACTTATGGATGATGGGGGTGATAGGAATTGAAAAGATGATTATTGTAATTATTCTAACGAGAGACAAAGATTATGATTTACGATTCATGACTTATGAATCAGGGGGTATGGTGTGGGTGGGTGGGATTTTACTAGCGAGGTATTGCGATGCATTACTATATATTAGCGAGGCGAGGCGAGGCAATTTGATAAATGGCGCGAGGAGATAAAAGGTTTCCTTATAAGAGGTCAGGATGAGTAGAGAAATACGACTCGATGGCCGAAAATGAATTGAATATGGATAAATGGTTGGTGGATCGGTAGATTGGATCGATGAATTGAAAATAAAAGGATTAGGGAATGAGAGGAAAAGTTTGGAATTAATACCTACTAGTTAGTAAGATACCTATGACACTCATCTATCTGATGATTAGTTAGTTTGTTGGTTTGATTATTTGAGTGAGTGATGCCTTGTGAATTTGAATTTGAATTTGATGAATGTTTGTGATTTTTAGGATTGGGAATGCTGGTGAGTTTAGGGGATGGGGAGGAGGGGAGGAGGGGGGGTGGGGGTGAGGAGGGAGGAGGGGATTTGAGATGAGATGGAGAATGATGGAGAAGGGAAAGGAGTGGGAAGAAGGAAGCGGATGAGGATACTGGATGTGAGTATGTGAGTATGTGAGTATGTGAGTATGTGAGTATGTGGGTGTGTGGGTGTGCACTAGATAAGATAAAATTAAGAGACTATTGAAGGATAAAATTACATTCAGATATATAATATATACAACAAAACTTCTTTTATAGGGATGAAGGAGTGAGTGAGTGATGTACTGATAGTTTTAATGATCTTAAGAATACTCGAGGAGTAAGATTTTATTAGTATTTATAAATTCAAGGTTATAAAAGAAATAAAAGAAGAAATAGTGATGAGAAGTTTTTGTTTATTTGTAAGTTTCCTTTTGAATGGAATGGGTTTGTAATATTATTGTTAGTATCGAGATCAATGTTTGTGCTGTTATTATTATTATTATTCACTTGAATATAATATCTAACAAAAGATACAGCTTCCTCCCCAAATACAGTATCTCCAAATCTACTCTTACATTCCTGTAAATAGTACATACGCACACACACACATACATATATAACCCTCTCGCCCCACCCCAAAAACAACAATACACTAAGCTCTCACTTACAGAAAATCCGTTTGGAACCCTATAAATTACAACTTATACGAAAAGCAGAGAAAAATAAAAGAGAGGGAGATATTCATACTACCTAGGTAGATACTGAAGGAATATAAACTCAGATTTAAATTATCATCTGCTTAATAAGTAATGAGTAATTAATTAAAGTAATTAACGAATGTTTGGTATGTTAATGATAATTAATAATTTATAATTTTATAATGGCATATATATATGGATATGTATAAAAAACCAGCAAGAAACAGAATAGAACACAACAGAACATGACAGGACACAAATAAGCAAACAAGTAAGCAAGAAAGAAAGTAGAAGACCAAGTAGCAATCGATCGATCATCGATCATCACGGACTTGAGAAAACACAAAACACAAAATACATAGTGGAAGTGGATAAGTGTTAAACAATAAAATAGAACAGAACAGAATAGAGAATGCAAAGCCATGGATTTGTGTTCTAGTATTTAGATATCCATGTATGCATACGTACATCTATCTTTCTATATATGATGGACAAGTAGCCTGCGATGGAGAGAGCGTAAGAGGGATGAGATGGGAAAGAAGATATAGATTCGAGTTGATGGGCTAAGGAGAGAGCGGAGATTAGAAGGGTTGGAAACACAGAGCGGTGTTCTGGTTTCTGTGAACGTGGGTTCTGAAGGATAAAATATGGGTATAATGTGCCTACCTGCTTAGGGAGGTGAATGAATGTATGAAGTTAGCAATGGGCTGCATAGAATGATTGGGCTATGCGGAATGTAAGAGTTCATTTGGAACACGGAACATTGCAATATACAATGGTTACCTAGGATAGGATATCAGACCATATATAGAACCAGTGGCGGTCCATCTCACAAGAATTTGGTGTAAGCGCAGAAATGGATTGACAAGGGTCAATTTGCATTTTGAAGGTCTGGAAAATGATAATAAGAGAATAGATGGCATGGAATAATTCTGTCCATTAACTTCATGAAGATCACTAGCATGCGGTGAAAGGTACCAGTCAGAACCAAATTCACAAACATAAGCCATAGCAAATTGTGAAATATAACAGCTTGCTCAAAATCACTGTTGCAATTGTGCATGCCCTTCCAATATCGATGGTCGCAAGTTCCTGGGTATTATGTCCATAGAATTCTCGAACTCCCCTTCGACTTCAAACCCTGCCTAGCCGTTCGCACAATATATCACACCAAATCGAAAGGAACCTTTTGGTTTGTTTTTGCTCAGTTCGTTTGATTTATTGGAAAGGCTTTTTTACCAGCCATGCTATTTTCGATGATACACCGTGACCCGTGCGAAAACAAACCAGGCAAAAGGCACCATGCCAGCCATCCTCACAATCATAAACACCTACTTCCAGAAAATCTAAGCTTCCGCCTAATACAAGTTAGCAATAAATTCGAGAAATCCTTCACCAATACCCTTCCAATGTCCCAATGTTCCTCAGAATGTTGACCCTAAAGTCGGCGGAATCGCATACCTTAACGGCGAATTTTCTTTGTGGGAAGTGCATCGATCTCTTCTTGGTCTTCTCCAACTGCAACTCCTTCTCGTGCTTGCTAAGGCGTCTACGGATAGCACGAGTTTGCTTTGTTCGGAGATCGAGAGGAAGGTATTTCTTTCCCTTGTAGAAGAGACGGAGTTGTGCGCGTTGGTTGGCGTTAATGACTGTGAGGACCTTGGCAATTGACTTTCGGACGTCGTGGCTGTAAGTAAATTTTATTAGTATCCATTTTGTTGATCCAGTATCTCAAAAACCCCCTCTCGACTACACCAGGTCGGAGAGAGTAACTATAGTTCAAATACGCACATCTTGGTGAGCTTAGCAGCAGATCCTCCAGCAATCTTCTGAGTTCTCAATTGACCGAGCTCAGTCTTCAACTCTCCGAGTTGCTTTGCGAGGTCCGCCTTGTTCTTGGACCAAAGTTGGCCAGTCTTTACTTTTCCGGACGACTAATCGCGATGATCCGTTAGCCATCTTTCTCCCTCAATTTTAAATAACAGCATCTCTCCAAAGAATTTGTCGCATACCATTTTGAATAAGGGTCGGGTGGTTGTCGATTGTGGTTGTCGGGCGTCTCGTCGTCGTGAAAATGTTGAAGTTGCTTTGAGAAACTTTTGGTTAGGGTTAACCGAAGCCCACAAACGAATTTTCGAAATATGATTTTCTGGCCAATCATAGAGAGATTTGTCAATTAGCGCAATATCACATGACTCTGGCGATTTGAGTATGCTAGAACTTAAACTGTAAAGCCATTTCTAATAAAAGTGTACAGAATACAAATCACTCGCACATCTGAATGAAGGGATTTTTCTAATGATCCGAAGTCTAGGGCATCATTACTTCAAGAATATTTATTACTTGTCGTCAAAGTTCGAGGAAAACATTTCTTTTATGGACTCTGATCTATCGGCGCAAACCCCAGTTCCTGAATTTCAGCTACTGACAGGCTCTCTTACATGCTGGTTCAATAAGTTTAACAGAGTCCCAGGTAGGTACCGACTCGTAAGTACTATTCAAATTGTCGGGGAGTTTCGCACTTTACCTTTGAGCATCATATTTCTTTCAAAAGCTTGAATTAGAATCATAGAGTTGTTCTAGTCTCCTCATAGATTTTACTGTACAGCAGAATGAGCCTTTGGGCTGCAACGAATACTCAGTCGGTAGCGAACCATCATAATTCTATTATACATTACTATCACAAAGCGGAACAACCTCTTTCTCGAAATGTACACGACATCCTGAGCGACTTGGATTCCATTACTACGACGAATACAACTCCTACATTTATTACATGCTCTAAATACATTGGAATTCATGGATATTTCTTAAGAAGGCAATTGCTTTCGGTGTCGATATGATGCGATCATGAATGAGGAAGGTGCACAATCTTTGCGTGATAGACGCTCTCACTTCCCTCTCGCTATTGGCAGGCCATATCAGACAGGCTTCAGCAGCGCCGATTGGGCATACAAATAGGAGCATTGCGATGGCAATTGTAGTGGTGAGGGCGCGTTGATTCGAGTGGGCGAGAGTACTGTATTCAAAATCACAAGTTGTTTATCACAGACTATTCTCAATGACCGGAACCAAAAATGCGATGATGCTGACGTTCATTCATTGTAGCTATGCTAGCCTAATCCCTTATTCCATTCACAATAACCTCAAAGTCCCGATCCTAAGAAAAATATTCGCCTAATCGTATATGCCGAAGAAAACGAGCCCAAAGAAACTAGCTCATACCATGTCCATCACTCAAACTCCATCATTCTCGCCCTATCCGTTGTACCATCATCCAACCGTATCACCAAGATGTCACACCATATTACTCAATTATGGGATAGCTTCGTATGAACCACTTCCAGAGTTGTGTGCTTGTCTGTTCGAGAACAACCAATAGATAATCAATCCGAGAATGGGGAAGAGAAAGACGACCAAGCACCAGAGGAGTTTGTGTGAAGGAGGGCGGTTTGATTTGAGGACCTCGACTGCAGACACGATTAGATTTATTCAATAATGGAGAACGGGTGCTACATACTGAAGACGATGATATCAAGAATCAAAACGATGAATCCAATAACCCCGCCACCGGAACCATATTTCCAAGCATTACCATGTCCAGCGATCTCAACTGGTGCAGCGAACGTTAAGGCGAAGAAGAAGAATTGAAGGAGGAATGCGAGGGTATTCTGGAACATGTTTATTGATTTGGTTCGTTGTGTTTTGATTTGATTTGTATTTTCGAAATGTCGTTCAAAGTTGATGGAAATTACTAAAGTGTGGTTGATGTTGAGGTTATAAGTTGTTGACCGGTTGTTTGCAGGATCGTGAGTCTAGAATAGCGTTATTTATTGACGTCATATTTTACTTCAGTCCATTCCAACCAAGGAAGCTGATAATGCGGGGGAAGATCAACCGATGAAGATTTTCATTGGTGAATCGTCTAAGGGGGAACCCGCGTTTGTCCAATTAAATCCTTTCAATAACGCTAAACATACAAAGAATGACTAAAGATGAAATACCAAGATATTAGTACGAAACTTTTGTTGTTTATTTTCGTGCCTTTATCGTCTTAGATTTTAAGATACAGCAAACGTATTTTAAAGGTTGGGAATTGATAATGCTTACCACCCAGATTCGTCCAACCTCTATGTGCCGGTAGATTCATCTTACTATACCTGCGTCCTAAGAGCCAAAAGGTACGGGTAGCAAAGCGCACCTCCGGATTTCCTACAATCACTTCATCAACCTCAAATTCTCAAAGTAGTTGTGGAGAATAATTTTGACATATTTATATACATACTAATAATATTCAATTTCAACCGTGACTAAGGTTGAAGTGTATACTGCTAACCGGAGATCCGGCTTGAGTGATATACCAGTCTCATAGACTTAACTTGCTCTCGCAGTCTTCACAATCTGGTAAACCCTCAGGGTTCTCGTATAATTGTTTCCTGACTTGCACTTCTCCTTCCGAAAACGCATATGAAAAGTTGCTGCTTCTTTGATAGCTCCAATATGATTATTTTGTTGTGAGCAAGCCTCAGCAATGGCAATTCACCGCCAGCGAAGTCGTTGCTGTCGCTCATTCTAATTGCTAGATTTAAGTTTCACTGTCACCATGATATCTTCTTGGGAAGGAACGCTCGCATTCTCCAGACAAAGTTTGGAATCGGGTGACGCACACCTAGAACAAGGACTCATATGCGGCAGTGGCACTTTTGCAAGCCTTTGGAGTTTTTTTGCGTATTTGAAAATGCCAGCACACAGTGCGCAGAAAGTGGTATCTTTTATACTTGATCCGGGGTTTGTCCCTCGATGACCTGTGTCACGAATTGGTGTACACCATATAGAAAAACGAGTTAATGGGGATCAGAAAAGAACACATAGGGGCTTTACATATGCGTTCTCATTTTTTTCATGAACATGAAGTATAAGAATACCTCCGCCATGAAAGTGCAGATAGTAAAAAGCTCAGCTAGAAGTCATCTAAGCATATACCTGTGCGAAGAATAAGTCAAAGAGAACCGCTTTTTATGGAAGACATTACTCCTCACCGCTCAAGTCTCTCTGCCCAATCCAAGGTGCGGAATGAGATAGAGGACCATGATTGTTGATTTTGTTTTTCAATGTCGGTCTGCACGGATCTTCTACTTTTCGGAGTTGAAAAGGCCAGAGCAATAGGACCTCGTAAATTCACGTTACTGGACCCCCTAAACCGACCGTCTCTCTCTGCAGAAACTCTTTTTTTTCAGCACATGGAGAGTGCTATGACGCGGACTTGAACTTGATTTCTATCAGATGTAGAGACATTCTCCAAGATTAAAGGCCCTCAAATACGTCTCTCGAGATCTTGAATTTGACATACAAAACATTGTCGGGTTATTGGGCCTTCAATAAAACTCCTCTCCATTCTTCAATGATATTATATCCTCGATTTGGACTAATATCTAATTTGCTTCTCAATCTTTCAGCCATTGATATTCATCCTCAAAGTACCTTAGAAGTTTTGTTGCATATCTTAAAATCAGGGGACTTCTCAAGAGTAGTAGTATTTTCTCTTTATGGTCTTGAATATTAGTCATCCTCTGTTTGGAGATAATAAAAGCGCATGATGTATTTATTCCCATTAGGTGTTTTTGAAAGGTTGATGGGGTGGGTTTGAGTATAAATCTCGTCTCATTGTTGTAGTCTTCAGTTGTAGTCTTCAATATCATACTTCACTCTCTCGGCCAATAGAATCAACCTTTAAAAGTTTTTGTTGCATATCTGAAAATCCGACGTCCCTGGGAACAGCGTTCCTTCCATCTTTCAAATTCCACCTTCCACAACTTAGTAACTTTGACACTTTCAATTAATTAGTAACGAGGGCTCTTTCCCGATTTATTCTAAGCAACCACTCTTGAAAATTTGTTAGAACTTAGAACTTAGATGTATTTATTTAGCTTTCAGTCTCGGCATTAGTTCTGGGATTGATAATTTTGGTAGGGCTTACATTGATGAATTCTGCTTTGAATCGATGTACTTGATGATGTTCTTCTTCAAATGTGCTCGGTTCCTGGACTTGCCTGTTTGCTTTCGGGGAGTTTGGTCCTTGGTGTGCTTGAAAAGGAGGAGTTATGGTTCTCGTCTGAACTGTCTATATACAAACCCGTAATTCACTGGAACGTTAGTTGATTCCAGAATCAGAGCGGGAATATCGGTGATTCATGTCATCTTGACCCTACGGAGTAACGAAGATTTATTGATACTGCTCTGGTGTTCTCGTCTGAAGAAAAGGCGGGACCCATGACTCCCAAAAGCCATACTTACCTAGGTAGGCATACATATCATATATTCTTCCTCTAGCCTTCATTTTCTCGTCTCAATCTTATTGTCGAGTCACTCTGATATCTTATATAACATTTTTATTTCTATTGCCATTTCTTCAAAGATGGAAATGAGTAGATGATGTTCGTATTTGAATGGTCAAAAGGCTGCACCCGATTTGAGATCATCCCTATATATAATTACTGTTTCCTGTCCAATTTCATCCGAAAGAATTCGATACAAATTCCAAGGTGGCCAAGGTCTTGATAATAACATTTTCGATCTACTTTCGCTTGAAACTGCAGAGAATCGATATTCATGGGCATTATAGCTTAGCTCCCAGTTATACTTGATCTAAAGGATATTTGTTGTCGTCTAATCTAGTAATCTTGCTTTTCTTTCTTTGACTATGTTCAAAACATCGGATGGGGTATTTCCTCATAATGTTAGGATGGCAAATATACCTCAACGACTACGCTCTATCTGTTAGATCTCAAAAAGTAGCAAGTGCGAAGGCTGTAATCTATCTTTCTAATTCCAGCATAGGGAAACAGGATCGTAGTATTATTAACCAATCATTACTTTCATCTCGAGATATCCACCGTAAGCATCATCACAATCGAGTATCTTGTCGTCATCTGGTTTTCTTCTGTCGTTCTACCTTTTAACTTTTTACCTAGAGAATTATATCGGTATTTCTAGAAGAGATATTACTGATCTTCGATATGGCTTAACCTCACGCAAATATCATGTCTGTCTTGATGATTTAGATCTTTACACGAGCAAGATTCATGGCTGGTTAGAATCTTTAAATATAACCTGGCTTAGCCAATTCTGCGCACAATTCTGGTGGAGTGAATAATAAGAATGCTATCAGCCATTTTTTAGGCCACTGGAAAACCGTAAAGCTTAATGCTTACGAGGTGGTCTAGTGACATATACATGTGAATGGTCATGAACTTCCCTATAGCTATTCACTTCGCTTCACGCCTTTCACTACACTACCGAATTTCTACACTCCCAACAAATTCCCCCTTCAATCTAGATTCATCATATCTTCCTATATAAACCAAGTTGAGAATCATTTGAAAGAACAAGTTTCGTGTGGGATTGCCGGATTATGATGTTGATGGTTGTTGGAGATATTCTAACATTTGGCGCTGCGAGGTTCGAATTCTGCAGATATTCAACTTTTTACTATCCCCTTTTAGTCATACAACGAAGAAATTATTCTGCTAGAATTGACTTGTGTTGTTGGTGAGATGGAGGTTTGTTGTCGATTTCGTAAGATCTTATATGTATGAAGGAGAAGGATGGAATGATAGGATTCTTGATTTATCTTCGCTGATTTTTTGTTGGCATAAATATGAGTGTGCTATTATATAATGTGTGATGCGGAAGTAATCTTACCTGAAGAAGGAAAGTAGAAGGGCAGGTAAAATAAGAAAGGTGTGTTGATATTAGGTGCTGGAAAGAACGGGGGAGTAAATGGTTATGGCTTCTTTCAAAAGAATGAGCGGCGAAGTGCTAGAAAATTAAATATTGTTCTCTTTTGAATGATATGTATTGGCTTAATTGCATATCGCTGATTAAGTGAGACATAACCATAATGTTATCAAGGCATGGCGTTTAATATCACCTAATTCCTATTTTTCATCGTCCTATCTGCTACATCATTCGAGCACCTGACGGCATCAATATCCAAGCCTTCTTTACCAGAAACCCAAATAAAAGCGTCAAGACCTCTAAAACTTACCAAGTGTTCCTACAAGTGGATTGCTCGGATTCTGAAGTCGGGGTGGATAGGCGGGGTACTCGTGGTGATTAGGGGAATTTTACAGTGAATCAATTCTATCTTTCTTCAAAGTAGATCCAACTCGAATTTTTACATTCACAAATCTCATTTGAAAATAATCATCTAGTAATCCATAATGAGTCCCAAGCGGCTTCCATTCTAAACATGCATTGAGTAATACATATCATCAGAGCATGGTCTTTAACCGATACCCGGATGTGAATATGTTATATATAGCCCTTCAGCTCAAGCTCTCTGCACAAATATTTCGCTCTTTGTAGAATAATCAGTTGTCCCGAAGCAGTCTCACCTGAAGATATTTTCCGGGACTTCTGGACATTCCGAACTGATCATATTGAAATATTCATGAGTCTTTATAGAGCAAACTTGAGATACATAAGCCTAAGGGAAGCGAGATTTTGTGCCTTAATTGTTCAGCTCAATATTTCCGCTACAGCTCCAAATATCAGGAGTAGTTGCTGAGCACCCAATTCACTCGTGAATTTCTCTCAGATCCAAATGAGTCTCTATATCTTGGCCGAGAAAATCTCTTACACACTCCAGTTTCTTACTCAGTGACTCAAATAACGTATCGAAAGTCGGGAGATTTCAACTTCCTTGTTGATTTTCAGCTAGAACCATGTCCACAGTCCTTTCTGGAATTATGGTATTGAAATTCCGCATTCACCTTCATTCTAACCTGATATGTTTTCCCGAAAGCAGTTATTATTGCCGCCAACAAATTGAATATCTTCTTATATTCGATAGCCACTCCCTTTCATAAAAACATCAGATTATGTATAGCACACCCCTCTGACGAGAAACCATAGATTAGGAGGTATATATACATATATATATATACCGGACCTTATACTTTAAACTAAAAGCATCACAACATGAAAAAACCCCAAGTCCTGAAGGTGGTTTGCGTTTGACGTTAACCAGATAATCTTAAATAACAATATGACAATATCATTCATTATATAGTACTCTACCTAATGGAAGATCTAGGTTCTTTTGAACTTAGGCAAACGCTCCAAGGCTGAGCACGAGCAGCGGAAATTGCTTGTCAAGTGGGGAGAGAATATTTCGTCGGGGACTATGTGGATAAGTATGTACTGGCTGTAGAGTGATTAGGGTGCAAGATAAGATGCCAGCTTTTTGTGAAGAATTTTTTGGAAGTGAACAAGTGGGTTGACGAGTCAACTATATATAGGGCTCTCGGAAGCTTAAGCTTAAATCATTCATCAGTAATCAATGTACCGCGCGACAAATTCATCGCGAGATCGGGTATGGAAGGGATTATTGGCTGTCAATAATGGATGCATTTGGATGCTAACAGACGGACAAAGTGATACATATTTCACCTCCTCCAACTCCCCTTCGCTTTCCCTTCTGTCACTTAACAGCTTCCCCAACCCCAGTGTTCCCCTATCCCTCACAACTTTCCCGCACCTCTTGGTCTCTCATAGAAGAAATACTCAATCTTAGGTCTATCCTCCCTCTCCCTCCACTTTTCCGGTACCTCAACCTCAATATACCTATCTGGCACAGCTCTAAACCCATGACTCTCATACAAATGTTTCGCAATTGCCGTCCCCTCGACAAATGCCGGTAAATTGAGGGAATCAGCTATCGCGGTACCGTATTGCATGAGAAGGGTGCCGGCGCCAAGATGTTGGTATGAGGGGTGGGTTGATAACATGTCAAGGACTGGGGGAATGTTAGAGAGTAGAAATCTGGGGTGGAGATGGGAAAGGATGGGCATTGGGAGGACAAGGAGGGAAATGGGATTTGAAAGGATCTGAAAGGAATGATACGTACTAACGCATGGTTCTCCCTTCGTTCGACTAATCTGATTTTTATGGATCCAATTGATAAGATACTCTGCCCATTCATTTGAATCTTGATCAGGGTGCCAATCCACACTAATGTGTTCCTTTTTCTGTTCCTCGCTCAAAGGTTCTGTATTTATGAGCCATTTTGCTGCACTTATGAGAGTTCCTTCATACACCATTAGTATCTTTCTCCAAATTCACGTGTCTTGATTACCATCATGCCATAATGAACCAATGCAAAGCTCACAATCAAGGAATTTGAAGGAAGAAAACTAAAAATACCTTCCTCATTAACAACCTTAACATATCTCGCCTTCTCATCCCCAAGCCAAATATCAACTAATCTCCTAACAGCCTTTTCCGTCTCCTCGGTCTCGGGGAATAAAACGAAGAAGAATGGCTCACGTGGGTCACTGAAAGCTGCAGTTTGCTGAGTAAGGATAGCTGGACCATCTAACTTTGGATCGCAGGGGAGAACGCGGAAATTGGAGGTGGGCTTAGATTTGGGTGTGGAGATGAGGATTGGACTGGACATGGCGATGGAAGAATTCAGCGTTGAATGAGATGTCATGATGTTGGGTGGTACGGTGTAGTTTGTGGGAGGTAGTAAAAGCAGAATTGGATTAGGTCTATGATGCCGGTAGAAATACACAGCACTTAAACTGTCAGATTGACAGGATAGGAACTATGCTCCGTCCCGTTGCCTCCACTTTTCACACTATTCTTTTCCCGTTAGCCACGGAACCAGCCGCTCAGCCGCCACCTGCATAATCCCCAATCCCGTCCCCTCTCCTTTCCCTTTCACACATCCTTAAACTCAAGCATAAATTAAAACACCGTATTTCAAAACAGCACCAACAATGCACTTGCACCAAATCAACAAGCCACTAGGTCGCAACCCGCAAATCGGACTATCGGATACAACTGTGATCGGTTCCGTGGCTTTTATAGGCTAGTTCTCGTGGGCCTGTGAAGGGAAGAAAAGCCGGAAATGCATTGAGCCCCTGTTTTTGAAAGAAAAAAGTGACAGCGCATATTAGAAGGGTTGTTGGAAGAAATTCCGAAATCCATCGTAGTCTAGACATACAGCCATGACAGCCAATAAAATGAAGAGAAAGCAAAGATAAAACAGCGAGAGCACTTAAATCAAAAAGAAATTGGCAATGGCAAGGAAGGATAAGCATAACTTTAAGCGAAACGATCAACAAGCTTGTTCGTACGGATAAGCTACCGTTGAACTAGGACCAGGCCAAGAGTATGATGATCCTTGTGAAAAATGCTTGTAAAAGAGGGGAGGGTGTAAATTGAGTGCGGGTCATGCTATTGTTTGTGCTACTAATGCTAATATCTAACGAATTTGTGACGGTGAGTGTGATGCGAACCATGCGATTTTGGATAATTGAATGACTTGGTATAGGAGAGCTGTTATTATGTCCGAGCAAGACGGCTTGTTCTGAAGCTTAGAAAGCTCTGATCATTGAGAGTTTGCTTTGTAAGAGCTCTGGTCCCGACAGTTTGGAACCCAATCAACAATTGGCGATAAAATGAAGAACTGGGTCTAGTGGGTCGCTAGACATATGATTCGTAAGTTTCAACGGTAGTTTTCCATCTTCTGTCCTTGGTTCCATACTTTTCAGACATTTTGAGTTCTTCGAATTGTACAACGACGATAGTCGAGACTTCGAGTACGATGTGGCGTGCTGTCAAAAATGGCTTGCATAAATTTACACGACCTACTAGATCAAAAATATGAAATGTGATAGAATCCTATCAACGCTTTCCGATTGCGACGAACCTTTCATTTATCTATTGGGAATTATTAAAATGAAGCTCTATGATCTAATCCCAATGACCAGGCAACGATTCATAAAATCGATCAAATAAAAACAATACGTAATACTATATACCGACAACTTTGATAGTGTCAAAAATCCATCATATAGCAGATCTACTGCTGTCTTCTTATAGGATCAACGATTGGCCACTTGTAAGAGTGTTTACCCCAAATCATGTAGAACACCACACTGTAAAGAATAGCAGCAGCAAAAATAACACAGGACCAATTCATAGTAACCGGAGTAACGACTTGTGTATTGGGCCAGAAGCTGAAAAACATGGTGATCATCGAATAAATCAATCCGGCAATATTGACAATTGGACCAAGGACTGGACCCATTCTCCACGGTCCCCAATGTATCTTATCTTTTACTGGATCTCTGCGAAGTCGCTTTTTGAGGATCAGGACGATGGGTATCATGTAGGAGGTAAAAAATGCCGCAACATTAACGGAGACGATCGAGTTGAATGCGGCAGTGCTTCCAATATTTATGAGTGCCAATAAGAGTGAGATAATGGCACTGACTAGAAGAGAATATAATGGTAGTGCTGTTGGTTCGTGCACCTGTAGAGAGTTAGACGGGATCAACAAAGGGGTTTGGGAACCTGCTTACACGGGAGAGATATGCGCTACCTGGTACTCCATGGTCTCTCGCGAAAGCCCACAATAAACGTGAAGCAGTTGCCATAATACCAATGGCCGCGGCGAACATGATTATCACAATGATACATGTCATTCCAGTTGCAGCAGAGTTACTACTAGTGGCTTGCCTAAATATCTCAATAAACGGGAAGCCGGTAGGAGAAGTGAGAGCGTCATTGATATTTCCGAGACAGAAGAGAAGGGCTATAAGTAGCGCGAAACCTAGAGCACCATTCAAAAGAATCGTGGTGATCATTGCCCAAGGTACGACGGTAGAGGCATTGTGAATTTCCTCACTCATATGGCAAGCAGAATCGGCTCCTGGGACTAGTATTAGTTCCACTCTTGGCTACGAGCATTACAGGGAGGAAGTAAACGGCCAGTCTTACCTAGAAAGGAGAAAACACTTGTAATCAAGCCAATAAAGAATGATATTCCATCTGTGGACCAACCACCACCGTTGACAAACGTAGCAAAGACATCACTTGCCTTTCCATGAGGCGCAAGGTAGACTAGAGGAATAAGAACACCAAAGAATCCAAGTATATGGATGCAAAGAACCAATCCTTCAATCTTTGGCAACCAGCGAGCCAAATACGTATTGACAAACAAAACAACAGCTAGAACTGCGTAGAATATCAAAGTCGCTTGCCATCGCTCAGGGACGTAGGTTGGATGATTTAGTATCACCAAAGCCTGGACTAATGTTGCGCAAAGGAAAGCAACACTTGCTTGGCCTGCTTGCCAGCCAATGACTGTAAGCCAGCCTGTCATGTATGAGAGGAACTTTGCGTGGGACTTAGGGGCGAGAATCGACACCCAGTGATATTGACCGCCGCTCAATGGCATCCTTATTGCTGCTATCAGATCTATGCGCCCGCAGGGGAAGGGCTATACGGACATGGAGGACATCTCTGCCAAACTGGCGACGGTACATAATGTACCAAGAAAACAGAAGATATAGCCGTACTGGACATCGATGATTAGTATATTGCAACAACATTTGAGTTTAAGTAGACTACGACGAATGACTTACAACTAATCCTGCCGGTCCACCGTTTTGGAATCCGTAAAGGAAGACTGCAAACATTCCTTCCCATGTCGAAAGCAAACTGCAGACGAAACCCGCAATCGACAAGAAGCCAAAATTACGCTATGTCATTTCAGCTTTGTCAATGATACTTGTGCTTGGCGCATACCTTCAATTGCTGGCGTTTTCCAAAATATGCCATTTCCCGATCATCTCTGCTGGTATTGCCTTTCGACCCGGCATGAGGTATCTCATCAGAAGACGTCGACCTAGCGATCACGCCCAGTTCTACATTCTTGTCCTCCATGGTTAAAGTAAAAAAAATGCTATACGGGAAAAAACTAATCGCCGAACAAGCTCATGAAAAACGGACAATTGCAAGCAAAATGAAGAGAGATAAAGCAAAAGAAAATCACAACGGGGACGGAGAGCTATCTGCCTTTCTTGAAGATACACGGCAGACATGGCAGACATGGCAGACATGGCAGACACTGCAGAGTAAGAACCTTGCATGGAATGGGTCACCGAGTGGAAGATAGGGAAAAAAAGAAATCCCTGACACCACCTACAGGATGAGCCGTCTCATTACACCTTTGGTAAATATCCGATGCATAAAATGGAGCGAGGTGCATTTTAATATGGTGTTGTATATTATGATACGCCGTTGGTGCAAGGGATAAATACGAATTATGCAATCCCAGATGCTCCATCAAAATATCTTTTCCTTAGAGAATGGCTGAGTGGCTTTGGATGGTTTGATGGGTTGGACGGTTGGATGACAGCGGGGAAGCCGCCCTTTCCCGTTCAAGGTTAGATTATTCACGTGATTCCGGCAAATGCTACCTCAAACCTACATAATTTGATAAACGCCTCATCGCCGCTGTAACATTTATATATATCCAACACTGCTGCCCCTGTTGAGCTACGAAGCTACAACTATGCCTCTCCACTTCTAATATCGACACCACTTAACTATTGAATTGTCTTTCATCTCTCCATTATAAATTTCCAATTGTCTGGAAATGATCATGCCTCCTTGTCGGCTTGTCCGATCACGAAACTGGGCCACATACGACAAGTGTTCGAAGGTCTTCCAGACAATTGGACGAGCGGTATGCTCTCAAGTCTTATCTATATAAGTAATATCAAGGCGACAATCTCGTGTAACGTGACGAGCGCGTTTGTCTCTATTGGAAAGAACCCCTAATCGTTTCATACGAGGTAGCAACCTACATTTGTTTGGACCCTCAATTCTATCGTGCATGATCACCATATTGTGGCACGGCTTGGGAAAAAACTGTGGTGTGATGTTTGGGATCAAGGAGCGAGAAGTGTTCATGGGAATTTATTGCAGTTGCGCCGTCCAAGAGATCCCAAGAATAGGTCTTACGGAGCTCCGGATGATCGTTACCAATTCCCGAATGAAGTTCGATCCAGTGGTTGAACTGTTGTTTTTCATCAGTGCATCCTCACATAAATTTCACTGCTATGGGCACAATTCTATTTCCAACAATTGAAAAGGGTCTGGAGCAAGTATCAAAAAGTTGGGAGTACATAAGTTCCTTTTTCTTAAGAGTGGCATATGTACGGCAAAGTTTGTGCCCCTTGCATCGTTTTAACAGTATTCTTTTCTTGTTGCTCCGTGAAATCATTTGATCAGAAATTCCCAAGTTCTTGTTCAATTGACGAATATATGCAAGAATTGGGATTGGAAAGATGTATATCTCATTCCAATGCCGATTCATTCATACTCTTCACTATCTTTAAATCATTCTTACAATGACATCAATACCCCTTTCTTCACGGCAAATCATTATATCAAGCCATGACGAAGGCCCTTTAGTTAATATAGTATCATGGATAGGTTTGAGTACAATGATACTTGGTGTTGGAGCAAGGATTGGAAGTAAATATCTTGTTGTGAGGCGATGTAGTACTGATGATGGTTTGATTATAGTTGCCATGGTCAGTATATCATAGTTTATTCCACCTTGGGAGCAACACTAACAGCCTAGTGTTTTGGAATCTGCCATAGTGTTTTTCTATCAATGATGGTTAATAATGGTCTTGGTCGGTACCAAGATACTCTCAACAGTAAAGAGCTGGAATACTATCAAAAGGTGCATTCGCTTCACTTGAAGGTACACCCAAGTGAGCTAACTTACGACGCAGTATGCCTATGCATCTCAATTGGTTTATATTCCAACGCTCTGTTTCGCGAAATTGAGTACATTGTTCTATTTACGGGCTTTGACACCAGATTCAAATTACGCAATACTCAACCGCGTTACCGAGGTATGCGTGATACTATGGGCTTTGTGTGCGGAGGTTTCAGTCGCATTTCAGTGCGATCTGCCGAACCCTTGGGCTGTCCTTTCTACCGACGAATGCTTCAATATCGTAAGCTAATCAGTTTATCTATCTCGGCACAATCATTAACATTTACAAGGGCGTATTCTGGCAAACTATCGGGGCCCTGGACATTGTGACTGATAGTGGCATTATCTTCATGCCAATTTTTCTCGTTTGGGGCTTACAGATGCCATTAAGGCGTAAGGCTCTCGTTTTCATGGCATTTGGGACTAGAATGTTGTAAGTAACAAAGTTGTATCCCTAAGAATTGTAGATGATCTAATGATCCGGTAGCATTCTACCCCTATCCATAATGCGACTCGTCATCATTTCCTCTTCCGCAGCCCCCACGCTTCCAAACCAAACGCTCGTCTCATACCGAAATTACGTCTGGACATCTGTCCAACTCAACTCTGCAATTTTCTTCGCATGCTTATCGTTTCTCAAACCATTCATGGAATCCATGTCGTCTGGTGGCCTCGCAGCATCAGTAAATGCTATGGATTCATCCTATGGCAACAATCATTCTCAGTCCAACTCAAAATTAAGTACCTTCCTTTCTTCTCGCTCGGGTTTGAAATCCTCTAAAAAGAACCGGCCTCGCATACCACAAGATCTTCGCACCATATCAACTTTTCAAGACTACGACGAAGATGATGAAATATCTACTCGTACGGCCTCATCTCCAGTTTCCAATTTCAAGAAGTCGTCACCTATGTTTAATTTTCGCTTGAATAATACAAACACGGATGCAAAACCCAGTCATGAAGGGGAGGAACTTGGTACATTAAGGCCTGATGGAGCTTTGAATGTTGCGCATATTCGACGTTCGACACCAGTGGATAATGCGGATAGGAGTACGGTTGGTAGTGATAAGATGATCATCAGACGTACCACTGAGTGGGACGTCAAAGAAGATTTTGAAAATTTTGAGAGAAGAAATACTCGTTCTGGAGATGGGGATGATTATGAGATTCATAAGGCTAGTATGGAGGAAAGAGATGGGGAGGTTTGGGGTGAGAGGGGTATACATTATATCGGGTAGATGGTGGTGCTGGGAATCTGAAATTGGGATAGGATATAATCTACTATAAGGTAGGGGGAGGCATGAAGAATTTAATTAATAAGTTGGCTATAGGATATACCGCAAGGTAGGACAGGTGGACTAAAAGGTTGGAGTTCTTGGATATGGGAAGGAGAGGACCAAATAGGCCTAGGGATGGGATAATCAACATAGCTCGAACATGCTTTGTTTCATTTGTACTGGACTGGATTATTAGGTAGGTATTTCGAAGAGAATAAAAGTTTGTCATATCGTATTATCATTATCTTTACTGTGTTGATGAAACACTCTTCAGCATAATATTCGCGCCTAAATTCTAATTAGCGACATTAGCGACAGTGCGTAACCACTGCCATCATCAATCGATATACTGCAGCTAACAACAAGACAAGTATTTAATTGTACTTTGAAAGAATCATTTACCCATTCTCACATCAAAGTTCCTCAAAATAATACATCTGTCCCTGTTTTTCTAATAGCCCAATAAAGTAGTAATAATAGTGATAAAAACCACCTACCTACCTGCTAGTTGCTTACACCACATACATAAAATCCTTCAAATCCCCCACTAAGCACCAGCCTCCATTTCAATCTTACAATAACCTTACCCTAATACCGTACGTACATACATACGGGTATAATATAAAGAACATAAATTAACATAACATTTAAATCCATATTTCCCATCGAGCTTTATTCTCCTCCTCAAGCATCTCTCTCTCTCCCTCACATACAAAAAAGGAACGATAGGCTCCCTCTCCACCTTCCTCCCATATTATCTCCAAACACCAACTCCTCAACCCCTCCTCAACCCCGACGATTCCCGGCTTCCAGACCCGCATCATCCCCTCACCTCAAAATTAAAATCTAATATCTAATATCAAGTACAATATCAATATCAATTGCAATCGATACCATGCCAACACACCTCATCGAAATCAATCTCAGCGGAGGGGATCCCCCTCAGGAAGAGGAGAAACTTTATAAACTCGTAGAGAGTTTTGTAAATGCGTCTCGTGATACGGATTCTGAGTCTGTGTCTGCAGCTGGAGAAACTGATTCTGTGGGTGTTAATGTTAATGTTAATGGCATGGGTGAAGAGGAGTTGCGGGGGATTATTGTTGTTCGTTAGTATTTCTTTTCTTTTACTTTCTTTTTCTTTGAATTTCATTCTCTTTTTGGTTTTGGTTTTCGTTCATAGATTTATGATTTCAATATCAATCCCTTCATTCTCGTAACGAGTTTTGAATTCGATCGATAGTGGGAATGAATAGCTACTAATCACCAATCAACCCACTAACCTTACCAAAAACCCCAGGTACACAACCCCTCCCCAGAATCCTCCAAATCCTCTCACCACACCTCCCTCATTTCCACAGTACACCGAAAATATCCCAGACGACTGAAAGGGGAATATATGATGCGTGTGGATATTCCGTGCAGCAGCTTTTGATTTATTTGCCTTTACATCCTTTGCATTCTTTGCATTCTTCAAATCAATTTCACTCTTCACATGATTCAGATCATCTAACGAAAACAGACGAGGAAAAAGATAGAGATGAAGATGAAGAAAAAGAGGAAGATAGTAAAGAAAATACCAAAATCCAGAAACTACAAACATTGTTTAATGTAATATCTATGCGGCTCTCGAGCGAGGGAAAGGTAAGTGGGATGAGACAGGGTGAGATTGAAGGGATTTCTAGTTCTTCTACTTTTAGTTCTTCCGATCTTTCTTCTGTAGAGACAGAGACTTCGTCACCGGAAAAGGAGATGAAAATGGAAACGAAGATAGAAAAAGTAATGCGATTTAAAGGTCAGGACTGTAGAGTTTGGAGTGTATGGACAGCGTGGGTAGCGGCGGGGGAAAAGTATGATGGGTGTGGGAAGGATGGAGAGAGAGGGGTGCGGGGTGACGGAGATGGAGAGGGAGAGGAAGGAAAGGAAGGAGAAAGCCTTGCGAAGCGAATTGATTGGGGGAAAATGGAGGTGCTGGGGTGGGAAGAGAGAACTTGGGTGTTTATGAGTTTTGGGGAGTTTTTGGAGAGGGGTAAGGAGAAGAGGAGGTGTGTTGTTATGTGATGAGGGAGTACGGAAGAGGGAAAGAGGAGTTTGTGATTTTGGCTTTGAGGGGAAGGACTTACTTTGGAGAAGGACAGGACTTCACAATAGAAAACAAGATCAACGTGGCTAATGGAAAGAAAAATTGTATGCTAGTTACCCTATGTTAACTACAAAGTGATGAACCAATTCCTACAGCCACAAAAAGCAAAAAAAGCAAAACAAATTTCCAAGTCAATACCTATTGTAATCTAACAATCATATCTTTACCCATCTTGTCCACTCCCAAGCATTCTACGCAACACCTCTCAAGAAAATCCTACATAAATCTCAAAAATCCTCATCCAAGCTCGTAAAAGCACTACCACTACTGGTCTCCTCATCCTCATAATCATCAGAATCCTCAAAATCACTTTCAGCGCCAATCGCTACACCATTCCCGTCATCATTCATGTCAGCCCAGTCGTCATTAAGATCATCATCAAGAGTATTTCTCGCCGAAGCTCCCTTTGAACCAGATATTCCTCTCCGACTCGACTGAGCAAGTTTTTGGTCGACACCCGCCCCATTCTTGCTGAAAAATGGATGACTTTCTGTAAGAACTTTTCCTTGGCACACGTATCCCATGGGAGTATGAGAAAAGTCTTGGCCTTTGCGTCTTACACTCAGCCATTCTTGCAAGAATGTTAGAGGTCTGGACGTAAACCCAACAGACTTTTGTTCTTTGGGGTTAGCGTTCTCGTTACTGAAGCCATCAATAACATGATGATCTTCCTCCAAGCAATCCTCTTGCAACTCTTCCATATTTTTGTCGACTTCAAAACCCAAAAACCAACGTAGGTACTCATACTGAGAGATTTCAAAATAAAGGGCCCCTGAGAAAATACCTAGTTGTACTGACAACCATACTGGCGCAACCCAATCCTTTGAAAGTGCAGGTGTAGCATAATATCTGAGGTCGTTGAAGAGAGCAAGCATTTTGCGCGTTATAGGGGCTGCATAGGTCAAGAGGAAGCAAACAGGAGTTAGTGCCCCGCGGAGAACTGGGATGAGAAGTTCAGCTTCTTCAGGTATGATAACTAAAGCAGTTTCGGTGACAAGGCTCCATAAAACCCAACTCACTTGGCGCTGAAGAAGGCGAGTTAGTAATTGTATAATCATGACACAAAATCATTAGAGTGCCGACTTACCAAGAAATTGTCATGTGGCTCCGTGTTTACTTTAACAGAACGCATGAACTCTCTGGAGACGAATAGTCGAGACTGAAGAGCCGTAGCATTAATGCCAAATTTCCTACCAACTCCAGTCTTTCTCAGAGCCACAAAAGCATGTTCACAGCACGTAGAGCCTGCAGGTAGTCGGCCAGTTTTGGCAAAGATGAGAATATCTTTATCAAGACCAGGGAATGACCAAGCTTGGTAGTGCGTAGGCTTTTGGACTTCTCGCACCGTTTCAACCTCGTAAGCGACTTCTCTCTCTTGTTCCACTTCTTGTAAAGCAGTATGGTGAACAGCATCGCCGGTATCTCGAAAGCTTTTCCGCATCGCATTGAGCTCTTTTATATAATTGGTTGTTTGGGCAGTCAATTTCCCAGAGCCAACTATAGCCTTGGATGTTGTTTTAGCTCCATAAAGTTGCTCTAGGCTGAGTTGCTCCTTCTGCCTCAAGGTATTTAGATACTGCTCCCGCTGGTCGACGTCCACAAGGAAATCTGCATTATCAGCAGCAGCCTGAATTCTACGGCAATGATCAATGCCTTGAGAATAATAAAGAGGCTGCATAAGCTCGATACCCACACATGTCTGCTCCAAAAGCCAGCAAATCACGTCATGTGAATCTAGATAGTTTCCATGATTCTTCTTGACACAGTCCAAAATGCTCTGGTTGACTTCAGGTGGTGCAAAGAATATGACGGATTGGGAAGTTGCAAGTTGCCTTAGTCTCATTGCTGCCTGTACGGTATGATCTTTGCTCTGCCCTAGACCTTACTCAAAGTTAGCATCAGTATTACTGACCCGTTTCCTTGATAAATGGTGGACTCACTTAAGGTTAGCGCCCCGCAAGCATCAGCAGGCATCTTCAAGTCAATTCCACGACAATGAGCTTCGTCGAGATAAACAACAACACCTCTTAAGTCATCAGAATATGGAGAGGCCGATAATGGCACTGGCCTGTATTTCTTGTGAACCACCATTGGCTTTCCGGCTACATCAAAGTAGACGGCCGCAAGTGCTTGTTTGTCGATCTCAAGCCATTTTCTTGCAAGGGATTCATTGCTCAACTCGAGAATCTGCGCCCCAGCATCGATGAGCACTCGAATGCCTCGTTTTGAGATCTTCCGCAGCAAGCCAATCTCGGAAAGATGTCGGCCACTTTCATCAGCCGCAATTACATATTGTCGATTTCTCGGCTGAAGCAAGTAGGTGAGAACCTCAGAGTTGGTATGGGCGAGCCCATCTAAATCTTGCTGCTTGAGATTGAGCGGTAGCAAATTTCGATTATCATTGGTACCACTAAAGCCAGTAGTGAGCGAATTCAGATTGTCAGCGGAGGATAGAGGGATCTCCCAACCACTAGCTTGTAGTTTGAGACTGAAAGATTTGGCGTGAGCTGGGAACACAAAATTGTTACAGTAATAGTCGACTATTATTGGAGATAGATTGAAATTCGACCATAGCTCAAGCATCTGTTGTTCATCTTCGAGATTAATACTGTTCCAATCCCGCAATGAATCAGGTAGCATGGGACAGCTCATAGACCATTGATCATATATCGAGGCCGGATCGTCTGATTTGAGAACGTGCTCCAGGCTTTGATGCAATTGTTTGTAGTTCAGTCCATCGTAATAAAATGCTAGACAAGTAAGAAGGATTGCAACATCTGGGTGGCCCCATTCAGCTTGGTCCGATGGGACACCCTTGCCATGAAATGGAACGGCGATGGGGTCTCTCTCGGGATGAAGACCATATTGTACATGCCACCTCTTCTTCAAGGCCAACAATAAGATCCGATGTACTAACAGACCACGGACATTCAATAGATTCTTTTTCATTGCGGGCTTGTCTGGGAAGATGCCTTTCACGGCCTTGGATACACTTGTGCTGACCTTGGGCTTGGTTATAAAATCTCTGATGGCTATACGATCTGATCTGGAGCAACGAGAAATATCTAAAATGGAAGTTCGCCCATTGCAGATATCAGCAACAAGCCTATTAAGTAACTCCTCTTCAACATCTTTTCGCAGGAAAAATGGCATAGGGTATCCACCACAATCTCTTCGAACAACTTCGATGCTGTGCGGATAAGCTTTCTCGAGATTGTATAGATGACCTGATACAAGAGCAAGCAAAGCTTGGGCAACTTCCCAACGATGAGGATAATTATCAACTGATTTTTGAGCCCCACTCGGATATATGAGCTGTGTTCGTAATGAGAGAATTTGATCGCTCTCATCCATCACATCTCGGCAACGGGAGTTTAACCATTGTTGGGCTTTCACCATTGTACTTCCTTCATCTAAATGACCATCCGAAAGACGTTGAAGTCCAGATAATCGAAATGACAGTATATGCTCCGGCAAAGCAATAGTAATTCCTGAGTTTTGAAGAGCCATCTTGTGCAAGTTGAAATAGGTCTTTACTGTATCTGTGGGGGTTTTTCTCGAAAATGGCACATGAAGGATGTTTCGGCCTAGCAGAGATCCTAGACGTGCTTGCAATAACTGCGCCGTTGGTACTAATAATGGTTTGGGCACGATAATTCGCACAAGGCGCTCGGAATTGGCTAGTTTACAGGCCACCATAGGCACAATGATTGAAGTCTTCCCCTGCCCCATGTTCATTTGCAGAACAGAGTTTGATTTAGAACTTGGGGAAATTGTAGCTCTTGCAACGTCGACTTGGTCAGGCCGAATGAGAACGTTTGCCTCCACTTCGATCAAGAGCCAATCAGGCTCGTCGATCGGCTGCCAATTTGAATGTCCTGGGTTATTCTGCTCCTCTATTAGGCGCTGTTGATCACCCTTTGCGAAGGCTTCTTCGATCCTGAGTAGACGCTGGAGTTTTGTGATATGTAAAGCATATTTGATCAAACTCTCTCTCATGCCACTGCCAAATTTGATTCCTGTGCTCGAGGTAGACCGTAGATTCTCAAGCAGTGTAATAGTTGAGATACATGGGTACAAGCCTCCTGCTCGTAGCCAAGTAGCACTCAGACTATCAAATGATTGATATATCTCTTTGAAAATTTGTTGTAGTACTCTTCTAGTTTCGAGTATGTCATTGGAGAGCTTGAGGGTATCGGCCTGCTTTCTACCATTTTTCGGAAGTTGCTCGAATACTTTGAGGGATTCCAGGCTTTGCATCAATCCTTGCCCATATTTCTGGCGTACCAACGAGGCCTCAGAGCCCATGAGATCTAAGGCGTTATCAGTACAAGTCGTGTATGGATGTAAAAACCAAGAATATTACTTACTCTTAACGATGCCCTCGAGAAGACGTGCCTCTCGAGATAGATTGCCATCGTGATTCAGGTTTTCAGCTTGTGTACTGAATGAGACCGCCTTATTAGATACCATCGTAGTCTCACATGGCATTCGCATTAAATCCATTGACAACGTGGGTGACTCGCCACCTCGGATTCTTGATGAATATACTACTTGTGTTTGAATCTCCATATTTGGCAACACGAAATTTGTTCCACTGTAAGCTTTACCAAGCACTACTTGAACCTGTTCGAGATACTTGGAGAGCTCCATATTCTGAAAAAGCCGCTCCCAATCTGGTTGTATAATACTCATAGCCTTGGCGATATCTATGTGTCCTTCTGTCGAGAAGCCGCCAATGGAGGGTTTCGGACATGGCCATTGATCAAGCAGAACCTTTGCAAACAACTCACAATCGGCATCTGTTTGCGTCTCATACTCATATTCCCGGCGTTCTAGATTCTTGCGCTGTTTCGCGTGTAACCTGAGTCCACTAAAAGTATCACGAAAGTCTTGCGGACATGGTATGCGACAAGGCTTCAGCAGTTGTAAGATGTATGTAAGATGCGGAGCTTGGTTTGGACGAAATTGGACATAATTGAGACACGCCGGAGGATTCAGCTTTTTCAAGTCCTCTAACACAGAACAAGCAAGCAATACCCTAACCACATCCATATTGATATCATCTCGAAATGACATCAAAGCAAACTGGAACTGAAGTCGAAACTTGTCATCTGAGGAGGCTTGTTGGCAGAATCGATATAAAGGGCCAAATGATACTCCGAAATCAACATTCAAGTGATCTGACAGGAGAAGCTTTCTAGGTTCTGCGTAGAAACCTCTCAGATTAGAGTATGTTTGCAGAATACTAGCCACCTCCGCCGTATTATGTATTTTTTGGGGCCACTGAATGATGTGATCGACGCACTCCAGAATGTTCTTGCGCCTTTGACTAGCACAGTACTTGTCTCGTGAATCATAAACAGGGTCTGGCGTCATTGTATGATCCTCAAGAAATCCATCTGGGCGCCTGAAAGGTCTCAGGCGGGCATAGCTTCGACTCACTAAGTGTTTTTGTGGCTCTGTTTTCAGCTGCGGCAGTTCTAGGCTCTTTTCATGAGAAAACTTTCCCAACTTGTCACTTTTTTCGAGTAGATCATGGACTATTGGTTCGTAGCCATCATACTGGATTGTAGTTGTCCATTTATCACTCCAGTTAATCTTCTGCATAGATTTACCTTCTTTTGGGTAGTACTCTCGGATGGGGCTAAGCATCGCAATTTTCGACAGACACAGGCGCGATGTCAGTGTTAAAGGTACCCAAGGCTGGTAGAGACCGGATTTTAAACATGCAACGGCTTCCTCCGTTCCAGTACGTTTTGTCAAAATGTCTGGCAGGAGAAAAGATGTAACGCCATGCAGTAAAGCTTTAGTGTAAAGTTGCCAAGGCTCTGCTGGACAATCAATTCGCCCTAGAGAATCATTGACGAAAAAACGACCATAAGCTCCATGATTATCGATATGTACTTGAACGTGTATTCCATGACAGCGGGATTTTATACTGCTGGGATCGTCACCAGGCAACGGCACAAGAATACTACGCACTCGTGGATTAATAGTATCCCTGAGTACAATTTTACTGCGTAGTCCATACCAAGCCCCACAGTCTTGGTCAGCATCTATCTCCGCGTGCAACTGAGATGATTCAAGATGCTTCTTGTAGTTAACTGCGAAAGACAAAGATAGGCGTTTAAGCTCAACGGTGAGGTTGTTTTTCCGCGGCTGATAGACTGTCAAGTGGCCCGGCTCCTCGAAATATTCAAGGATCCTGTGGACGCGTTTGAATGTTGGGCTAAACGGATTGACCAAGCGGGAGGTACGACGGTAGGCTGCACGAGTTCGTACATTCAAAACCCAATTGCTATCTTTAGGTTTCCATATGTGGGGTTTCTGCCGGATTTCGATGATCCCCGTCGTTAGGTTGAGCCAGCTGTAGATTGTCAGTTTTGACAAGTAGTTGTGTACGAATTCAAAAAGCTTACTGAACACAATCTAACAATAATGGTATTGGCAAATCATAATTGTTGCCAGTGTGAAATACCCGACTGGGTACAAACTCCAGAATGGTGTTTCCTAAACAGGCTCGAACCACGACATTTCCATCGCGAAACCCAAGATGGATAGCATGACCGAATTGATCGTTTGTTAACTGGAACTTGGAGCCGGGCAACGATGAAGGGAAGGTGAGAAGGTTGACATCCCCGAAGAGATCTTTCAGAGTAGTCGATGCTCTATAATCAGCCGGAAGCACTCCCAGAGGCTGGCCATCTATCAAGAGGTAGCCATAGAATATATGGAAACTCAGTGTTTGTTCTTTCATGAGAGCCGAACTAACGATTTTTGCATAAACCCACCATTTTTCAGGGCAATCGAAAATCAATTTTGAAGATACACGTGGTTCACTTCCTTCTGGTAGTGGCCAGACAATTCCCACTGCTAACAGTAGAGATTGAGGGCTAGCAAGCAGCGATTCCCGTAAAAGAAATCGCATATGATAAACAGCCTTCAAATCTCGAATGATAGCATTCTTGAGCCCAGCCGGGGCCAGAGCGGGATCATTGGAAAGATTATCTTGCAGCGTGATTGAGCATTCGATAAAACAACGGAGAGCCTCTGGATCCAATAGTGCGTCATTTTGATGAAAAAATGTTCGGCGACAGAGTAAAACAGCCCATAAACAATATGTTTGGCACCTGGAAGCGGTATCGGAATCGATTGCCTGTTTGATTTCTTCTCTGAGAATTTTGACCCAAGATGCGGTAATTGACCGAGCAGTGTGGAGTAATTCGGAGGCTGACTTGGCAATATTGGGGGTTGCGAGCTGTTTCATACGTGAAGCTATGGTCAATATAGTTTGCATGGCATGATTCTCTCGATAGTTTGACTCGATATTTCTCAATCTCTGATGCAATTGCTCCAACATTCTAGAACAGAAGGTATCATCTCGGAATGACCGATGGATGACACGCAAAAAATCGCCGTGACGATGAGGTCCGGCTTCAAGTACTAGACGCGAGACCAGAATAGCCATTGATTCAGTACTAAAGTTTAGACTCTGAGACCCAAGTTCCACTAGCAACTGTGTGAGACGGCAAGCTTTGCCTGAGAATAGTGCCTGATAGGCCACAAACTCATGGACATTCAGACCTTTAGGACATTGAGATTGACTTGCAACGACCTCGTACGACGAACGCCCGTCCCTGTTGGCAGACAGGTGCGGCAAAAGCATCGAGAATGGCGAGCTTTGAGGTAACGTGAACTGGAAATGGTGTGAAAACGAAGGTCTTTCAACTTGAAACTCTCGGCCTGGCCATAGTTGGGAGGAAAGGTCGTAGTATGACAACCTTAAGCTATTAGAAGGACACACATCATCAATATCAACAGGGAACATAACCATGCGATAGCTAAGATATATGGGTCAGTAATTGAGGTCTTAGTTTTGCGTGAATTAGCCTGAAAGAGTCAACTAACTGAGTTTTGTGAAATCTTTTTGTTGTCGATCCCAATGAAAACCCGTGTTCTCCATTATTCATATATCTCGAAAGTCCCGGATAATCTTTCAAAAGCGCCTGAAGCACAGTTAGTGTTGTCCACTCATTTGAAAGAGATGCATTGGGATCTACTTGCCTGAGGATTTGAGCTACCACCTTGTTTTGTTGAAAAAGCCAAAGCTGACAAGATCTTCCAGGTTGTATCTCGATAAATTGAAAATGTCCAGGGACAGGATAGCTCAAATATAACCACCTTCACTCTAGTTGGATCTGAAGGCAAAGGATGCTCGTGGACCTATAGTTCTAGTAAGCATGAATTCATAAGTAAAAGGTAGTACAAAGCGAAGAAACATATCGCAGTAATTGTCCATCTCACTTCAATTCTGAAGTTTTTGGCTTCCCTTTCCAGAGAGCACTTTAAGCAATCTCGGCTGTGTCCTTCAAGAGTGTAAATGCAGGTGCTCTCATTGATCCTCTTGACAATATTGCCATATTCCTGACTCATCCTCAGCCACTCTGCTTCTTTTTTCTGGCGTAACTGTTCTGCATCAAACTCGATAGTCTCAAGGAGATCTGCCATCTTTAGGGCTTCATCAGACTCGATGAAGTAGCGCTCGGCAAAGCAGCCTTGTATTGGATCCTCAAAGATGGTCCTGTATCCGCTATTGCTAACCGCAGTTCTGCAGCGATCTTGCAAATATTCCTGGACTTTTTGCAGTCGACACATATCTTTATATAAGGATAGCTGCAATAAATCCAGCATTTCGGACGTAAAGAGAGGATGAAACTCCTTAAGTAATGGATAAACAATGCATGCACACTTATCCAAAGACATCCAAAGCTCCACGATGCTCAATAACATTATGGAACGTTCTTCCGAGTTAGCAGAATAAGCACCTTTTGATGCATTGAGGTAGGCGTTTATTTGTTTAGAAACCTCCTTACAGCGTGATTTGTTTTCAGTAATGGAAGCAGATGGAGGAGGAAGATTGTTCAACTCAATGCCACTTTCCATGTCGAAAAGTTCGATATAGCGGTTTCCGAAATTTCCAATCTTCCTAGTGGCGGCTGCTGATACGTCTACAGGGAGTTTGATGTTGTGCGTTCGCGGAGGTACACACAGAGCCTCGGCCATGATTCGCTGTAGGTAAAAACCGCTGTTGGGGAGAGTTAAGTACAAATCACGATCAGCAGCACGTCTTGGCAGTGGCATGACTGGTCGCTGGTTAGACCGCTTGAAAGTTCCCCACTCTGATTCGATATGTTCCGAGGCCCGCTGAATTGCTTTCTGAAAAATGGGTCGCAAGGTTTTGAATGTTTGCTCATGAATAGCTCCCAGGGCGCTCGATTCTTTATCACCATCATTTTCGAGTTTGGCAAGCCTTCGGCATAGTTTGGCTTTTAAGAATGATAGTAACTCGAGGTTAACGCCGTAGATGCTTAGTTCAAGAACCTGTGCCATAGCTAGGCATCTCATAAATTTGTACTGTGTCCGGCCAAAATCAGACATCGAGTATAGCTGTCTTTGTAAGGCGACTCGCAATACGAGGTAAAGAGGGTTTCGTCTCCATGGCTTTTCGGCATTAAACCATACCACATCGTCTCGAACACGCTTCTTTAGAATTGAAGGATATATTCTACGACCATTGCCTTCCAATAGTGTCATGAGCATCTGTGATATGAGCGCGCACGAGGCAGTGTCGCGTGCTTCGATAATAAGTGAACCAGCTTTAAAAGTTCTCGCGGCGAATCGTTTGATTGACTCGGTACTGGCTTGCTCCAAGAAAATGGCCAACTCTTCCAGGAAATCGGGCTGGCGGAACGTTGACAATGGAACATCGACTGCATACCCAGGAAAATCCCATTCTAAGGCATTCTCCGCAGCTAAAACATCCTCCGCGGATGCCGATGTTTCCATACATTCGAAGACTACGCGCTCTTCGATACTTTGAATGGATTCAGCAGATATTTCTTACGTATCGAGTGCATACAGATTTTGTATAAATAAATGTGAAAGCTTGGAACATACCAATGAATAAGTAAAGCTGCATTCTGCTCCACAATGTTGAGAATCAGGTAAACGTTCTGCTGGAGAGATCGAAACTCGGATAAGAGTGTAGCTTTCGTCAGTTTTCCTCGAGCATTTAAGACTTTTGCGGTTTCCAACGATCGACGAACCCAATCCCAATTCTCAGAGAGTTTGTCATTCGTAATATCTCTCATGGTCTTTGAGGCCGTGATAAAATGATCTATGAGGCCGTTCTCTAATTTTTCGTTTCTGTCGTCCCTGCCAGGAAGCCGCGGCGGGAGGACAATATGACTGATCAAAGATTCCATGACGGGATTCGTTGAAGTCGCCATGGCGACAGATGAATGTGATGTAACTCAAAGACAATTATGAAGGGATAAAAGAGAGAACTGTATTTAAGCTGAGAGATATTGAGGTGGAGGAATTTTGTCGAGGTGAGGAGGAAGTTTGGAGGTGGTTGTCAAGTCAAATTAAGAGGAGAAATATAAGCCCCACTAGCGCAGAATCAACAAAACAAAACCTAGCACGCCATGGTTACCTAGTAACCCAGATCACTTTCTGATTGTTTGATTAAGATTTGACAATTAAATGATGTTGAAGGCTGGATGTTGGTTGATTGGATGATTGAAGGGCTGAATAATTGGATCGTTGGAAGGTTGTAGGCCTCAAACACCACTTGACAATCGACAAGTCTCTGATCCCGATCCAAATACTTATTTGTCAAGTTTGATGTGCTTTTTTTGCCCAACAGCTTCAATTTCCTTCTTCTTCTTCAGCTTTGGAAATATTATTACGAAGCCGAATTAAGATGCCCTTGAACTCCAATCTCTCCAATCAAATTATTTCAATACCCTTGCATGATCACTTGGATGCAGAACGTAGCAGTCGACTTCCTTTATCTGATATATACCTTTGCCCCCATCTCCTCCAGGAATAAATGCAAGCTTCCTTTTATTGGATGGTCTACATGATCATCAGATCTGACAATCAACCCTGATATCAAGAAGTATCACTAAATGTCCCCACCAAGAAATTACCTTGAAGTGTCTCTTACCAACAGGAAAGCAGAGAAAACGAAACGGAACCCAGCCGATGATACTCTTCAACCACGAAAGCGGATAAGTTTCCTGCATCTCTCACCACCAACCCCAAACGAACAGCAAACAACTTCTCATCTTATGCAGGCAACCAGCGAAAGCCACTTCAATCCACCTATTGGTCGAAATTGAGCTCGTTGGTGCCAGTTAAATGCATTGATGGCTGATGTAGAAAGCCATCAACCCTGTCTCACTATTTGCCGTTCAATCCTTCAATCTCTTTAATCACCCTACAAACGAAATTTTCATCACATAAATTCGGTATCTAATTAAAAGAACAACCAACCGGATTAACGAACGAAGACTTCTGATATCAGAAAAGCTTCCATAGAAGACATCACTCGAAATGAATGATGTTGTTTCTCTCTCCTTCCCGTCAAGATATTCCTTCCGTCAACCCTTCCATTTATTATAGCTTGAATTACTCTCATCACTCTCGTTACCACATTTGCGCCTGCGCCTGCACCTGGCATCTTAAACAGTACCACTTATGAAACAAACACCCTATGCGTTCCTTTCCTATTCCTTTCCTCTTTCCTGTGCTCTCCCTTTTTCGACGTCAAAAGTCAACGGGAAGATTAGTCATTGACCCACATACCTCTTTTAGGAATAGTTCACCATTTGCAGTACCCCTGTTCAGTTGCCCAAGCATCTCCTTCGGGTTTGTACATTTCATATTCCCGGTCTTCGTTTCTGTGATTGAGTTACAAATTGTTTGTTATTGGGGCTTGCAAGGCTTTTGAGGAATATGGGATGGGAATGTGTGGATTAGCCGCGAGCTGAGATGGTGTTGGAGAGAGTTTTACACACATTTTCCGTTGACTAGGTAATACTTCCCTCCTATGTATTCCTCCAAGGCAAGTTTCTCAAGCAATATATACAATTACAATTCAACCTCTCGCTTCATCAGCCCCTCAATATTTCTACTCCTCTCCTCTGCCTGCCTCTTCCTAACTCTCTCCCTCCATCTCATGACCTCAACTCCCGCAACACCCGCTGTATACCCGGACAAATGCGCTTGATGATCGCGGATCTGTTTCCCACCAAGCCTGCTCACTCTCCTCCACGAGAAGATTTCCAGTCCAAAAAGGAGTCCTAGCACTAACCATGAAGGAACCTTGGGGATTACCCCAAAAATGCTAACACCATTATCCCTCTGATTCCACAAAAAGGCTGCCATGACACCACAGACTGCACCCGAAGCACCTAGAGTTGACGAAATAAAAGCGCGCTTCCACACCCACCATGCTAATGAAGCGAAGGAAGATATTGCACCCATGGAGAAATAGAGGGCGAGGAAATTAGCACGGCCGATTTCGTCGTGGAGCTGGACTCCGAAGATGGCAAGCAAGACCATATTTGGAATGAAATGAGAGAAGGCTTGATGAGAGAAGACGGATCCAATCATTGATAATCCTCGAGGGTAGGCAGGGATAATAATAAAGTATTTGTTGAGCAATTGCCAAGCAGGTGGAACACGCCAAAGGAAAAGCACCACGGCATTAGCTACGAAGAGTGCAGAGATTGTGGCTACTGCAGGTGGAATTTCTGGAAACATGCGAGCGGCTCTTTGGGGAGGTATGTAGAAATGTGCCAAAGTACACGAGACTCCAATTGTTAAAAGGAGAGCTAAAGTGGATGGCCAAAGACGAGTAAAGGCAGACAATTCAGGAACGACCTCAGGCGCAGTTTCTTGAGCCTTTTTTTCGTAATATTTGAGCCACGGATTTTCACCTTTTCGACGAAGTTCTACTCGTGATCGTGGTTTGACGTGATCCAATGTGCCTGTATTTTGTGGGGCCTCATCTGCTTGACTCAACTCTTCCTGTCTTTTCCTCTCTTGAGCGGCGAATTTTGCCTCATTGGCTTTTCTAATGGCATCTAATCCACTGTCACCATATACACTTTTGGTCTCTTGTGCTCGCTCTTTCGAATCTTTTGACTTATACAGATTGACATTGATTTTTCCTCCCCTCGTTAGACCTCCAACATTCGGTACATATATACCAATTTTCTTGGGGTCTTCAACAATACCCCCCTCAATCTCGGCCAGTTCCTGTTCGGCTCTTAGTGCTGCGTTCTCATCCTCATCAACAGGAATATTCTTCCTTAGCCATGCTAATGCGCTCTTTTGTGCAACTTCCTCCCAGTATGCTAAAGAACTAGGCTCATCCGGATCTGGCAGTGTTCCCGCTACTCTTCGCCCATGTATAACTCTCAAAAATCGTTCCGCCGAATCTCCATCCATCACATGTCCAAAAATTGCTTGGTTTTCCTCCTCTGTTATTGGATCTTGTCGATAATCAAGACCCATTTGATCTTCGTAGTCCGCTGGTAATTGCCCATATTTCGTATATATCGTCTTTCCAGGCGCAACCTTGGGGCCTGCAGCCTTTAATGATGCACTCTTTGGAGGTAATTCATTAGATAACGTCGAACTCCTCGGAATCTTTGGTGCCTTCCTTTTCGAGGCATAAAACCTCTTTGAGCATTGCAACCCTAAATTTCCTGTCCAGCCATTATTTTCACCTTCGATTTTCCTTGAACCCAACTCCCTCTGCCGGAAAGGTATAGAAGACTTCGAATATGGTCGTACAGTCCCATATGCAAGCCTCGAGACCAAACTATCAATTGTTTTACATGTTTGTAAGGTGGTCCGAGTTTGTAAGCACGAACTGCGTGCAGCAGGCCAAAGACTATTCATCTTCAGACTCTTGTTGTTATTTCATATCTTAGGAATCATTGGATCAAACAACCCCGCTGCGGTGTACTAATTCGTCATACGACGTCCTTGTCCTGACGCATGGATTTGGAGATCATGGAAAATAATATATATGCACGGACCGTTTCGCGATAATTCCGCGCGGGCAGCTGTTGCCTCAACTGCAACCCCTCCATTCTCAAAATATCTCCAATTTCTCACCACATTTTGAATTCATAATCTAAACCTCAAGAAACTTGAAGGGTTCAGATATCTCTCAATCATCATCAAGAAAACACCAGCCTTCACCACCCTAAAACTCATTACGGTCGCAAAAGCTACATTCAACCCCTCTATCCCAAGCTCTACAAACAATCCTTAAATTTACTCCAATCTGACCATGTCCGCCGACGCGCTTCCAATCTCCCCTGGCGCCTTCGCAGAAGCTCTCAAAGACCTCCCAATGTCCACCCTGCACCTCAAAGCCGCCGAGCTGCGCAATTCCATCGCACATCTCGATTATTCTAATGAGCAACTCAAGCCGTTTGCGGAAGGGAGAGCTCCTGAATGTGTGGATGGGAAAGTGGATGAAGACTGGTATGCTACTTTATCTCAGACTGCTTCAACGAGTTATGGATAGGCGGAGAAGGCAATCTTAGGAATAGCTGTTGACTTGGTTCTGATAGTGTCGATGCGATTCGCGAAAACGAGGCCGTAATAACCCGCATGGAGACTCGTATATCTCTTTTACGCACTGAAATCGAGAGTAGAGGCGGAGTCTGGGGTGAATATGAAGCCGGCGCCGGATCCATACCAGAAGCCGATGTAGCAACCCCTGCGCCTGCAACAAACGGAACAGCTCCTGCTGGTGAAGAAAGTAGGAGTAATCCCTGGGCCGATGGAACATTTACTACTGGAAGGATTGTAGGTGGTGAGGTTGTAATGGATCCTACACCAGCAGCTGCAACGGCACCAACCAATGGCGAGTCAAGATCGAATGGAGTCTCGAGCACAAATGGAACCACAACCACAACTACAAACACGGGAGGTACATTAGACGACGAGACATTACGTCGAGCGATGGAATTACGTATGCGAGAAGATGCTGGTGCGGATGATGATGATGATGAGGGTGTGCATCTATAAGATATAACAATCATCATTGAACGGACATTGCACCTTTGATAACCTTGGGAGCATGGCTGTTCGACAAAAGTTTCGATGCCGTCGACCACAAGAGGAGATGTGTTGAGCATTTCATCGTCAATGTCAACTCCTCGTTCAAACCATCACCGTTTATTCGTATTTTGCAAGATCAAATTTTTGGCCCCAGGAAACGAGTTAACCAACCATTGCACACAAACAAATCACAACAGAAGAAAGTATCGCTGGGGAATTATCCTGAACCGACTGCATAACGTGATACATTTCATTTTCATAGTATCCACAAACAACTAAAGAATCACAATCATGGTGATAGCAGTTGATAGCCCCAAAACTGCTCCACTCTACCCAACTTTCACCTCACCGGTTACTACTCCATCTCGCCACATAGGTATAGCCAAGAACCTCGATAGGTTCATGGAGTAAATAGCCTCTAAGAACGAATTAAAGAAGCGCGAAAATTTGCAACAAAGAGGAGAAAGGAGGCAAAAAGAGATACAGTTGCTGCTGCTACTCAAGAGAGTTATATCTAATTCTTGAGTCTCACTCGATGAAATTGGATAATTATACTGGCGAGCTCAGCATGTTGTTGAATTGTTGCCAAAACGTGAGTTATCAAAGCAGCTGGTTCGAGTGTGGTAATACCTTATGTTGCACGTTGACTCGTTCGGGCGGGATGGGTCGGGCCAGTTTGGATTGGGTCGGACTTCTAGATGTAAGTGTAGCAAAACTAGTAAATTTGGTTTCTGCAATTACTCTCTTCGAATCAGCTCTCTCTACATCTCATCGCACCACATTACACCATCGCATCACAACCCAATTCATCTCAGATCTCAAACTCAAAAACTTCAAATCTCGAATTTCAAGCCGCAAATCCCAAAAGTCATTTGTTTGCATAACCGGCGTCAAGATACCATCTGTTCTTCCCTCTACACCTCCCTCTATTCCATTCACATTTCCCTCCATCCCGAAAATAAGCGATGAAAATACTCAAAATTAGGGCTGGGAAAGGAGGTGAAGATTTAATTTGATCAAAGAGGTGATATATTACATGTACCTAGTTTACCTAGTTTATCCATTTAGCTACCTGGGTACTTAACACTTAATAAAAAAACCTCACTAGCAATTTAAAAAATATTTACGTCCCACTCAATTATCCTCCCGGCTAGTCCAAGAATCTCTCTACATCCTGCACCCCGCAGACTCAAAAGTTCATGTAATGTGGAGAGGATATATATATAGTGTATTTATATATACTATACACACTATACACACTATAAACATTATACATACAAAAATAACAGCAAAACATGAGAAGATCACATTCCAATCCATAGAATAGTTTTCTCAGAAAAAATCAAGCACCAAGTAATTAATTATTAGAAAGGAAAGGAAAGGATTGATTTATGAATGTAATAGCAGGTACAAGTAAAAATACAAATACAGAAAAAACAACAAACAACAATAAACGACCCTGGTATCAAATATTTCACTTCGTCCGTCCAACCAGCCAGCCTTTATTAATGCAACGCGGCGCGGCGCAACCCATCTTATAGCATAGGTATCTTACCTACCCAGCCAGGTAAGGTATACATACAAGAACCATTAATCCAGCCTAGCAATCTCCTCTCACGGATTGCTCCCATCTCATAACGTATCATGCATGCATTCATCCATTACCACATCCTCCTAAAGCACTCACGCAACCATTCACACAACCCACAAACAACCCAACAACTAGTGAACCAACCTACCTAAGCACCTCACCCCCCTCACTTCCGCCCGCACCCCGGCACTCCTCCCCTACTCCCCCAACTCCCTCTACTACCAATCCAACTTCTCCTCCCATCAGCCACCAAAAGCGGCGCGCCCTCATACCTCAAAACCGGAACCGACATACCATACGCCCTCGTCTTTCCATCTGCATCATGCTGATCCATCTCCACCCTAATAACCACATCCAAACTACCATCGAGCGATTTCCCATGTTCGTTTGGATTTGCGGATTTGTGTGCCGTACCTGCCCCTTTCTCACCTAGGTGAAGGGGAGAATGTCCATCTTTTGGGATTTCGGAGGAGGGAAGATCATAGGGTTGGAGGTCTGTTTCGGTGGTTGGATTGTCGGTGTTTTGATGGGATGGGTTAGATGAGGATGGCGAGGAAGGTGAGTTCTCTGTGAGGATTGCCCAGTTTCGACTAGGCATTGTAACCGTGTTACTCTTAGCTCTCTTTTTATCTTCTCCTGGGTCTCTGTCAAAGAAACTTAAAAGTGTTTCATCTGTCTCCTTATCTAAATGATGGATTTTATTTCTTCTAGCTAATAAATTTGCCACGGCTTGGGGTGGTGGTTTGTTAACAATAGCGGAAGAAATGATATTCGCCATATATCTAAAATCTTTCGAGACGGGGATTTTTAAGTGGGGATTTGAATAGAAACGACCAACTGCCGCGAGATGTACGTCGCCACCGAGGATGGTGATGCGTACTGAAAATTGGGAAGCGAGAGATTGCAGCTGTGTGACGATGTAGTGTCGTTCTCTTTTGTGGGTGTGTGCTGTGTAATGGTCATCAAGGTCATCAAGGAGATCAACACTACCGTCAAAGTTATTGAAGAAACTCCCACCTATGGATGAAACTTAGTAGGGGTTCTATGAATGAGGTGTGTATAGAATATCGCTTACCAAACCCAAATCGCTTGTTCATAAATTTGAGTGGGCCCATCAAGGGGCTCGAAAAAATATTCTCTAACCATGTCAAACGCTACTAGTATTAGCAATGATATATATATTAAGTTATTGTGATAAACTCACTGGATAAGCGATAGGGATTCCGAGTAAAACAATAAGGTGTTGAACAGGATTTGAAGATGCTTTTGCAGCAGCAAGTTCTGCTCTTAGACGATCGAAAATCTTCTTGTATGTTGCAGGATAGTTTACTTGATGACGTGTACGCTATAGCAAAAGTCAATATGGTACTTGGGTCTCAATTTGGCGACTTACCTCTGTTCTAGCATCAATACCGAAGAATGCGATTCTCGCACCCAATCTTGCATAAATGCTACGAGAGCGTTCTGCTACATATGGCTGAAAACAATTAGCCGGATCCATCAATAAGACCTGAAATAACTTACACCAGGGCTATCACCAATGATATAACTTGGATCAGGGACGTCATTCTCCAATACATAGGTGTTCTCCACCTGACGTGGATCAAGGCCAACTGCATTTGCTGACATTGTCTGAGGCGCATCTGAGAAATTTTAGTTAAGTCACAAGGCTGAAACCTTAGATTATAACAAACCAGTTGTGAATGTGGATGCTGGAGGTGCGATATGGTGTTGGAATAGTAAATAATATTTATGAGCAACACCACCAATACCACGGAAAACTGGACAACGCATAAATTCATCGACGTACGAGCCAAAGCCATCAATGATCTATTTAGACAATTAGCAACAAAACCTTGTCACACAAAAACATAACTCACGTCATGATCATCCCAGATGTTAACTTGGGGGATCTTTCCATTCATCGAAGCAAATGGCTCAGTCGTATACCTGCATTTCCAAGTCAGGCGCCAAAGTTTACGATTTTCAAAATTGACTTACCAGCGAAGATAATTCTTGACATAATAATCATCACAGTCCCTCCTCAACTTTTCAGGAAAAGGATGTTCTCTTCTTTTTATCGGATTACCAATATCACTCCAAGGTCTTAGAGGCCCATTGACTCTAATGCCATCATTGTATATCTGATCTCCTCCGCCAAGCCTGTCAAATGTTAGTATTTACCATTCGAGACCCTAAAGTTCTTACATAACATGGAAAGGGGCCTCCTCATGTCGTCTGGCAACATCTCTCCAAAGACAAGCACCACTATAAGCCTCCGTATCCGTGCCCACACTAAACCCATTACAAGAATGAAACATTATCCTCATACTCTCCGAAACCGCTGGTATGAAAAAGTTCTGTCTATCCGTCTTTTCTCCTTCAGCAAATGTGAGCCCAGGAATCGTGTACTCGCATCGAATTTCTTCTTGTTGCATAGGAACTTGGAGATAAAATCTCCAGAAAGTGTTTGCCACATCCGCATATAGCTTGACTCCTCTAATTTTGACTTCATCAGCATTGCTGGAAGAATAAGATTGTCCGGCATTAATTGATATATTGCCATTTGATGATTGTGTAGGGTTTCGATTCTGGGAGTAATCCACGCCATTAATGATTCCATGCGCTTCACCACGATAATTCGTATCCCCATTTCCAGCGGCAATACCAGTTCCATTGCCACCTTGCGTAGACTGGCCATTCTCCAAAACCCTCAATCTCAACTCCGGTATCGAATCCTCTCTAACCGTCTGTGTATCAACCACAATCAAAACACTCCCAAACCAAACATCATTTTCCATACGTCTATAATTAAGCAAAGGACCGCACTTAACCGTTGCCCTAGCTCCTCCCCTTTGTACTCCGTTCATGACATCCTTCTGTTCTAATTCTTCTTGTTCCCTTCTTGCAGCTTCAAGTTCTCCACCTTGCGCGTTCCCAGCTAGCATAACTGGTTTCTGCGGGCCAGATGAACCTTGACCTTCCACTCGCGATTTGTTTAGAAATTTAGCCAAACCACGACTCTCATGTACTCCATCCGCTTCCTGAGTTGTGGAAGCTGCATGTTGAGAAAATGCGGTGGATTCTTGGTGACGCCAGCGATTTGCAGATGCGTGGGGGTTGGGATGGTCTTTACCATTGGTAATATCGTCTCGATAGTGAGCTGCCATTGTTTATTTGTCCTCGATTGGGTCTGTTGAAATGATGAGGATGACAATTATATACGCCTTTGCTCTGCTGGCAATGTGCGCGCAAAGAGGTGGGTGGCAGAAAGTGAAGGTTCTTTGATGTAGATAATACGAGTACGATCTGCGTTCCTGCCGATGGATCCAATTCCGTCATATAATGCTTTGTGCAACTTCGAATCACTACCCGTTCTTTCCTTCTTTCGTTGGTATGCGAGTTAATTCACTCCTCAGAACAAAACATCAAAATGAGTCAAAAATTCTCATTTCCTGGGACATAGGTGTCACAATAGCAACTAATTAGAAGATTGAAGGATTAAAATTGCAATTGATATCTACAGAACAAGGTAATTCGCATCTTCCCGACTTTCTCTTGGCTTATTGACGCCAAGAGTGCAATTAAATACAGCAATATGTAGATAACAATAGTAAACAGCAAAGAAATTGTGATGATATCAAATTTGGCGCGGCTTAAGCTTCTTCATGGAATCACGGACCATCACAGTAAGGGCGATCACTAATGTAGGAATCCTTGTAGAGCTGCGTATTTAGTCAAGATTAGATGTAAGATCTTGCATTTTGACCAATTAGAATGGGTTTATTGCTTTTTTGCAGAAGGCGGTACGAAAAATAAACACCAGTACGATTAAAAAGTATAAGAATCTACTTAGTCCATCCTCCCTTTCTACGTCATGTGCCTAGAATGAGGAGCTTTATACTTTCTGGCTGTACGAGGATCTAATCCAGTACTAGATGGGTGTACACAGCCCATTCCTCATCATCCACAAACACACCAGCTGAAACCTCACACTCACCACGCGACTCTTATCATTTCCGAAGAGAAGAAAAACATGGCAACCAGGGATGTAGCCGTTGCACGTACTCGCACGCATCTGAAGAGCTGTATTATCTTACACAGCTACAGGATAAGTTCTTAGCGCTGATGAAAAGCAACCTTGTCTGCTCCAGAGTTGTGGCATCTTGTTAACTTTATATCTATTAGATATTAAAGCTTGTATGCAGTTTCTTGTCTTTAATGTTCACATTTTGTATGAGTAACAGTTTTGATCGTTCGGTAATTTCTGCATTACGAATGTTAGTTCTTTCGTATGTGGGAAGTAGCAGATAAGCTTGCTAGTGCTAGCTCATATGTCTTACTAAATCATCAATACTACTGAGTACTTCGGATATTTCAATTGCTCAGTCATGTATCCCCAAAATTATATATGTCGTCCGCAGAACCACGTGGCATAGTTGAGTATAACTGCATTCTTAAAATATCCATTGGTTTACTTCAAAAGGCCTTGGATCATCGTGTACATATCAAACGATAGACCATTAAAGTTACACATATCGAATTGGAAGTTGGAGTAGCTGGCTTTGAAAGTTGGAAAGCCTTTTATGATACCTGCGCCTGTCAGCCCATCAACCCAATGACAAGCTGAGCAGAATTTCACAGAGCTATCTCAAGCCACAATTGCTGCGATTGACGTTGCTCATTTGATGGTTCAATCAACCTGGCTGGCATATGGCACACCACCATACAATAAACACGGTCGATATCACTAGGTTTATCCCAAGCATTAGCATCAAGCACAATCAACGACTTCACCACAACTCACAATCACAAAGCCTTAAAACCCCCACATTTCTCAGCTGCACATTCTCATCCCCCCTCCATATACCCATTCCCAAATTCCATACACTCCCCTTCCAACATCACCAAACTCTCACACCCATCCTTATCCCAACCCACATCCCCCTCAAACCCAACACCTACCCAAAACCCAAACTCTACAACTAATCTCTCTCCCATTACACATCCCATCCTACCCCTCCTTCCATACCCTACAGCTAATCCCTCCCCTCATCACCTATCCTATTCCATATCTCCTCGAAAATTTTCATTCACATACTAGTTAACCCTCCAATCCGTTCCAAACAGAACAGGATAGAATAAACCCAATTTAGCAAAGAACAACATGAAAAACTTCCAAGACTCCACTTGTATTTCTTTAATCTACTAACTAGTCGATACCAATATAAGATCTTACCAATACTGATAAGTTTCAACATGATATTTCGCGCAGCCCTTTCTTTTCAAGGCTGTTGGTATATACACCTAGCGGGCAGAGAGTTTAGCGAAAGCTGTTGGGTTTGGGTTTTGGTTTATTGGATATCCGCGGCTGTAGAGGATGATGGATGTAGATATCGTCTTGCTGGAGGGATTAGGAATATGATTTGGATGGTTGAGATTGGATAGTGTTAGGAGGTTGATTCAGACTCTCAATCGAAAGGAAGATTATACAATTTGCTCTAGATATGCTTTACTTACAGATCCACGGATAAAAACGTGGTGGTTATTTCACTAGATTCAGAGTACCGTGTTCGTATTTATTGGGACTGTTTTTTGAATACCTGGCATTTCGATATGGACGAACCTGATCACGGGCCAACATCCACCCGCATGTTTTCGATAGCTGCTCGATCATTACATTACATCATACTTTCAAAACTACACCCAACGAGTCATAAAAGTAAAACTGGAGTATTCATTTCACGACGAAGATACTTACAGAATAGCACTGCTTACATATATGGACTTCGCACTGCACAGTGTTGTCCACGGTAATCCCTTTATGATCAACGCGTCAATCTAGCTATGCTCTATGCTCTCACCTCATCTGATAGTTAACTCTAGGGATTTATCCAAACTTCAGATATCCAATTGGCAGGATTAGTATTCTATCTGCGCGGGAATCATCCATAGGACCAGAGCGTATCAACTCCTGCGGCATGTATATACCATACTATTGGGATTGTCAACTAATAAGGAATCATACAGGCAGTCCATATATACCTAACTAACTGTGCGATATTACTTATATCATCGGCCAAAGAATTAGCAAACGCGACGCGACCACCTAGATACCTATCCCAACCCCAACCCCAAACCAAAACAACAGCTCTCAAGAACTCAAATCTGAGATCTTAGATCTTACGTGGTTTGATGTGGTTGTTATCAGAGGCTTAAGGGATCTTTAATATAAGAAGCCACATATGCATGCATGCATGTATATGGCGGTGCGATGTGATATGTACACGGTGTTCGGGTAACCCTCTTCATATACCGGTAAATGATGCATCTGTATGAAAACCGTGATGAGTTCCACTATTGTTTAATTTATTGGGCATCTGGGTGATGTTGCTGTTACTTGATGCTGTTGCTGTGAATTGTGGATTCCGACACCGATTACGAGGATATGAATGTGTTCGAAGGTTAATGTGCTTGTAAGGGTAACATTCGGTTCTGAAGTTCATGTACAGAGTATGGGGAATCGGAATCGGAATCGAGGGGTCGGTGTACGGAAATCCGGGAATAAAGAACGATGATGTACTTGAAGAAGTACTTGAATAGTAATCTTTACTAGGGAATTTCGGTGCTTGGATCTCGTGATGGTGATGCATTGCATTCTCAGAGATATGAATGAATTGTAGTGCGAGCGAGCGAGCATGGGCTGTCACCGTGAATTCGACCTGACCGCTGCTTCCCGAGGTCTTGTATTGATGAGTAAATAAATAAATAAACGACCATGGATAATAACCACAAGAAGTCACAATACATACCTACCTGGTGTACCATCCATCCATCCATCCATCCATCCTATCGATTAGAGGAAATAGCAACACATACCAGCAAAAGCCTCAATTTCACAACATCGATAACTAGGTAAGTTGATACATATCTACCTATCTACATACGGTGTATGCACATCGTTGCTCTATCAACCACATACCTAGCAAGTACATGAATATCAAGTTAGGGTCTACACAGACTACATAAAGCCAGCCGATCGTAATGTAACCTTAATGGTGCTATTGCGTTATTAAAGTTTTTTTTTCACAATTCCAGAAGTTTGGTTTGCATCATGCTCATGCAGAGGTTTAAAGTTACATACATGGCATGGCATAGGGTTATTTTGCTGCATTAAAAACGCTAGGTTTGCAGGAAGGATGCGAGGAAGTGCTGTGGGAGGTTTGATATGGGTAGGTAGGTGTATAGTGTAGTGTAGTGTATATATCTAGCATCTATATATATCTAGTTATACCTATATAAAGATCTATCTCAAGATCTTGATCGTCTTGTTTCGATTCTTGTTTCAAAATATGACCTATCTAGGTAAATACCTACGCAGCAGTGTACGCAGGGACCTAAAAGTTTTCCCCTTACTTAATGTTAGCATGATCTGTGGGTATCGACGTTGAGGGGACCATTTAATAGTCCTGAATTATGTTGGACCCTGAATATCAATCAATTACTATGATAGTTGTAGATGGGAGAGGGTTGTTCGATGGGTTGAAGTGTGATTCTCGAGTGTACGAGGAGGAGCAAATAGATATGATTCTTAAACAATATGAGCAAGTTCCTAAAACATAAAAACGACAACCAACCCCAGCCTCAACCTCGGATTATCCACCTACCCATTCGCAGACATGACAGCTTTTTGCCCCTCGTGGCGATGGTAACATGGTGAGCCGGGCAACAAGGGGAAAGCAAGGGATGGAATGTATGAATACAGGGTTAAAAGGTTCAAAGATTGGTCCGATATATAGGCCTAGTTACCCAGATGTCTTTATTTGCAGTTAGTCATGATTTGAAACCAGTTTCCCGTCTTTTCTAACTTTCCTCCGTTTCTCATTCCTCCTCCACCACTTGTATGGAGCCGGATTCCACCGCATTTTAACTATGTACACAGCATCACAGCATCACAACATTCATAGCAGATCATTAGAGCAAGAAAACATGCTGAGAAACATTACCCCCCAGGGATTTTAGATACATCATAAATCTCTCGTTGTACACAAGATGAGATTCAATCGCTTGGCCTGGACACACACCCTGGCATTTGATTATCGATAAAAGGCTTAGCTACCTGGGTGTAGATGTACGTATGAATATGTGACTAAAAGACATTGGATCCTTTCGTAGGTAGGTGGTGAGTGATAGGTAGTGATTACATTTCCCTTATTACCTTATTACCTTGGTGAGTATTCCGTACGTCCATCCAACCCCGACCCCCGACAACTTAAACCCAATTATATTCATCCAGAAACACGAAACTTGTCAGTTGAACTCTGACATCACTCACTACCTACTTACTCACTCACCACCTTCCTCACCACCTTCCTCACCACTCACTCCCACTCACTCCCACTCACTCCCACTCACTCCCAATCACTCCCAATCACTCACTTCAAATAACAACTCATTCTTCTTCGCACATCAATATTCCCAAGTTCCTACAAGACAGAACAGCGCATAAGGTCTTATTTCTTCCAAACTTGAGGTATAACTTACATACTATTTGTATTTGGTATTACACTATCTGGAATAGTGTGAAGCACCTTTTTTCGGAATTCCATTTCCAACCTCCTCCGCTTGGACGCAGGACGCAGGACGCAGGACTCGGGACTCAGGACTTAGGACACAGAAACAGAAACTACCTACCACCTACAAATGAATTAACCACTTGGGTAATTTTGTTACAATCATTTCGATCCTTCAATTACAACTTAGAACCTCGTCCATTCATATTCGTTACAAAACTTTCCAATTTTGATGTTTGGATGATCAATGATTACGAATTAAGATTTGCAGGTTCATTTGCTACCAAGCCACCAAAAGTCACCAATCTTTATACGAAACCTTCTCTTCAAAACAGGACTCAATCACTTGTTCATCATTACAGACAAAGTCAATCTACACAATACTTCCCACGGTATCATCTCAAGGAGCCATCCCATATACTATAACCAGCATTTTCCTCGTTGTGTTGAAGATCTTCTTTTCCCGGTTCGAAACACCCGCAACCACATTATGAGTGAACCGCGCAGCGTCACTTTCATGCATTAAACTTCTTCGACTATCTCCTCATTTCACACCATATACCTTTTTCTCTCTCGACATCAGGAATTGACAAATCATGTCTATAGATGTCGCTCTACAATCCGTTGCATTCTATATACTATCCTGCTCTACTTGCGCCAAGATTAGCCATAGGAGGAAAGCAAAAGAACAAGCCAAACGAGAACGAGTCGAAAAACATGCATTGGAAACAGAACAACCAGGCCTGTATAGGCATCCTTCACCATTCTCAACAAATCCATATTGGACGGAAGAAATTATGATGGGTCCCGGTCCACCGAATAAAAAGGGAAATAAGAAGGATAAAAATGGAAGTCGGAGAGGACTCAATACGGCAGGACAAGGAAGTAGTTGTGCGAGTAGTGTAGGGATGAGTACCGATCCTGGGAGTAGTCCTACGGTGGTTGAAGAAGGATCTCGAATATCTGGAGAAGGATGGAATAGAAAACGATATCAACGAGAAGATGAGGAACTTTGGGGTAGAGATACACAAGGGCCCGGGCAAAGGATTATGGATGCGATTACAAGGGCCTCGGAATCTGCCGGACGAATGTTTGGCGTGGATGGAAGACCTAGTAGTAGACATGGATCTGACGGAAATCCGGAAACGTATTATCTCGCGAGAAATCCACCAGTCAATGATTTACATCCACCAATTGTTAGTACGGCACCAAGGAGTAAGGAAGAAACGAGATGGATGATTCAGCCACCTCCATCAGCAAAAATAATGGAGGGTAAGGTTAGGGTCAGTAGTAGGAACCGAGCTGGTAGTCATGGAAGCAGTCGAAGAGGTACAGAAGGACAATTAGGTCGAATTGTTACGGAAAAGCTCATTGATGCTAAAGTACAACGTGGTGAAACACCTTCACAATTGGAAATTCGATCCTTCACAAATCGTGGTCAATACCATGACAGAAATAGGAGTTCATCCCCGGAATCTTCAGATAACTATACTGCAAAAAGATCCCGAAAACCATCTCCAATCACCGTACCTAAAGCTTCTAGTAGCAAACCCCGTGGTAAAGCCGAACATATTCCAATACGAGACTCGGAAATGGAAATGAAGGAATCAACTGGAGGAAGGCCACTACTATCGACAATTATTAGCTCTTCGAATGTGGTACATCAATTACATAGGAGCCAGAGTACCGATTTACCATTAAGAGAATTATCGAAACCCGCAACTGAAAACGCAAATTCGAAAATGACTGCAAAAGAATATCGAGCAGCAGCTGCAAGTGAACCTTTACCAGATCAATCATTAGCAGTTCCTATTATATTGAGGGATGTGAAATTGCAAAAGTCGGAACATATAGAGGGATCTCCTACGAGCAATGTTTCATTAACAGCATGAAAGTCTTCTTTTAAAAATAATGAGGGGGAACACACATCCACATCCTTACAACAATACACAATGATTTGATAGATCATTAGCGTCTATTTGTTATGTCTTTTTCATTCTTGTTTTGTTTTGTTTTTGTTTGTTTTCGTGGCACATTGAATTTTCATGAGCTACTGTGTTTTAGCATATCCAAATCATTGATATTGATATTGATATTGATATCGATATTGGTATTGGTATTGGACAATGGAGTAGGAGTTATAAAAAATTTCCACTTGAGCTTCACTTAGTAAGCTTGGGGTTTTTGGAGAGAGAGGCAATGAAAAGGAGTATAGGTGTTGAGATTTTATTCGTTTACTGGTTTATTTGTTTACTTGTTTTATGTTCTGGGATGATATGAGGAGTTTTGGATAGGGGAGTGGAGTGTTGGGTTTGTGTTTGTATGGTTTATGGAGATGGGTTGGCTGGATTTCCTGGGAAGGGGTTCTGGGGTGGTGTTGGGGGTGGGGGTGGGGAGGTTTGTTTTACCTTGGGAGGGGCTTCGAGGGGAGGCCTTTGGAGGCCTTTGGATGAGTTACGTGCTTGCATGAATGTATTTGTTATGGATGAATGGATTGGTTCATTGATTGATAGATAGATGAATGGATTGATGAATAACATTGACATCCTTCTAATTTCTAATTCGTGATCATGATTATGATTATGATTTCTTACTGGAATCCTAGAACTTGACATGAAAGAGATAGAGTAGAAGAAATGAACTTGTATGAATTAAATACAATTAATTATATAAAATCAAATCAAATCAAATCAAAGTATATATATATATATATATATTTAAAAAGGATCTATTTATTTATTTATGCATTTATTTATTTAATTACTAAATTCCTTATTTCTGAACTCTTACTCCAGAATTCTTATCCCTATTCTAGAAATTTTATTCCAAATCAATAATCGATGAGTGATAATCGATATACTACTACTCCGTACTCTCTACACGTAGCTATTTATATAATCAACCACACATCACATATCATCCACTAACTTAACTTTCATTTCTCCTTCCCCTTCCTCTTCCTCTTCTCTTATTTCCTCTTTCTCCCATACAGTTCTTCCCCCTCAACACTAACACTAATACCGACACTAAACCCTATCACCCACCCACCCACCTCTCCCACTCATCATCCATCCGCCATCTTCGAACTAGCCCTCTTAATAATCCTCGCCGTCTTCTCGACCAAATCCCTAGCCAACCCCCAATCCCCCACTTCAACCGCGTCCCGAATGGCCGGGAAATAAGCCTCCTCATATCCGGACCAGAGTTGCGGACCAAAGATGACATGTTTAAATTGTGTTCTATTGGGTATCTATTTATATGCATGTTAGTTAGTTGATGATATTCAACGATATAAGTAAACAATATCACGTAATATATATCAGACAATTGGGACAAAAAGTCTCAAAATAAGTGTCGAGAATAAAAAGGAAAAGAAACAAAACATACCCCACCACCTTCCTCCAAATCCAAGAGATGGGTTTCGAAATTCGCCATCCGAGTATTATGACTCTTTCTATGAGAAGCCAAACCAGGACTTTCAAAGCCACCACTTCCCATAACCAATCCATCCCATTCCAATTCGAATTTTTCAAATCTTCTTGAATCTTGCGCAAATTGTAATGCTGCTTCTCTCAATGGTTCTGTAGACCATGGTACATTACCATCTTTATTAGGAGCTTTACTTTCTGCCCAAGTTTCCAAATCCATGACCCAAGTAGAGAGGGATGCGGAATATGCTCTGAAATCAAAAGGAAGGACTGCGCGATCGCAAAATTCGAGAATAAGAAGGGCCCAGACTTGAGCGAGAAGTTTGTGATAGCGAAAATTGGGATCGCCTTGACTGGCCATCCATTCGAAATTGTCATATGCTGAATGGTATGGATAGACAGGACCTTCAAAGCCAAAATCAAGAGAGGATGTTCCTGCCATATCTTGAAAAGCAACATAATCACTTCCAGCTCCCAGACCCTCTAACTGACCCTTTCTTTCATCCCATAGTTGTCGAAGAGTAGCATTGCGATAAGGATCAGTTGTGCGATCTAGGACTCGAAGAAGGGCTTTCTTGAAAACTGGACTTCCTGCTGCTCTGAATTTATCACCACCAACGCCTACATCGACATTAAGATAAACGAATGCATCCTTGCGTAATTTTTCCATGTTCTTTTCAACATGCTCGGTAGACCCAATAAGATTATATTCTTCACCATCCCAAGAAGCAAACTCAATTGTACGTTGTGGACGCCAACCTCTTGAAACAAGATCACCAAAGATATGCATGACCTCGAGAAATACGGCAGTACCTGAACCAGGATCCGTAGCACCAAAAACCCAAGCATCACGATGATTACCAACAATAACGGATTTTTCCTTTTGCTCAACACCGGTAATTTTGCCTAAAACATTCCAAATCGGTTGTTGTTCAACTTCATCCTGTTCATTAACAAGATGAACTTTCGGTGTTGAAAGATTTCCAGACCAATATTTAACATCAGGAACTGCACCTCTCCATTCTGGAGTGCATTCAACTCCAAATCCTTGAATAGATTGCAAAAGTTTCTGTGCATCTCCCCACGAGATAGGGATACTAGGAATATTCGTCAAACCCGGATTATCTTCTTTTGATATCCGTTTTGCCCCTTTTACGCTTGCCCATCCAGGGGTGAGAACATCGCCCACCACCCAACTCATCAAGCTAACTGCGCCTCGTTGAACTCCATCCTTTGGCATATATCTACCATTGGGGGCGGTATCACCCAAAGTGAATCCATCATCGGCCGGATCACTGTACATTATCACAGCTTTAAAACCCCAACGTTCTGCAGCCTTGACCTTTAAAGCCCTATCTCCTTGGGTACCGTAATACCTAACCAAAGCAATTGCTCCTTCTGTCTCAATTCCACTATCGTAAAATGACTTGTAATCAGCTTGTGATCCATAATTGCAATATAATAACGGCCCGGTCACATCTCCGGCCTTCGAATGTCCATGGAAAACAGGCGTTTGTTGTCGCGGCGGATTCGTATAAAGTTGTGGCTCATCAATCTTTGCCTGCCAAGTGGGATTCCCATCTTCCCCGAGTAATTCGATTTTCCTTCCTCCCTCCTTTGGATAATTCAGATAAACTCCATATTCGTCCATCTTTACCTCCTCCAGTCCATTCTTCACCATGAGTTCCTGCACAATCTCCGCCAATATGTAGTCCCCCTCCGTACCGGCCAAATGATCCGTCTCCGTAATTCTATGCATCCACCTCACAATTCTATCCTCCGAAACACTCTCTTGCACAAATATCCTCACACTTTCCGCCGGGAACATTTGCCCCCCAATCCTATTCGCCGCATTCGAAAAAAGATCGCTCATAAACAACAGATAAACCACCGCCATGACTAGAAGCACGGCAAAAATCCTCCCAATCACTATACAAAAATTCGCATCAATTGACGGCCATCCAATCCGACGTATCCATGGCAGTCGCGACGATAACGATGCAGAAAGACTCGACATGCGTTTCCCCCACGTCGATTGTGAAGTTTCCGGATCCTGTATTTCCATTTCCTCCATCTCCCTACGCACCTGCTCATCATCTTCACTTTCGCGCTCGCCATGTTGATTTAGAAATGTATCCCTTTCCATACTGCCCCGATTAGAAATGCCATCTTCGGTAGGAGGAGGACGATAACCAGCTCTGCGAGTCGGAACTGGGATTCTTGCACCGGGATCATGACCTAGAAGGCCTTCTCGTTCGGCTGGATGTGCGGATTCGTTGGAGGAATTGGATCGGGGAGGTATGGGTGTCGAGCCACGGGAGGATTCGCCGATAGCTTCGGAATAGGTAGGTATTGGGAGCGCTTCGTATATGTGCTTTTCGTCAGGCATTGTGAAGGATGTGCCAGTTATTTAGGGGGAATAGAGGAGAATACCACTTCTCTTGGTGATTAATGTTTGCTTGCTAGCGATTTAAAGTTATAAGGTTACGAATCCGTAGGCCAGCCGCGTAGAAGGACAACTCTAAATATTAATGCCCTTTTCGAACTCGAATTCCTTCAATGAAATTATGATTCCTCCAAGATTTAATCGATTATTCAGGCCAGCTGTCATTTTATCTGGGCATCGTTAAATAATCTCGAGCTCTGGATCCGTTTTAAAGTTTGAAATAATTGTTAATTTTCTTTGCTGGGTTAAAAGTTGAAGCATGTTCGAAGTCAATGGGTTATCTGCGACACAAATCGTAATCAAGGGCTCCAAGGACTCACGTATTCGGTAAGCCGCCCCATATAGTCTTGGGTTAGAAATCCACCGGTGATCTGAGCTGCAAGAATACGGAGAAGTAATATGCAAATCATATCATGAAACGGTTTATGATACAAAAGAGCTATATATTATGCCTTTTATCTACACAGGGAAAGTATCAAGAACCAAAGAATTGAGGAATTGAGGAATCGGACTCCATATTCAGGACCTCAAAGATACTCGTATATATTCAATCAAGCTACAAGCAAGATTCACGTAGTACATACATACTATCTATTCACGAATCCAAGTCAATCTAGAGGCTTTCACAAATTTGCACCAAGTCCTTAACAACGTTTTGAAGTCTTAGCTACGCTTAGGTATTCAGAGTTATTTCAATTATCATCTCTTTTTACATAGCCTATAGCTATGCTTGCTAAATTAAATCAACCCATCACTTTTTTGCTTAATACGAGCCAAATCAAATCTAAGTACAATCGCTGCATTATTTTGTCTTCGTAAACATAAGTGCTGCCTTCCAAAAATATCATACCCAGGGTCTCGCTCTCTCTTCCCCTTCTCTGTCTCCCTCAGGGTGAAAACCCCAACCATCTCACATAAATTTACATCGATCATGATCCATTCCATGCTTATAGAAAGGTGTTAATAAAAGAAAGAAAATGGCGTTGAGCTTGGTCTAAGGTGCAGCTGTCGTTACTACACCTTCATAGTTTCGAGAAGTGATGTTATCCAAAGTACGTTGGAAATGCTTTCTTGGCTCATTAATTGTGGCCGAATCTTGATTGCCTTGGAGATTTGAATGGATCAATTCAATAAGGCCATTTAGGTATTTCGTTGTGACCTATCGAATCATGTTAGATTATAGTTTTTGAAAATATATATATATCAGCGAGCACTTACAGCTTCATTATCTTGCTCGAAATAGTAGACGTAACGATTCAGGATTTCCACAAAAAGTTCCACTGAAACAGCAGTATCCATACATGCATCCGCAACGCGAAGTGCCCGTTGAAGGCACTCGAGAACACGTTTGCCATCACGATAAAGCTAGTGCATGTTAGCTATTATTCTGATTGTGATATTAACTGCAGAAACTTACATTCTTCTCATCTGTTTCGCCCCTTGCTGCAATAGGCACGGCCCACCAAAGATGACTCGCTAAGAAGACAGCACGGCATTGATCAGGCTTCTTCAAAAGCTTACTACCATGTAGAGCACACTTGGTAATGAGGGTATCATAGTTTTCTTTACTGAAATTTCGTGTTTCATGCAGAGCGGATGCGATAACGCAGACTGCTTGAAATTGTGACCTGGAGTCGCTGATACTTTCTTCGTAGATGGTAAATGCTTGGGCGAAAAATTCGTAGCTAACCTCTTCAAAATTTGTCTGATCAGCAATTTGACCACAAGCCACGAATAGCCTCAAACAAAGCTCGGCAGACCCGGAGACTCGGGTATACATAGTTGAAAGGGTCGAATGCATGAACTTGAAGAGCGCAGATATTTGTGATTCCCAGTTATCATCAAAATGTTCCCTTGTCTTAAACCGTCTCGCGAGCTTCATGGCCGAGGTTATAAGAGCTGGAGTTGTAAACTTCACACGTTCATTCCCCTCCGAGTAAGCGGCCTTGGTAGTTTGCAGAAGCTTAAACTGTGTATCGTTGTCATCACTATGGATCAAGTGAACGATTCTAGCTAGCCAGCCCTGCTCTTCTATCGTTTCATCAGTCTCAACGGATTTCCGCTGTACTCCAACGTAATTCGCCGGACTTTGAGATCCTTCTTTGATCAGAACTTTAAGAACTTCGAGCACTCCTTCCAGTGAGACCACAGTAGAGATTTTAGTTGAATTTGCTTGTAAAGTACGAGCTAATTCACCAGCAACAGCTCGACGTGTTGGATATATTTGAAGTTGTAGTAATGGGATGTAAGTTGGGAGGGACAATGCTGTGAATATAGAGGCGTAAGAGGTGATGGGTGTTAAGAGTAAATTTAGTATATTTTTCTGTGCCTCTGGAGAATGTAATTCAGGAGTGTTGGCATATGCCCTAACTCTATCCGATGCGTAATTGAGGACCTGATCGACATAGTCGAGACGATCCGGATGGACCTTGAGTGCCAAATTGACTAACGATACCAACAATGCCAAGGTATCTTGTACTGACAAGCGCTGGGAAGCAACAAGATGCATTACTTGGTCAAAAAAGATTTCATACAGCTTGATGTTTTCAGGAACAGCATTTTGCCTGTTGTTAGCATCATCGTTGACGATCGTCTCAGCAACAGATTGCGTCTCAACTTCAGTGGGGGCTACACTAAGGCTATCGTCAATTTGTTCCCTGGATTTCGAGTCTGTGCTGGCTCCATTGGTTTCAGTCGACGGACGATCACCATTCGCCTTTGAGGCCTCCGGCGCTGTAGTCGACTCCGGCTTTGATTCACCAGCCTGACTCTCCTTGTTCAACCGGGTTGTCTCGAGTAGTTTAGCGACAGCCTCCTGCTCCGCCTTCTCGCGGTCCCCTGCAGAACTCAACTCTGACTCTCGAGCAGCATATGCAGAAAGTCTATCCATCATTGCTATAACAATGACTTTCATGTTAACATGAGGATTCAATCTTGATACAGCCGCCAAGAATTGATCTAGGGTGTGAAGGTGGTATTCATCAGGGAAGACCTGTGTGATTACTTCTAGCAAATATTCTTGGGCTAGAACATCCCGACATTGCACCACTTGCTCTAGCAGTGGCTGCAAAATAGTGTTCTTGTAAACATCCAGATCAACCAATTGACTTAATCGAACTAAATTACTTCCGACCAGTAATTGGAGCTCCTTCCTTTCCTGCGTTCTCATTTCTCTCTCTCTAGAGTGACCTTGATGCTGTAGTCGTACCCAAAGCTTGTTCATTTCCACGAAATTAGTAAGAACAAAACTTATCGAATCTGTTAAATTGCCTTCCGGTCCATCTCCATCACCTTGAGGTAAATGTTCGCGAGCTTGCCCGGAAAGGTAATATCTGAGGAACAACCCTCTAGTTGGATGTTGTACTCCACGACTCATTTCCATCATGTCCTTCATTATCTCCTTGACCGGTGCTTCTGGTACACCCATATAGACTGTGCCAACTGTTACCATTAAGTAAAGCCGAGGGACGATATTTCCTGCATATTGGACAAGCTCATAAAGGTCGGCAAGATGGTGAGTCGGATGAGAATCTTTGAGATGAGAGGATAGGTGTCGCAAAGCATCAAACACTGCCATATATAACTCATAGTACTGTTTCGGCCCTAAACTGCTCGTTCGTAGCTCGGAGACAAGTGTTGAACTGGATTTCGAAAGAGACAAATCAGCACAAGATCATTTCGCCTGGCGCAAATATTATAGTCACTGCAATTACATAGCCAAATAAAAAATGCTCATCTTCATTGACATACCTGCACTTCAAGGCATCCATCAGTTTCCCAGGACTTTCCAAGCATCGTCGCATGAGTTGTGTCTGTTGGCGAACGACATTCAAAGCATCTTCAAGGAGTCGTGCCTGATCCTCCACGACTTGAGGTGGAGAAGCCATTATGGCAGACTATCACGAACAGATGCTTGCGCAGTAGCAGATTTTCGTAGGCCAAGCAATTTAGAATTTGAAATGAGTGATTAATGTAGATACTGAAGCTCTTTTGTCGTATTGGATTCCAAGATTAACTGGTTATGACCAGTTTCCGGGGGAAGGAACGCTAAGGCTCCCCGTATGGTTGATTGTTGACAAGGGTGGGAGCTCGCGGGTGCAAAGTTTATCCGAATTCCGAAAACATTCTCTCACCGATTTTGTCACAAATTCTGAAGATATATGTATTATAACTATAATACACCTACCTTCTAGAGTCGAATGATCCCATGAAACAGTGCATTGTCATTGGATTAATGTGATATTCAACAGTAACGGAATGTGAGTGCAGATACAAGGTTATCTTGATTCTAATTATTTTTCATTATTAATTATCCTAAATCTCAATATTCATTTAACATTATTTCGTCAAATTCATTCCGACTTCCCTCCTATGCAATCAATGATATAAAATCTGACCGGCATCCCAGCTCTTGGTTGCCTGATCCTTTATGATTCCACAACTCCAAATTAACATTACCGCACCAAATTTTGTAAGTAGAACCAAATCAAGTACAGATTTTCGTGCCTCTGGTCACACGCTTAATCTCGAGAAAGCACTCTTGCTCCACCAAGGGCGAGTGGAGGCAACGTGATTCCGCCATGAGCATCTTATCAATATTCTCGGGGGGGGTTTCCTTCCGTGATATTTGTTTCTCTCAAAACAATAAGATGGTTAGAATTCGATGAACGAATCGATTATTCCTTAGCTTCTTGGGATATCAGTCGTGGAATTCCAAGAAGGATAGCTAGTATGCCATTGTCCATTATCATAGGAAGTAGTAGCGGCTGTAGGCAAGACTGTGATAGTATACCAATCCGAGGATCTGGCCGTATAAGTAGTAAGCCACGATGATGATGAAGTAGTCGTGGGAGATGGGATGATAGATATTTTATCGGTACAAGTGCTTGTCGATGCTCCAAGAATTGAGGTTGGGTTCGATACTTGAGATGTAGTCAAACTGGTAACGCTGGTACGGCTTTGGGACAGTGATGATGACGAAAACAAACTCGTGGAGGAAGATGCGACTGCACTGGGTGACTTGGAAGCACTAGATGATGTCACAGTTTCGCGTGTGGTTGAGGTTGACGTGGGTTTGGTGGAAGATTTCGATGAGGGAGATATGGCTGTTGTTGAAGATTCGGAAAACGATGATGGTTCTGAAGAGGGACTCGCACGGGTAGTAGTCTGTTTTGATGGAGATTCGGGAGTCGTCACTGGAACAGTGATATCCACAATTGAATAGCTAAAGCTAGTGACGGTCGTCGGGGATGGTGTAATGGTGATAGGAATAGTCTCGGTTGTATCAGAACCCCTCACAGTCTGGGTTGAAACTATGTAATTCGTAGTTGTAGTCGCATCGGTCTTGACCACTGTTTTTGTTGTCGGCTGGTCGGTCTTGGTAACGGTTTTTACCACAGTAGTCGTGGGTTCCAAATTTCCACCACTTATGGAAGTCGAAGAAGACCCTTGGACATTCACAACAGAGTATGTAGCTCTCTTTATATGTTCAACCCAAATAACATCATTTTGAGCAACTGGAAGCGCCGATGATAGTAGAAAAAGTGACGATAGCGCGAAGATAGTGGAAGTGGAAGTATTAAGAAGCATGATTGGATAAATTTGCAAAAAGATAGAACGGACTCGAGAACAATTACTTGATGTCTGAGAGCAAAAGAACTTACATGGAATAATGAGATATATCATATTATAGCTCATGCGACTTGGTCGTGGAGGCTGGGTGGACTTTTTTTTTTGAATACGCGTGGAGAAGGCTGGGTCTGCATTTCCTATGATAATGAAGTGGCTGGGAAGCCGTTTTAACGCGCCGTTTTAACGCCAAAACGAGAAATTGATTGAATTTTAGGACACCCGTTGAAATTTTATGGGGAATGTGGGTATTTGGACGAAACTCAGCATATATATATATACACTTACATATAATACTTCGACGTTGTTGTAGAGATGGAGTTTTCCCGTGGTGTTTTAATTGATGAAAGGACGTCGGATTAGATTAATTAGTAAGCAAAGCAGTAGTTTCTCTGAAAGTGGATGTTCCAAGATTTGGCCAATAGGGAAGAAAACTAGACGATATCGCAATCCCATCTAATCTTTCCACGTTGAGTTGGTTGTTCTTCTCGGTCGGGTCTTTGCCGAAGATTCACCATCCATCTTACGATTCGCATAAATTCTCCTCTAGGATTTTTTTGAAAGTGCATGAATCCAACATATAAAAACTTTTCACTGAGAAGCCTATATTGGATTCCAACTTCTTAGCAACATTCATCATCATCATGTTCTGACAGGCTGTCTTCCCCATATCACCCAATCGTTTTCTCTTTTGGCTCTGGCTCCTTGGTCGTGTCAATTCTGGTAGGACGTGTCGGATTTGATACCATTGGACTCTATCCACTCACTATACGTGATTACTACGGTAGATTACATGATTCAGTGTTTCCTTTCAGAACTATTCATTCCGCGACTCATATGTCATATTAGTCGGTGATTTAGATTGTGCCGTTAGAAGTTTGATGGGTACTCCTAGTTCATCTAGTCAATGAGCTTATTGCTAGGTAATGCGTGTATTCCCAACTCATCTAACGCACACTCCGAATGTCAGTCAACCAAAAAGTTCTTAGCACCATACCTTCCACTATAACCTCGCCCAGAGCCAACAGCAGGTCCGGAGTCTAAGAAGAAATGCGTGCTCTCTCGTCGGACTACAAACGTACTGTAACGTCACCAGTGATGACGGATACCAAAACACTTCGCCATTCATGCGCAATCCTCCATTGATTAGAGTTACGAAAATGTGAGCTTTTCGACAATTACTACAAGAAAACCTTCGAGATCCGGGATCAGCAACCAGATTCATATGCTAACCGTGCCAATTGTCCTCTGAAGAAGAGTTCCGACAACATATCAACTATGCACCAATGTGGATATACATATTCCTATCCTGAAGGTTAATTGCCAGATATGTGGAGAGACCCTACCTGTCTTATATGGTGGTAGGACATTCAGTTTTTATGAGGATATTGAAGCCACCGTTCCTTATTCTACGACTTATTCCTAGTAGACGATTTCAAGAGATATTCCTTCTCAATCAAGGGCTTATCTGGTGTCCCAGATTTCATTGGTGTGAATGGAACTACGTTTTGTGAATTTTCGAGGGGTCAAAACACAATTGAAGGGCTTGACATTAGTTGTTGTTATTGAGGATTGACGGCCAAGAATTGAATGGGACGATGTAGGGCAATGTTCATCGGCTGAGTTCAAGACTTTATCACGTGTTTCGTCTGGTATGGATCTTCAAATTGTTGGGAACAAAGGTATCCAGAAATTGGATATTCCGACTTACATTCTATACCTTGACGAGGGCACTCTTCACACATGAATTTCTCTACTACATTCTCTCGTTGGATCGAAATTGAGTTAGCAGAGTACTTGGGGCGAGAAATCATTGGGTATAATCACTTATATGCGTGCTTATGAGATTACAGTGTAAGAATGATTATACGAGGGAGGGGAATTGTTGACGTCGACTTATGAGCAATTCGGCCCCAACAGATACAGTCATGCAGCGTCATCCTAAACCGCGTGCTATGATGGTTTCGTCCTGGATGTAATAATTATTCTTTCGCCTCGAGATTCAAAAACTTGGTATTTCTCTGTGTCTTCGTGTGACACATTGGACAAATGGTTGTCCCTTGCGTGATGTCAGGCACTTTTGTGCCACTATTTAAACCACGTTGGATCACGTAAACATAAAAAGTGCTCCTCGATCAATTTGACTCACTACATTTGTTCTTATTATCTTCGGTCTCAGTATCGAAACACCATCAAATCAAGCCGGCGGCCATCTATATTGCAACATACTCTCCCAATCAGAACGTACTTGCATTGTCCACCAATCTTAAAGTTCAGTAACCAATTGAAACTTCTTCGCACAGAAGCAGAGTCCGCACTGATTCATACCACTATTGTGAAAGACCACATCACAGATAGTTGAAGTCACCGCTTGAATTCCATTTGAACACACCGACTACTGATCAGACAATCTTGACTTATCCCTGTCTGTCATCGGTGTCCCGCCCTGCATTACCCGAAATGGCATCTCAATGCTCTTCTCTCAGGGACGCACCAAGGGTTCCGGAGTTGTCAATGCTGTCTATCAACGTGTTCTACGCTCAGAAGGATACAAATATAAAGCGATGTAGAAGTAATTGTCGAAGCATTGAAGTCGACATTTTCTATCCTTTGGACTACAATTTTTCAGAAAATCCAAGTACAGACATGGAATCGGGAGAAATCATGGATGGGAAATATCCTTGTCTCAGCTCTGCAGATGCACTAACTCCATTCGAACATTCATCACATGAATTCTCCTCCTCGCCAATTACCTCGACGTCAGGAAAATCACATTTTCCTTTCCTCTCTCTACCAATAGAAATCCGCCTGAAAATCTATCTCCTCCTCCTTCCACCCCGCCACCACAAAATCACTACTCAAATCCCCCATAATGGATACTATTTTCCACCCACATGCATTCCTGCTCGCGCTGCTCAATCATTTTACCCCATATCCCCAGACAACCCCGAAAGACTCACCACCTACAAAATCCTCTCCGCTAATTCTCACGTCGACTTCCCAAATCCGAGTATCCATACGCGTATTTTAAGTGTATGTCAAAAAATTCAAGAAGAAGCCGAGGAAGTACTTTATGGAAATGAAAATAGTATTTGGGACTTCGGTATGAATATCGAAGCGGTAAATACTTTTTGGAGTGATCGAAGTCAGGTTGCTCGGGCATGGGTTAGAAATTTGAAGATTGCGAGGGAAATCTCGGAATTGAAGATTTTTCTTGGTATTGATGTGATATGGGAGAATTTATGTGAACTCATCACTCGCGAATTCTCGGGACTGAGATGCCTGGATTTAACGGTTTGGGGAGGTACGGGCGAGAAAAGTTTTCTGGAGAATCTTTATTCTTCCGATACGATGCAATCGTTCTCGTTGGGTGATGATGATGAAGGGAAGAGATCGATAGGGAATCTGAGAAATAGACGGAATCTTCACGAGTGGGATTACACCAGAAAGTTACTTGCGCATGAGGGATTCAGGAGTGCAAAGGTTACGTGGTGGGAATTTAGAACTGGGGCTAAAACTTTCATGGCAAAGTGGATGTTAGAGAATCGTTTGTGGACTGAGGATATGATTAGAGAGGGGGCTGTGGTTCAAGATGTGGTTATTTGGAATAGTGGGAAGTTTTGATCTTGGGAGTTGGGATTTGGGAGTTGGACTTAGGTGTTGAGATGAAATGAAAAGAGATGAGAAGAACTAGTTAATGTATGAATGGAGAATTAGACTGGAATCTGAGAATATACTATAATATAAAAGTGCATTCACATCACTCTCATCACAACCGGGTGTAAACTAACACAAATCCTGGACCCAAAGACAAATAACTCTCTCGAAAATCGTGAAACGAACGCAACAGCACTACCACTATTCAACTATAACTCATTCCACACCTATCAAAATCCAATATCTTTTATTATAGAAATCTATCTATAGAAATCGTTCAAAATCAATAAACACTTACTTTTCTTCATCTCACTTCAAAATTTATATTTGAAAAACTTTTTAAGATCTATAAAGAGAATTTTAAATTTATTAAATTAAAATTCTTTTGTTATATTATATATTTTATATCTTTTTGTATAACTCTTTTGAAAGAAAATAATAATAATATAATAATATAATAATATGATAATATGATAATATATAAAATCTTATAATAAAAAATCTAATTTATATACTTTATAAGATTTTAAATTTTTAAATTTTAAATCTAAAAAACTAAATATATCTTTCACTTGTATTTGTTATTATATTATTAATATTATTGTCACGAAATCATTTTATAGAGTGTCACGAGGTAACAGTCAACCTGTCTCTATGAGCTGTGACCTTGTTGAAAAGCAAAGCAACTTGTATACAAATTTGTATGGCAACCGCTTCGTATGGTCTCCCCACCTTCAGCAAGCTCGGACATGTGGTCTGATCCTAGTCACGTGATGGAGCCTCCAGGAGCGTGGGCTCCTGTAGGCTCCTTGGAGCCCTTAGGAGCGTAGGCTCCTGGAGGCTCCCAAAATGGATTAGTATATAGTCAGAATAGTTTCATAGTTTAGGAGCTTCGTGCTCAACTTAGTTATCAATTAGTTTACCTACATTCCAATTGATCTAGTAACGTATTCACCTTCGAGTGGATAACCAGTGATTATTAGCCTTAACCTACAACTACCAACCATACGAAAACCTGAGGCAGCCGCTGCCTCGACCAGATCGTTACAATTATCTTCTCATTCATCTTATTTTATCTCATCGCCTTCACTTCTAAAATCCTAAACTCTTAAAATATACAATATAATTTTAAAATTTTTATTTTCTTCCTTGTTATATATATATCTTCAAATCTCCCGTCCTCTCACCTCCTCACTTAACCCCCTCTTATTATTAATATCTTAAAACTCACTAACTGTAACGATCTGATCGAAGCAACAACTGTCTGAGGTTTGTATAATTGGTAATTATAGGTTAAGATTATTAATCACTGATTATTCACTTGAAAATGAATTCGTTATTAGATCAAATGAATATAGATAAATTAATTGATAATTAAATTGAGTACAAAGCTTCTAAATTATAAAACTATTCTGATTATATATTAATAAATAAATAAAAACTTTATAGAATTCAAAAGCTTTAAAAAACTTCTAAAGTTCTAAAAGCTTTCTAAGCTCCTAAAGCTTCTTATTATATAATCAATCCTAAGGTTTTTTCTTTCCTAGAATATTTATCTCAAAAGTTTTCCTCTAAGAACCTCTATTACTAGGATATAATATCCTTTAAAGTAATCGTCCCATTACAATCGATCTATTAAAATACTTATCTTATTCTAATATAATTACCTAGAATACTTATCCTAAAAATCCTAGGTTTTTATTTGTAGACAATTAAGCCTTTTAAAAACAACAGTTAAATCATCAACATCAATAATACTATTATAATCTAAACTGTGAATCGTGACTCTCAAATTCTCAAATTCTCAAATTCCTAAATATTCTAAATCTCAAGATATAAAGATACAAAGATACAAAGAACAGGACCTGCAAATGAATAAATGAAAATATATATATTATCAAATCAAATCAAATCAAATTCTTTGATCGAACTTAACCAGTACAAGTAATAAAATAATTAAATAATTAAATAAATCTTTTTTTTCCTTTGTAGATTAATACAAATGTATAATACTTATATATTTATATTATTATATTAATAAATAAAAATCAAAAGAAAAGAGATAGAGGATTTGATAGAGGTATAATATAGTATAATATCTATTGTTAAATAGATTTAGATTTAAAGTAGAGATAGTTTACTATCGTAGTAATATCTTGGGCTGTTGCTGTTCTGTTGCTTTTGGATACTTGTCTACTCGGTGTATACATGTAATATTCATGACCACTGAGCCTATTGATATCGATATGAAACCTCATACTATTACACACTTCCAAATACTACTAGAAATATCCCCATAGCTATCCTATCCGAAAATAATCCATTCCACACCATACCTAGATATTCACAATCTAATTCTGCACCACTGCACTGTCAAATACATCCTCCCCAGGCATCCCAACAACCCTCAACCCTATACACCCGCACTAAGCCTTCTCCTTCTCCTTCTCCTCCCTCTCCTTCTGAGCACAACTAATCAACCTCCCAACCACCAAATACTTCTCCTCAAACCTCTCCTCCCACCCCCTCAAAGCATCCAATTCCTCCCCATCCAAATCCTTCAAATCATCCAATTCAGCCTGTAAATCCTCCGTCAACATTTCCGCATCAAAACTTCCCTTCGCCAACCCACGACTCGCATCTCTTCCTGCAAAATTCTCATATGGTCCTCCTGGTCCGTAAAAGTTTCTTCCATTACTAACATCGAATACGCGACCGCGAACGGCGAGATAGACGGGTGCATTGTTGAGACCGGAAAAGGGGACGAGTTCGGGGGGTGTAAAGGTACGGAAGACGATTGGAGCGGGGGCGGCAGGGATGGGAACTGATTTTTTGGGACGGAAGGACATGTAGGTTACGAGGGCGGCGACACTGAGAAGGAGGAGGTTGAGTGGTGTGGCTAGACTGGCTCTGGAGGGATGTTAGTCGCGTTTCTGATGGTTGTTTGTAGTGGAGGGAGAGATTTATGATGATGAATTGAGAGTGGGGAGGGACATACATTTCCGCACCAGCAGGTCTTTGGGCTTCTGTATTTGACATGATCGTTAGCATTCCCTTTTTATAATGGTATGATGCTCTGCCTAATTCGAAAGAAGGCAGTTTTCCAATTCTTCATCCTCATAAAATATCAAAGTAGAAAAGGACCATAACAACATACCAGCAGCCATTCTCTTCTCAACATAATCCATAATGCCTTGTTATCCCACGAAATCTTCTACCTACTAAATCTCCAAGTCGTATAATATCCTTCCGATAAATCAAAGGTAGTCCGATCCGCCGAATTCGAATTCAAATTCAAATCCAAACCCAATCAATACTCAAGCTTCAAGAAAAGATAACAGCTCGCTCTTGGAAAAGCCACCTCAAACCTCAAATCCTATCTATCTTTCTTCCCTCAAATAAATCAAGAAGAAATCGAATATAAGATACCACGTTTTCAAATATCGATTGAAGAAATTCCTGTAATAAATATAAGAATCAGTAATCGAACATTCGAGCTTACATTCGGCTCGGAAACGCGGGGATGAACTTGGGTGCTTATGATGTTCATTAAAATCACGTGTCAACCACCTGAGGTTACAGTTACCCACCCGCTAAAATCCGGCAGTTTTTGCTTTCCGTTCTATTTTTATATTTTTATTTACCTAGGTATATCTATCTATCTGTGGACGGAAAATACAGAGACAGAGTATACTTGATTTCACTCATATATAATATAAGTTCAAAGTCACAACATTTAAACTTTGAAAGTGTGTAGGTAAGATTCTTAGATGATTTGCAATCAAATATCTAACCTACCTATCTATCTACTATACATACATACACGGAACATCCGCAGATTTGATACTTCTCACTCGTCACTCCTCACTCCTCGCTCCGAACTCCGTATATATTTCTCATCTCTTCTCTATCTTCCGCGCCGGGTTGAGTTTTTGAGTTTATAACTTTATGACTCTTCATGAGTTAAATTGATGAATGAATAGGATCCGGATTCGGATTCGAATGGAGAATATGATATGATATTTACATTTTTATTCACATATACGTCTAAGTCTTGCATCTATTTTATTAAAATTCAAGTTCAATTGTGAATCATATGATTTGTAATTTTATAACTGTCATAAAAGACAAATCCACCTACATACCTAAGACTTACATACAAGTAGACATTTAAATCCAATGCAAATGGAAATAAATAAATATTCCTTAACTCCAAACCGATCCGTCCGTCCATCCTTTCCATCCATACAGCCGTCCTCCAATTTCCGCTACCTATACGCCTACAAACACCTATTGATTGCCCTAGCCCCTATACATTTTACATCCCAAATAAATCAATCATCTCATTCCAACCCATCGGTCCGCTTCAAACCCCTAAATCTAGCCCGTAACCCTCCTAACCCACAACCCCGTCCCCTCATACCCCGCTTGCTTATCTTTTCTCTTCCATGCCCTATGCAATTTCAAACCACATTCATGTTCCTCCCTCCTAATTTCTGCTTCTTCCTCCCTCAACGCCTCAATTTGTTTCTTCTCCATTTCTCTCTTTCTCTTGACTTCATCAGCAGCAATCATTCTATCGGCTGGCATAAGCTCCGTCATTTGTTTGATTAATTTTTCGATGTTTTGTCTACGGTGTGTGAGAGTTTCAAGGCGTGCTTTGAGGTTAGAGATAGGATCTGAAGATGCGGTTTCGGCGGGGGTACTTGGAAGAGATTTGGTGAGTGTGGATGAGGAGTTTTGTGGGTGATTGTGTTCACGGGGAATAGAGGAGGTCATGGAGATTGTTATTGGACTATTCGAATTGATGGCTTTGCGAGTAATGCTTTTGTTGGAATACATGGATGTGCTATCATCGGCGCCGACCTTAGGACGTTTGCGAGATAGTATTGAAGTGGGAGCTTGAGTTGTCATATTGTAGGATTGTATGGGCAATGGAGGATGCATGTCGTTTTGTAAATCGAGAGAAGGTGCTCTGGTAGATTGTGTAGCTTCTGATGTAGCTCTTGTACTGACACTAAAGCGGGAAGGAGGTTGAACGTATGGCTCGTTCAGATCAATGGGAGGGAATGAATTCTTAAGAGCTTCGCGGAAATTTCGCTCAATGGTGCCAGTAGAATCCTGTTTAGAATGGGAAGGATAATATTCGATAGAGAATTCTGTGGTGGGCAATTCTGTAGTAATATTGGTGGCGAAATTCGCAAGGTGAGCCGCATGAACGGGTTCGGGGTTTTGAATTGAAGGTTCATTATAAGATTGTGGGCTGTTTCGTCCACTGAGCGAATGTCCTGCGTCGATAGATAGTGGGCTGGGCAGATCCATGAAAGTCGATGCCGCTTGCGTTTCACTATTTGTACTTCGGATGGATGATACAGGGGTATTTGTACCTGATGTAATGCGTTTTTCGTTGTTTGATGGAATTGGAATTTTAAGTGGAGGTATGCTGTAATTATCTGATGGCGTGGGCACAATTGCTGAACGTCCTGTCGCCCCTTTCCACTCTGGTTTCTCTACTGGCGCATTATTCTTCAATTTGCGGACACGTTCCGAAAAAGATGGTGCGTTTGGAGGCTTCTGCACACTAGCACCAGCACTAATGATTGATGTATTACCCATTTGTCTAACATTTCGTAAATCGGGTGGCGAATATTCTCCTGGTTTAATGGGTTGTGGTTTCCCCCTTTCGCTTGTCGTTTGTTCACCAGAATATGGATCCGATCTCACATCTGCTGGTTTCCAACCCTTTGGTCCATCTATATCTTTCCGATTTAGTAAATTTGCTGCTGCAGCTGCGACATGATTACGTCTCTTTTCTTTTCGAATAACAGGAATACTGCTCGCTGGTGGGTTCAATCTGGCATCGGTCCTTTCTCTCGAGTTTCCAAATCCAAGATGTGAAATATCAGGTACCTCATCAATTGGGGATACTTCATGATCCTGATATCGATTCGCGTTTCTATTTTAAATTTCATTAGTCTATATTCATAGAATCGCGACAACAAATTCTAACGTCGTCCCAAAATTCACCCGAGGCTCGTCCAGCTTTTGTGATTAAAGCAAACCCAAAGAACGCTTCAAACTGATGGAATGCTCGACCTACCGCCGTGTTGCATCAAACTCCGGAGAGCTGGGAGGGGATACCTCTACCGAATTTGGAGTCATAGGTTTTGCATATGTATTATATGGAAACTGATCATTCATAGAACCTGGAGAAGGCTGTGAGTAAACGGAAGAGGCCGGCCTCAAGTTGTCGGGATTCTGTTGAGAATGTTGCATTGGAGGAACTGCTTCACTGAGATAAATATTAGCAAAGCTTGGCTAACGATGCATAAGAATGTATGTAGATTTAACAGCTATAGCTCTAAGCTGAAACATTAGTCCAACATCCAATATCCCACATGACAATTTTCCTTCAACATCAACTCCCCCACTCTATACCCAATAGAGAAACCTTGTGACCTACAATGGTAGAAGTGGTAATCCCTTGGGGGTATTATTTCTTATCGGTTTTGGTGGAGGCGCATATCTATTCGAAGATGGCATTCCCATATTAACATTTATACCACCAGCAGCTCCATAAGATTTCTCAAAAATAGTCGTCTCGACAAGTACGGGTTCACTGATGGCAGATTGGCGAGCTGTAGTACCATTACCACTTCTTGAAGTATTGAGGCGCTTCCACATGATTTCTTCCTTCGCCCTAGAACTGTGTGACCTTTGCTGCGGATCGTGGAGTACGGGAAGCTTCCGAGAATCTTTTTCGTAAAGGTGCTTCAAAGATCCAGACGGGAACCCTTGAATAGATAAGATAGATCCGGGCGAAAGATATACGTATTATAATTTTGAAGGCTTCTAGACTTTTCCTAGCTGAAGTATTTCAGGTGCCCGTCACACACATAATTTTGATATGTATCTCGTGTTCTCGTAAATAATTGGAAGGATCGTCACAGGATGACGAAGGCTGTGCAAAAGCTGGTGGGTTAATTATTTGTAGAGTTTAATTGGAAAAAGTGTAAGAAGTGGAAGGGAGTAGACTCTTATTCAAGTAAATAAACAAAACGCGTAGAAAATAAAATAAGGAGATGTGGCGAAATCAAGAGGATCGCTGTGAATAGAATACGAGATTGAATTTGTACAAATAGAATAGAATGATTGATGATTTATGAATTATTCAAGGAATGAAACTTCCTGTTGGCGCAAACAGAGGTGAGGAGATTCAAACGGCTGGCAATGAGTAAACGAATTTGTCGCGATTGCGGCAGTGAGTGGCTGGCTACCTATCAAAAGACGTAATGAATGACCGACCGTTCTTTGATAACCAATGAAGGACCAGCCTATCAAGAAATATGACGGACAGGAGTCGGGTAAAAGCTTGAGAAGAGAGAACAGAGATGAAATACTTGGATGAGAAGAGATCAGACCAAGATCAGATCATACAATTAGCCATATTGGCATTTGGAGAAGATATAGAAGTTATTCCGAGCGAGTTTTGACCCACCACCACACCAGTGAGAGTGACCTTGATTAGGTCTGGGCACCAATGTAATTCCCGTAAGCATCCGGACATCAACCAGTATTATTTACCTCAGTAACCTCAGTAACCTCAGTAACCTCAGTAACCTTGCTCTACCCTACTCCCTAGGTATCGTATGTAGGTAGTTAATTAAAGCTTTTCATTGACTGACTTGGTCAATTTCACAAAAGCAACTTTCTTTTCCTCCATTCTCTGCTCGTTGCTGGCCAATTGTCACCTCAATGTAGATTGCAGGGACGTTTGAGTTCATGAGTTGGGGTTATCGGTAGTGGGAGTAGCCTGTCAAAATGAATACACCAACTAAAAACTGCACGTTAGAAGTGACAGATTATGGGGGGCCAAAGAACATCTAACTCCGTAATGATACTACTTACCGGGCTCAGCCCAGAGAGAACCCGTCAATCAAATGTCATCGAGGTGTTCGTAGCGGAATTCTATATTAGGCATCAAATAAGATTGGTTCATTTGGATTCATTTGGATTCATTTGAATAGTGGTTATGTGATGTGATGTGATGTGATGTAGTACAATGTTCTATACCTACGACGCAGTATGTTAGAAGACGTCTACATGAAGGATGAGAAGGATGAATAATCTACGATATTTCACCATTAATATTCCTTCAAGCTTCATATAGGCAAGTTCCCCTTCTCCCTCACTTTCTTGTTCTAGAGCTCGATACCGTGATGGGACTGATGAAAGGTTGTTTTCGTGAAATCTCCTGAATGTTTGCATATGCATGGGGATAATATTCGGACATCTTGATGGGTTCTAAAAACACCCCCAGCATCAAAGCTTCTCCTTGCTAAATTGGTAGTCCGGGACCCCTTGAAGGCTTGAGTTTACCCCCAAGGGTCGCAGCTCCATTAGGACTTTTCTTTTTCCGTTTCATGTTTCAAGCGCTCTACTAAGTAGTTTCATCATTTTATCAACATCGGATTCCCTGGAGCCCGACTCCGCTTTTCTTATCAAATGATTTGCCTGGGACGGCTATCAATCAGATCCACAGCGGCTATTTTGTTCCGAGGTTCGTAGAGACATCGTGACATTATCAATAACTTCAATTTCCATCCAATATGGACAATTACCCACCATGAGTTTTCCCGAGGATCTGTTTCCATTTACCCCAATACCAGAGGAGACCGTGGACCATTTCTCCTTGACATCATGGTGTAAACCAATTCTCAATGACAGCTCCCTCTATCCCTTTTCATTCGATTCGCGGACCCTAAAAGAAGATACTGGTGATACCTTTACGGCTATTACCCTTCAGTCACTCGATACCGTTCCATACTACCAAGCCCTCTACTCTCCACCTACCTCCTCGCGCCCCTTTGGTGAGGTTTTATGTTTGATGAGTTTGGGTACGCATGTTAATGGCCATGTTGATACTGCTCACGGCGGATTCATTGCAGCGATGCTAGATGATATGATAGGTTGTGTAGCAGAAAGCTCCAGAGCAAAGGCTGAAAATACCTTGACGGCGTATCTCAACGTCACATACAAAAAGCCGATTGGAACACCAGGGGTTGTGTTAGGGAGAAGTTGGGTTGAGAGAAGAGAAGGAAGAAAGCTTTTCGGCAAGGGTACCATCGAGAATGGCGAAGGAGTGGTTCTGGCTAGTGGAGATGCTTTGTTCATTATCGTGGATAAAATAAAGCCTGGAGCGAAGTTGTGAACGGGTATTTTGCTTTTCGGATACTGGATGCGATCCAAGCGGCTACGTTAAACTCGAGGTTAGAAATTCGTCACATTTAGAGGTGCAAGCCATTTATACACGGAAAATATAAATAGGAAATACAACAATTAGACAGCTGGGATGGAGGCCGACAATTTTAGATGGTTTAGACGACAAGATTTTTACTGTTCAGGATTGAGATGGACGACTATTTCGGATATCCTTAACCTCGTGGATATACCTTCATTACTATTCGCAAACCCGCTTTCTTATAGCATTGTTCTGGTACTTGATGGTTTTTACATTTCATCTTTTCACAGGCATTTCTTGAATATTTCTCCATTTTCAAAGTGACAAAGCCATTTCCTATCTTCAATCCATTTTTGTCCTCTCCTTCCTTCAAGTGATTAATCTTCCTCCCCAGGAGTGTGAGGAGCTGATCCTGAACTAAGCACATGAAAGTCCTTGGATTCTAAAAGTTAGAAGCTAAAGCTGAAGCTACATGAAACAAAGGATTCCAGTCCAGTCACCCCTATTTCAATACCCCGGTTGAATCAAGCAATGAGGATATATTAGCGAATGTCTTCGGAGAATTGTACCCCAACTTTTTACCTTCATGATTGCCACTTTCTTCAAATACCTACTGGTAATAATCGGCTCTCACAAAATGGCCGACTAGTCCCTCGTCGGAGAAAGTGAATATCCCCAGCAAAGGACTTGTCCCTCTAATGAACAATTTGATTTGATTAACTTTCCAATTAATATCAAAAAATTTATAATATTGAATTCAATCCAACAATGCAAATCCAATGACAAAAATTCAAATCACAACAATGTAAATATTTATAAATATATATCTGGTACATTCTACCTCAAAATCGGTAAAGGGACAATTCGCTTTCCGAGGGAGCATCCGGATTTCCAAATTAGGAATCAATCGGCCAGTAGTAAGAGCCGGCTATGTAAGGTTACAGCATTACATAATTAATCACTTCAGAAAACAAATCTAAAACTCAAATCTAAACTCTTAGTTCAATACCTAGAACATGTACAATCAAAATGTTCTTTCTAATATTATTACTTTGATTTTTGTTGCACGTCTGATTTTCAGCCACATGATACATACCCGCACATCCACCCAGCCTCAGAGAATATATAATATGCTTTTCGGGTGGGAATTCTATGGTTATTTATTATGTAATATGTATATATATATAGACTTGGGGATTTTCAGTGTGTGATTGTGTAAGGTGAGTAGATAAGATGTATATTATAATATATGTCTTTATTCATCTAAGAATTTATTTTAAATAGAAAGATAATCTTTATTTATTAAAAGAAAAAAAAGATAATTAAATTTAAAAGAATATTAAAATATTTGATTAAGTTGACTTGTTTTTTTTTATTAAAGATTGAATTGAATATTGAATTTCGTTAGATTTTTGAGTTTAGATTTCTATTATTGTTGATTATTATTTATTGTAATATTAAACTTTTAAAACTTTATTTAAAAAAAAAAAAGATTATATATATATATTTATTTTATATTATATAATAAATAATTAATTCAAAATTTATTAAGTTATATTGATTAATTGTAAAGAGAGTATCAGATTTATTTGTTAAACACTATTATAATAAAAGATTGATAGATATCTGTTCTACAAATATTGGATTTTCATTCATCTAACTTTCTCTAGTTAGAGTATTGTCTAGGTAGGATCTCAAGTTTTCTAATAGGCTTGGTTGGCAAACGCCGAATCACTAGTTAAGATCTACATCAAAGTCCTATCAAATCGCCGATTTAGTGTATTCACTAAAAATTTTATCTCCCACAAAACTGGAAGACCTTCTAAACATTCAGACTTCGAAAAACCCTCCATATAACTCTGTTCTTCTTTAAAACTCAACCCGTGTGAAGAATATAGGTTTCCTCTTTACGAATCAACTACAGCTCTTCTCACAATAGTACCTTTGTTCAAATTCATCTTGGAACCTTCACTTTCTTCTCTTCGAATCAAACTATAGTTCGATTTCTCGGTGATAATGTCACTGGTACATGATTCTCCCCTAAATTTGGGACTCTTACAGCTCCCTAACCTTATTCGAATAATGATCTGGGACGAGGTTCTATCACAAAAGGAAAATCAATACATAGAATCACATAACCGTCTCTCCTTACTTCTAACGTGCCGTACCATTCACTTTGACCTCGGAATGTTATGGCCAAAAGCTCTTCTTGAAAATCGAACCTTCACTTTTCCAACCTTGGAATCTTTTCTCAAATCCGCTCCTTCGTACACACATGGCAAGCAAGTTCTGATACGATCAGTCCATATCCAGTTTCACGAAACCCCGGATTCGGAAAGTTACCACGGTTCTTTTCAGGTGCCTTACTCGAGACATAAATTTTTACTTGGTGAAATTCTGCTGCCGAAATATCACGGAATCCGGGAATGGACCATCGATGTCTCAAATCTCTTTTCTGGATTAGGAAATGACACCCCTAACAAATTCTTTATGCAACGCTACATCTCATACTTTGTGAGATATTGTCCAGCAGAACACTTTAAGTTGATATTCAATACTTGCAATGGTTCCATTTTGAACTGTGCACAACCGAGGGAAGGATTTGCGTTGGAAAGAATCCACAATTGTACCTTGCTTGACTTCGAAATTGCGGCCGAAAAACTATCGCGTCCTTCTAACGTCCTGGGTGACTGGAGCGGTTCCACAATGCTCGTTTTGCATCGCCCAACTCTCGCTTCTCGCGTCCCGAATCCAGAAGTTCCGTACCACACGTACTATAATCATGACCCCAGAGATCCGTGGCGGGAGATAAAGGCTTCTGTGCGGGAAAAGATAACTCATGGTGCAGCATGGAGATTGGAGATATGGAAACGGGCTAGGGATACGAAGCTGGATGCTATTGATATGGCTAATGCGTCTTTAATTTTACCGTCAAGGATTGGGGAAATTTCAGATCTGCGTAGCTTGATAAATTGGCAGAGGCAGAGGCATCTTTGAATTTACTTATCTTTATTAGTGAGGATTGTAGAGAAATAGTGGAGGGGACATGGGTTGTTTTGATGTCTTTTTGAAAGATGTTGATACTCTTTCATGCTGGGTGGTTCAGGGGCTGGGGATGTCGTCCTTCAAACCTCGTTCCTCATATCATGAGGAGGTGATGGTTAAGAGTTTTTTTTTGTGACTATTTTTAGAGTCTTGCGATACTGTGCCAGCCTCATGGTCTGGCATAGAATCTTTGAGAATCTGGAATTTGCTTTGGGATTATATGGAATAACTAGGAGTTTGGGTACGGTGGATTGAAGTCTGTACAAGATCTTACAGATGAGGATTTTAATGCAATGTTGGGGATATGGATTGTGGAGTAGAGTGTGGAGTAAGTTAATGGTAGCTTTTATCTACTAGGTAATATAATCAATGGATGGAAGATCAATAGCAGATGTTTGTCATGTATAATATTTTTCTAATTGAATTTGATGTTTGATATGTTGATGCCCGGATATTTTGATGCCCTGATATGTTTGATACACTTTATCATTCTAGTCTCATATCATGGGTCACTGAAAAGTCCTTTGCATGTCGTGCTGTGTGGAGGAACTGTGCATGTGAATCTATGTGGCTAAAGTTTGTGGCTAAACAGTTCAGTTTGTTTAACAAATACAAGCATCCTTTAGTACTAATCTTTACATCTGATATATTTAATATTCTTCCCACCTTAAAAATACAAATCTCCAACATCTCTCTTTTCACATATGCCATTCTGTCCTATACACTTGAAGCCACCATGGATAAACACTGGAACACCAAAGACTGGAAGCCCACTGTCATTGACTCAGGATATAGCATGCGGCCGTTTGTAACTTTAAGCACCAAGGTAGGTATTTCCGCCAAAGTACCAAACTCATCATATCTGACACTCAAGCCAGGAAGTCGAAACACATCGCGAAAAACTGAGAGTCTGCACTGAGGATCTAGATCGTTTTCCCTATACTCCCGAAAACTGGAGAAGCCGATCTGAAGTCCTTTTGAAATTGGGGTTTCCGGAACTCGCCGCATTTGATGCTTATAAGACGATTCTTCTGGCAAATTATGTATTTGATGGTGAAGACCGTGGCTCGAAAGTATGGCTCGAGATGGGAATGATGATGTGGTATCGAGCTATTATTAAGGTACCGCCTAACACAGAGTGAGCCATTTGAGGGACCTCTGACAATGTTAGGGTGTCTCGTGGAACGCAAGTGTTTCCGTAACAACACTTGGTCGGGAAATAGTTGATCTGTTGAAAGATGAACGAAAGCTAGCGTGCGTCCTTGTTTACCCTCTCTCTTAATGGGGTTAATTTTTACTTACACATGGTGCTTTAGATATTGCCAATTGCTCTATGCACTTGACCATCTTCAATCTTATCAAGATATGAAACAGATATCTGCAGAAGCATTGAAGGTTTATCCGACGGACTCCAGTCTCCAACATCTCCAGCGCCATGCAACATGTTTATATGAGATGAAACTAAACGCAGTAAAGGCCATGTCTTCATCTGACGAAACCAAATGGATCGCTATAGAGATGGGAAAGGTATCTCTCAGACCATATCCATGGGCATCCGAAGTTAATACCAGAACGAAAGAGTCAATCGAATTTGCTAATCAAAACCTTAGCAAGTGTTCGAAGGTACTCAGAATCCAACCTTCAACTGTGAATATATCAGGCTCTGATAAAATCTCATACGGTATGTTTGCAACCAAAGATATTCGTGCAGGAGATATTCTTCTGGAGAGCAGCCCTGTCTTATGTGTAAAACAATCACAATTGAGGCAGCACAAAAATTTCCTAGATTCATTGATTTGGAAGAGCAAGACTGGGTTGGAGATGACTGGCAGTTGTTTTAATTGTTTTGAAAATTTGCGAGGTACGAGTCGAAAATATGGATTTGTGTGTTGTGCCCATCTCTACTTCTGTAGTAAGGAGTGCAGAAATTTAGCACAGCAGTATTACCATGATGGTCTATGCGGGATGGATATATCACATATCTATACTGATGCCGAAGGAGAAAAGTGTTTTCCATCTGCGCCAGAAATCTCTAAATTAATTTGGTTACGGCTTTTGGCGACGTGTAAACAGGGAGGTGGGCATCCACTTCAACATCCTCTCATGGCCCATTTGGCGGGTCATGAAGCGCAAGCCCATGATCCATGGTCTTTAGAAACTCGAGTTATGACGCCATTAAAAATATTGCATATGCTTGGTGTCGATATCTTCGCAGACAAATGTTTTGACACTTGGATATTGGAAACCTTGTGGTATGTCATTTTCCCTCTCACAAAACATTTTTCAACGGAACTAATGTACATCCACAGGCAAAGATTTAGGATCAACGCTGTTGGCGGGCTGGGGGAGAACAATGAACACGAATGCTGGGTCGATGGCTCATACGCAATGTTTAATCACAGTTGTGAAAATCCACCAATGCTATGTCTCTTACATACTGGTTCGGGCGCCAAATTTCAATGCCATGCTGAAAGAGAGATCAAGAAAGGAGAAGAGGTGTTTGCATGCTATATCGAGGAACTTTCCAAATCAACAGAGGAGAGACGGCAGATGCTTGATGGGTGGCTTTCGGGTGACTGTATGTGTAAGAGATGCTCGCTCGGTTGATTAAGGAGTTGGTGGAATACGGGGGTGCCTGTTAACAGACTTCCATGGAAACCATCACCTTTAGTGTTACAATCGATTGATCGCAGATGGGCATCAAAAAGAATACAACTTGTGGGGGTAATCCCATACCGTTGCTTCATCATGGATTCATCTTCGGCAGAAAAGATAGAAGCCATTCCCATGTGCGGTTGAGATGAAGCGTATGTGAATGGCATTGTGAAAGGAGATGATTGTGCTAGTGGAAAGAGGTAGTCTAGTAAGGTGAGAATCATTCTCTTGGGAAGGGCTCTTGTAGATGGGCGCTGATATCATCGAACACTCAAGGACTCACAATTCAAGCAGATATACTGAAAGCGAGTCCAGAAGAAAGCCCTTGAATGAACCTTCTTTCATGCTTGATCCTGCTGATTTTGTTCGCCGCAGTCACAGCCATCATTTTACCCCATGAAAGTTGCACTTTAAACCTTTCTATATTCACAACATATCACTGCTAGGACTGGATTTCGTCGAACATTGTCTTCGGTACTTTCTACAATTTCGATAATATTGCATGGAGGTTTAAGTTTGATCTCAATACTCCACCGCATCTCATGTATGATGGATGTCATCTGAGCCGTGTTGCTTCAACAGGGGAGGGGATCTTGAGCACTTGCATCATTGTATCTAAATGGCCTTAGTACTGTGATGTTATGGCATTTCGAAAGGAATGCAATGTCCTGATTCGTCACAGGAAGTTATCCGGATGTCACAATGTTGTATTGCTGACGCTTGGCGGTGAGTGGGACTATTCGGTGCTCCACAAATTCACGCAGGAGCAAAGTATTCTCTTCCCGATAGAGCAGAATTACCTGCAATCTCGCGAACAATCTGGCTTGCACTCGATAACCTACTCTTGCTACGGATAGATCAATGATTTGTATTTGGGTACCAATATTTCTTGCAGTAGTACAGATTGCGGTTAATGCTGCACAAACGAAGCATCGACTTCTCTCTAGTGCTTTTGCTATCCCTTGACATGCTACTTATTATTACGTGGGTAAGTGATGAAATCATATACACAAAAAATTCAATGGCTTATAGATTCAGTGGTCGGAGGAGGAACAGCAGGATTGGTCATTGCCTCGAGGCTCGCACGAATCGCCTCTGTTGGCGTAATTGAGGCAGGTGGTTTTCACGAAGAAGACAATGGAAACTATAGTATAGTACCATACGGAAGCCTGCAAATGCCTCTAGTTTATTCCTCTGAAGATTATCCCAAGCAACGTCTCGTTGACTGGGACTTATTTTCCGTACCACAAATAAATGCTGGGAATCGACGGATACACTATGCAGGAGGAAAAATGCTTGGTGGATATTCGGCACTGAATGGGCTGTCATATTATCGTGCTACTTTTGGGACGTATCAAATGTGGGCTGAGCTTGTAGGAGGGAAAAGTTTTACTTTTGAAAATCTTCTTCCGTATTATAAAAAGTCATGTCATTTGACTCCACCGGATATTGAAAAGAGAAATTCAACAAACGCAACTGTTGTATACGATGCCACAGGCTTTGATAACTCCATTGGAGGTTCCTTGCGAGTTTCATGGAACAACCGGCTTGGCCCCATGATAGAAGCACTTGCACAAGCTGTGCAGTCTATTGGTCTGCCGGTAAGCACAGATGGCTTCAGTAGTGGTTCTCTCTTAGGTCACGGTACTTGGGTACCCTCCACCATTGAAGCAAAGCATGCTGTACGATCATCTTCACAGTCAAGTTTCTTGGAAGAAGCTATCGAGAATACGGATATCATGGTTCATGCCCACACTCAAGCATTGAAGATTCTGTTTGATTCTGATTCACCAAAAAGAGCAAATGCTGTTTAGGTAGCGACATCGGGATTCGAATATATTATCAAAGCGACAAAAGAAGTCATCGTATCAGCAGGGGTTTTTCACTCAACACAGCTACTTATGGTATCTGGTAAGAGCTATTCTTGACTTTAAATGTACTATGCTGGCTTGGAAAAGGAATCGATCCACGAGCTGTGCTTGAGCCCCAAAACATCTCATTGGTTTCAGAACTTCCGGGAGTGGACAAAATCTTTGGGATCAAATCTCATCCACTGTACTAAATCAAGTGAACACACCAGGTGCTGGAAGTATTGTAGCAAATCCAGACAACTCTGCTGAGATTCTACAACAATATTTCGAAGATTCCACAGGGCCATACAGTTCAGCGGCTAGATACTTATCTTTTGAAAGGATTCCAGAAGAACTGCAAGCGAATTTCTCACAACAAACAACATTATCACTAGAATTCTTCCCAACTGACCGGCCGGAAGCAGGATACGTCGGAGCAGGTTTTGCAGGTGATAACTTTACTACCACAGGTGCCTTTGCCGGAATTCTCACAGCGCCCCTTTCCCGCGGGAATACCACTCTCAGTAGCGCCAGCATACTAGACTCACCAATAATCGATCTAGGTGGGTTCAGGAACCCTGGGGATTTAGAAGTCGCCGTAGCAATATCCAAACGGGTCCGACAAATTGGGGATAGCGATCCAGCTAAATCCATCAGAATGTGTTCCGAAGTTCTTCCGGGACGGCAGTACAAACAGATGAAGAAATTCTTGAGTATATTCAACAGAATTCGGCTCCAATATGGCATGCTAGCGCAACGTGTGCGATGGGGAAGATTGGAGATGTGAATGCGGTTGTGGATTCGAAGGGGAAGGTTTTTGGGGTAGAAGGGTTGAGAGTGGTGGATGCTTCGATTTTTCCATTTGCGCTGCCGGGACATCCTCCAGCTTCTGTTTGTATGATTGCGGAGAAGATTGCGGATGATATAATGACTGGGAGATAGATTTTGAAGGGGATTCAAAAGTCTTTTTAATTGAGCTGATTAATACCAAAACCGCAACATGAGCAAAAAAGAAAGGCGTCAAAGACCCATGGACGATGAAAGGAGTACCATACAGCTTAAACAGGATGCAACCACTCGACTGCTGAGTGAAAAGAAGTTTCATTGTCAAAATTGCACCAGTCCAACCGTATGATAGTATACATCATCGAATTCCCAGTACTAGGATCCGACCATTATAGATCCCAATAAACCTACTAACTCCACCATGTATATAATATATCCACGTACACCTTAAACCTAAACCTTCATCCACAAATTCAAGACACCCTTTGCATATTCCACAATTTCATCACCACCCAATTTACTCTCTCCATAAACACGATCCACAAAACTGATTGGTACTTCCGCAACCGTACATCCCATAGCCTTAGCTCTGACCATCATTTCCATCTGGAAAGTGTATCCTTTACTCTCCGTACTTTCAATGACCTTCTGCAAAACCGCCCTTTTGTATAATCTGAAACTACCGGTCAAATCGCTAACCCCTGGTCTTAAAACTGTATCCGCAAATAAATTGGCTCCCCTCGAAACCAATTTTCTCTTCAAATCCCATCCAAATACACCTCCATCACCAGCGTATCGTGTACCTGTAACAATATCATATCCACCGTTCGTGGGTAACGTCTTTTGTTTCGCGATCATTTGAGAAATGAATTTGGGATGGTGAGAGAAATCCGCGTCCATGATAATAACATAGTTTCCGGTTACAAATTGGAGACCGTGAACATATGCCGTTCCGAGACCAAGTTTTCCAGCGCGAGCTTTGAGAAGAACATGAGGGGAATAAGCTTTGGCGAGCTGGTTGGCTACGATTTGAGTTCCGTCGGGAGAACCATCGTCAACGATAATGAGTTCCCAATCGAGCCCTCTAAAGTTCAATTAGCTACTATCCTAGACGTAGACACGCGCAAAAGCGCGAGAGTATCGGCGCAAACTTACTGCTCGGTGAATGTGCGATTAAGGAGCCATGTAATAATGGGAAGGTTGCGACGTTCATTGTAGGTAGGAAGGATTACTGAATATTTGTCTTTGGTTGCTTTTGGCGCCATTTTGAATGATTATTATTGTGGGTGAAGGAACGGAAATGTCGAGAATCAATCGTGACTATTCAATTAAAGGTGTATATTGTAAAGGAGTGTGGTGTTGAATTCTCGTGGAGCTTGATGAACCCAGGTGCACCGTGTCCACAAAGTTGACTTGTGGTTATGGTTCGCTTAGTAAGCATGTCGCCTACATCACTGGCGCAGGCGTCAACGTCGATGATGTTGCATTGAGAATTCAATAGGCAATGAAGTGAACCAATATTTTTGATTAAGGGTGTGGAGGTATAGCCTTGGAGGCTTACAGATTTTCCTGAGCAAAAGTTCATCAGCATATCCGAGATCAATGAGAGGAGAGTCCAAAGCTCAGTGGCCAAGAACTCTTGTTTGCAGCTATTCCGGGCCCCTAGCTGAGTCGCCTAATCAGCTACAGTTAGGTCCTCCCATCTTCTAAGTATGGGATCAGGGCAATCTACGGCAAGCGTTAGTCGTGTATACAATCACTTTGACTTTCTCTTTAAGGAACCGTCCGTACTTGGAGGTTCAAGTCATCAAGGTTCATCAATTCATAGAAAAAGAAGATATTAGCCTCCCATTTATCTTTCCCGCCCATTGCCTTAGTCACATGGGAGTGACCTGCTGGTAATGTGATTGAGATCTACATATATTCAACAATGCTAAACCAGAAAACCATATGATTTGATAGGCCAATATTTGAATCAACGGAAAATATGGCTCAAGAAGTATGTACCAGAATTTGGACACATAGCTAAAAATACACCATCTTCATTATGTAAACGCCCACCTACATATTCCTCCCTCCGGTAACCATAATAACCTGCCCAGTCACATACCCAAACAACGGACTCGCCACGGCCAAAATACTTCTCGCCGCCTCCTCAGCCGTCCCCGCCCTCCTTAACGGAATATCCAAATTTGCATCCGTCGCCTGACTCCCCTGACCCTTTGGTATCCCCAGCGCAATTTTCTCACCATCAGGCGTCGTCACAAAAGCGCCTTCTTCCTTTGCAGCAGTCAATCTCGTCAATATATGTCCAAAAGCCACACTATTACATCTCACTCCAAACTTCGGACCCCATTCCTTCGCAATAACTTTCGTAAGTCCATTAATCCCCGATTTAGCAACCGCGTAATTGGCCTGTCCAGCATTACCATGCACGCCGGATGTAGAGGATATATTTACTATAGATCGAGGTTCGCCATCAGTGACGCGAAAATAAGGAGCAGCTTCGCGGATGAGTTTAAAAGGGGCGGTATTGTGGAGCGCGAGAATATTTTCCCATTGTTTGTCGGTCATTTTATGGATTACGCCATCCCAGGTATATCCGGCATTATTTACTATTATATGTATTTTTCCATTTCCAAATTCCGCAGCCTTTTTGACGAGGACTTTTAGGTATTCGGCATCGAGCATATCGCCTGGGACCGCGATCGCGCGGCCATTTTGAACTGAATTTATTTCGTCCGCGACGGACTTTGCTTTGGCTAAGGTAGTTCATGGGTCAGTATTTGCTGCTATTGAAACCCGGGGAAACCTAGAGGCACAAACCCCCATCTATATCGGATACAATGACTTTAGCTCCTTCATTAGCAAAGAGTTTCGCAGTTTCCGCGCCGATACCTTGGCCAGATCCGGTGATTATAGCTACTTGACCCGCAAGTAACCCCTTAGGGTAATTGAGATGACCAGCAATTTGGGCCACACGAGATGCCATTGTACAGTTGTCAAATGAGTAAGGAGTAGAGACTGAGCTGCAAGAACGGCGGGAAAGTTGTGATATAGGTGAGGTCTACGGGGTGTTAAAAGTTTTAATGCGGGGAAACAGACCTTCCCCGGATTTTGAAAGCCGGACCGAGGCATGTTTCTATTTTTGGACTCTGAGGTACTTGCCATCCCAATCTTTCAATACCTATTCGACTTCGTTTTTATTGGCTGAATCTAGTATCTCATTTTATATAATAGTCTAGTTCTAGTTCTAGTAATTGTAAGTTTTAAGTCTATCTTGCGGTGATGCCATTTTCTCCCTTCGAATACCACGATAAACCATCTTCATGTAGGTAAATACTGTCACGCTACGCAAGCTAACTTTCCGCGACTAAATTGTCGCTACCGTTAACCCGTGGTGTTAGTTCAAAACTTTATTTGTAGGGGAAATGAGGTATTCTGCAACATCCGAATTGTCATAACGCCATCATTCAACATTTCAGGCCAAGACCATTGTGATGATAGTCAAAACCTGTTGCCAAGCCATACAAATGAGATGCAGCAGCCGCAAGAACGAGCATATGAAATATTTGATGAGAACTTCCCCAAATATCATAAGAACCCGGTGATGTCCTTTCAGGCCATCGAGCCTAATAGCAATCAGACAACCGTCCTAGGAGATGGCTTTAGAAACTTACTGCGTATAGTGAAGCACCAAGAATATAAAGAAAGCCTTCGAGTAGCAACCATGTCAAGCCGGCCCGTTCACGCATTTCATGGAATCCATATAGTTCTATCCCATGCAGTATTGGAATGACAGCCCCGCAAAGTGCTAGAGCCACGAAGATACCCGCTCGATAGGGTCTCCAAGTAGGAGTTCTGAACCTCTCAAGCATGACAACAACTGCACAGAAACCCCCAAGTACACCCGTCTAGAAACATATGAGCAATGGGTAATTGAATGCACTAGTATGTAGAATAGACTTACGACTGTGGAGTAGAATTCGAACAAATGTGGATGACAGTACAATCCATAATAGATCCCAGGAATGACACTTCCGGTGATAAGAAAAACAATCCCTAAGTAATCTAACTTATTGCCAAACTTAGCAACGGTTGGAGAATGATTAGAAATGGTATGATAAGTCCCTGACATCCCAAGACATAATGCAGCTCCTGCAAAAAAGCAACTGAATGCTAGAACATCAGCTGTCTCTGCAGATGCATACCTAGGTTTGATGGTCGCATATAAGAAATAACCTGAAAGTGTAAATACTACGGCTCCAATTAAGTGTGAATAGATATTGACTGATTCATTGTGGATGTAACCAAGGGATGCGAATGACTTGTGGAAAGATGATGTTGCGGGGCGGTAGCCAGACTTGATGTAGTGATTGTCTTGTTGCCAGGAAGGAAGATCATCCCAAAGTACCGTAAGGGCTCGCTCGACTTTCCTTTCGATGTTTTTAGCCGTTTCGGAAAGAAGTTCTGTGGTTGATGAAGTTGACGGTCTTCGTTGACGGGTAGACATTTTGACGGGCGTGAGTGAGCTGACTGATGCTTGTGATATCTCTGAAACGGAATATCGCACCAATCACTATCGGTAAGACACGAGCAATAAAGTCAAGGGGAGATCCAGGAGAGAACGAAATCTATCATTTTGATGTATGAGCATTAAATAATAAAAACAGATAGTGAAGTCATAGCAGATTCATCAAAAATAATGTTGGGAGTTCCTTCTTAAAGCAGCAATTGCTGATGAGGGGCATTGAAGCGAAGCCGAGATGTTGTTCATTTTCCTTCACGTGTGTGAATTATAAACCTCACTCACATCTAACAAGCATCACTGTCAAAATTTGTTCTCTTCTTCGATGTCGACCAAAGGCGGTCGAAATTCATCATGGAGTCGGCTGAAGCCTGCAAATCAGGATATTTTCGAGGAGATGGGTTTGAGATCCAAGGGAGACAAACAGTAGGTCGTTGAGCCAATCTTATCTTCCGCCTTTATTTACTTACTACCCCTCCAGGCTTCTTGACTACAAAACACAGGAACGTTTCTACAATAAGATCGTCGAACGATACATGCTATTCGCTGCCGATGCTCGCCGAGGAGACGAATTAAATCGAAAACTTGCACGTCTGAATATTTCACAAGAAAACGGGAATCGCGATCCTGCTCAACCAGTGCCAAACCCTGCAGACCTTACCAATGGTAAAGCCGATGCAAACGAACTCGATGCCATAACAATGGGAATGAGAAAACTTCGAGAAGGAATTGTGGCATCGAAGAGAATAGATGATTTCTCAATCCAAGCATATATATTTTGCATACGTTTGTCGATATTATTAAAGCATTGGGAATCGTACCATCCAGCGATGCGCCATTTACTTCAAGTGATGCACCCGAAGCATCCACTATCAAGCACCGAGCTTCAGGAATTCGCTGCATATCAAGTGCTAGATTTAGCTTGTAGACAATTGGATCTAGCAAAGGCTTTTTCCATTAAACTTACCCTTGGGTTGCGAGACTCGAAAGTCGACGAAGTTTTAAAGGCTATTGCTCATGATAACTACTTTTTGTTTTGGAAGGTAAAAAGGGGGATGGATGGGTACAAGGCAAAAATAATGGAATTTGCAGGAGAGGAGATGAAATTGCATGCTTTGAAGTCGATTGGAAAGACATATCTCAGTATCGATTTAGATTCTCTGGAGCAACTTACCGATTCTAATTGGACTACTTTGACTAAGGTGTATAATGTGGGATGGCAATTGGAAGGGTCGAAGGTTGTCATTCGAAAGCCGAAACCCCGTTGAAAGTACATATACCCGTACGACATTATTATCTTCACCAGATTTTTGGAATATATGAAGCCATATTATTATAGGTATGTTAGCCTGACACCCGCCTCTTTCAATGGCTAAACTCTAACAATTTCAGATCAGATCAGTTGGGCTTGATCGCGACCATAACTATTGATAGAAATTCATTGTCAGCATGAGCCGCGTTTAACGTCCTCGTGCAGTATACGAAAAGGACATCGTGTGGGATTTGTACGCTGCTTCCGATTTTCGTGGTCGCTGTAATCAACGGCTATACGATTTTGATCGATATTGCCATCATTATATGAACCATATGAACGTTGTGAGTGACAACAATACACCGCGATCACCGATTAGCAGATGATCGCATGCCACGGGGCCATGTGATGCGGATATCATATTATTCACATTCGACATTATGAGAGCTTACAAGGATTTTATGATAAATATGATTCGAAGGATGGAGGGAAGGGTCATGAAGTATCGTACAAAGCTCGAGGAGTTAATGAGTGCTTGCGAGAGGTACATCATTATCACAAACGAATGCAATGCCCATTCTACGAATTACAATGCCTGAAATCGGTGAATTAGCCCTCTTATCGACAATATTTGATCGCAGGATGAATCCATTTCATCATAAGTGATGATTGTCAGTTGCTTGATAGACACTAAATTCTATCCTGAATTATATAAGTGCGCTATAAACGTCTAATCACCTCTAATTGGCTGAACCAATGCCCCATTTGAGCCTCACTTACGAAAAGCTCAGATATTTAGCATTTATGGCTGGAATGCAAATTAGCCACAAATTTCCGTACTCAATGGTTCTAATCCGATTATCCGGAAGTTGTCCATCCTTTCAGTGGATGCTTTGCCGATCAATCAATTTTCATGCCTCAAATTGTGTATCCTTCGGAAAACACGGGTATGATGGATCACACGTCGATCAAAGGACAAATGATCAACATCAGCAATGCACTTGTAAAGGGAGGAAAAGAAACGGAGGATATTTGCGATCACCATTTTGGAAAATTGGAAACATGCCGTGGCTAGCTTCTCAATGCACCTAATTTATACTTTTGAATTCCAAATATTCCAACACGTGTCGGACCGTCGGTAGAGTAGCTTCAAACCTAATCCCTATAAGGCGCCCGCGTAATTAACACGTGCAATAAGTGAAATCTAAATGACTTATGTCAGGTTTATCCAATCACATTCCAAGCATCTATATTTGTTGCATATCTCCCAAAATCTCATTTGACATGTCAATAATAGTCCTTTTCAATTAGTATTATGATTCATATTTGGTTAGTGTATAAACCAAAGAATTATACGACGAAGGGGAAGGTGCAGTACCAAGCCACTCTTAAACGAAAAAAAGGGATCATGCGCTTCCTCGTGCACAAAACAAGCAATAGCTAGCGAAAGATCTAGACCCATCTAAATCATGAAATTCGTATCACTGATCGCTCCAAAGAAAAAAAAAATCAGGCCATGTTGGAAGATCATTGGAACCACGATTTAATGAAAACTCCCAGTTTGGGACATATTTTAAGCCAGGCGACCGTGAAAATGTCTTTGTTGCATATCGTATGAAGTGATCAGTTATCTTTTCTTTCTTCTTTGGGATAAGAAATTCTGGGGTGTGATATTTTTTGGGTTGGATTGCGGATCTGCACAGGAAATACTAGCTGGTGGTTCGGCTACGGATCTATCTATCGCCTGTGGTGTAGAGTCAAGGAGACACAAATGGAGGATTGTTGCACATCTTATGGAAGGATCAACGATTAACACTTCTCTTTCTGGTAATATACGATCTCTTGGGTCGAGAGTCTTTGGTAATCTAGAGCGAGAGATTGCTCAATTGTTGCTTATCTCAAATTATACGATCGTCAACCGTGGATTCCCCTTTTGGGGCCTTCTCGTCTTGCAACTCGCGACAGTTAGGCTAAGATCACAACGCCAAACAATTTGTTGCACACCTGAAATTAGATCGCCACTCTCGTCTTTCAAATGAGGAGTGTTTTCTTCGAGGAGATACACTTTAAGGCTTTTTGTTGCAAGTCTTAAAAACTTGATCTTCTTCTAAAATCGCCCAATTTGGCCAATCCCCGAAACTTCTTTTTCAACGCCCCCGAACCAAATATCAATTTGTTGCAAACCTTATGGCTTGATCTTCTTCATTCTTCTCCCAATTCAGTATTTGTCCGAGAGAAAGAGACGCCGGACAGCAATTTGTTGCACGTCTAAAATCTAGGATCGTCTTTCCAAATCATCCTAATCTAGATACACGGAGATTCATCGTCTATAGCCTCGGGGAAATACATTTGTTGCAGACCTCAAATTCTCGATCTTCTTCAGTGAATCCTAAAGGGGACTTGGTTCCGACGGCTTTCACGGCGAATTTCTTGGACCACGGGTTACTTTGAAGCTTTGTTGCATGTCTGAAAATTGACGATCGTCTATGAGTTTCCTATCTTAGCGGAAGTTCAAATGCTTATTTTTCCATCCTTTGTTGCGGACTTCGTCGCTTGCTATCTCCGGTCATGTCTTTTCTCCTACACATAAACTCATACTCTTGGTACAAAATCATTCTTTGTTGCAAATCTAATCGCTTGATCTTCTCCGGACATCCCAATTCTGCTACAGCTCGCCTCCATGAAATTCTTTTCTGAATACCAATTTCCGTTTTGTTGTAAGATCTTACATCCAAATACTGGATCTTCTCCGGACCTTCCATTTTGTTACAGCTCGCGCATGAATTGATTCTTGCCCCTAATGTCAATTTCTCCTTTGTTGCACATCTGATCGTTTGATCAACTCCGGATATTCCATTTCTGTCACTGCTCGCCTACAACTACACATAACTGGAGTAAAATCGTCATTCCTTAAAATTTGTTGCATACCTAATCGCTTGATCTTCTTCAATCAATCCATTTTCGGGGCTGCTCGCCTGTGCTCGGCTGTCAGGAAGCTTTGTTGCAGATCGCATTAGGTGATCGGCTGTGGAGATTAGCCAGCTTGATCACGGGCTCTCCGTGTTTTAATTCTGAGGCGTTCTAGACCGAAATTTTGAGGTAACGATGTTAGCTTTTGTTGCGTCTCGTAAAATCAATCATTTCCTATTCAAGTGTATACCAGATTGATGGAATGAAATTGAGTGTCTGTTTGGTTGTCTTGTTGCATGTCTGAAAATTGATCATTACTGTTTTGGGAATCGGAACACCCTTTGTGCTCGGTGTTACACAATGTTCCTTCCTATGCTGCTTTCCTTCCTCAATCATGATGAATTAATTGGCATGCATGTACGAGTACATTCTTAATAAAGTACAATGGGGCTCAAGCCATATATATCACTTTCATTGATTATATCTCGGCCTCGGGTAATACGCCAAAGATTCTTCTGTACGAGTGGTTTTCTTCACTCCAACCATCTAAATCCTTTATTTTTACCATCCATCCTATATGCATGAGCACTATAGTGACTCCAATATCTCGGTACCGATACATTTTCAGCAGTACTGCATTATGAACAGAATTTCTTACGGCACCATCAAGTAGTTCCATGTCTTGACGATCATCTTCTTGAATCGTACCTATTCTGATATTAATATTGGCTACCGTCTATGAAGTATGCTTTTCTAAAATCTCAAATGCTTATCTTCACTACGCCAGGGGATCAAGGATGTATTCCTCACCAGGTATATAGCTAAGAAGGCTTAATGATGGTATCAGAAAATATCAACCAGTCCTTCCCAAACAAACATATATTGGAAACACAGATTTGTTATCCACGATTTAAATCGAGGCGCTGGAAGTATCATTGCAGTAACTCTTAACGTATAGTACAATACGGGTTCTTCAAGCAAAACGGAGTGATTGCTACTTGTTAAATTACCTTCCTGCGAAAATGTCACGGGACAGTGTGAGTGAGTTTGATATACCCTGACATTCTACCAATATGTCTTACAACTTGCGTTCTACCTGTTTATCGGAGATGGTATGGCCGGTAGGAATACTCTGGAGGAAAACTTATTGTGACTCGTAAGAGGGCAGTTAGAAACCTTCGTCGGGCTGAAATATCGTGGATACAAAGATATTAAACAAATACTGTCTGAAAATCGCATGATATATGCGAGGTGAATTGTATGGATAGATGGGGATAGAAGTTATATGGGTCGAACCGTCAGGTGAAAATCGGCTCTCAACATCAAAGTTTATTTTTACCTATATCACATGGGTTAAGTTTAGGGTTGGTAGAATAAAGAAGGGATTTTAAGGAATTTTTAGTAATACTATAGTTGAATTTAAGAGGAGATATAAAAATTTACAAATTTTTAAATTTATATATTAATTTGATATAATTTAAAATTATTATTTTAACTTTCAATATCTCAATTAATAAAATTATAAAAAATCTGAAATTTTTAAAACTTATTTATATTTATATAAATTATTAACCAAAGTAAAAAGTTTCAATGGATTTTAATTTGTTAATTATAAAATTATTAAGAAATGAAAATCATAGTTCTTGATATAAAAGAGTGGCCGGAATGAGGGGCTGGCTGGAATATGAAGTAGGGGACTTAATTATTTAGATTTTCCAATAATCCGTTTTGTAAACGGTTCATCTGTGGATTATCCATTGGAGCGATAATCCGTCTTGCAAGGCCCTGTTGCGCAGTTTAACACTACCCTATGGTATTGAGTCTCAGCTGTGAAGTTCACATCCCAAAAAACAATTGATGTTGATGTCAAGTCTGAATTTGACACCATATCGCAGAGCACATTGAATGAACTGATGGAGAAATGTTTTAAGCATGCAGGACAGGTTCCGCGCAAAAGATTGTTCGAAAACCAAGAAGGGTATTGAAATTCAAAGATACACAAAGAAATACAGATTCAAATAGTACCAGCCATCTGCTGCCGCCAGATATGAGATTCCCCAAAACGCTACCCTGTCATACACTGTGGTATTGCCTCCTTTACTCTAAGCTCTAATCGAGATGATGTACATCATACCCTAGGTAATTACAAAGAAAGAAAAATTGAGCCAAAGGCTCATTGAGGAGGCCTTATTGTCGATATCATGAAATATTCGGTAAGATAAACAACCAAAATGATAAATAGTGCTTCGATGAGGATCATAACTAGATGTTTGTTAGTTGCCGTGGTCATTGTCTGTGATCACAATGCGATGAAAACCCACCATAATCCTTCATGAAATTACGCCACGAACTCCTCGGCGACATACGGGGTGAAAATCCGACGATATTTCTTTATTATGGATTTGAGTATCCAAATACCGTTCTTTTTCTAGTTTTTGTATGTTTAGTTAATTGGATCTTAGAGCGGGGTTCATCTAGCGTGAGTTCTCACCAATTCTTTTATTCTCTGCTGTTTTCTTTGCTTTCTCAGAATCTTCTCTGGAAAGTTTAAACGAGATGTCCATTGCATCGAATCTCCAATTCACAGCTCGTTCACTCTCGCCCAGCATTTCCTCAGTGAAAACTTCATCCTTGAGATTCTCCAGGAAGTTTCCTTCAATTCTGCGAGCACTTTTTCTACTTTATCAACTGAACAGCGTATTTCATAAAGACGATTGACAAGTTCATCTCTCGAGATCCCAAGACGTAGTATACGATGCTTCATCTGTTTCAAGGAATCTTGCCATTTCGCTTCGGCTTTTAGTGAGGCCAAGTACGTGAATGGAGCCATTTTTCTCCACTTCACGGCTGCATCTAAATCTGTGCGTACGGCTTTATCGAGTTCGTAAAGAGCTTGGAGTAAATTTCATAAGGATATCGAAGCAATATGATGCGCGACGAAGAATTTACTGAACCCAAGTTCCGATAACCATAGACTGAATCCATCTGGAGTATTCATCATCGGGGAGTATGGTGTATTGTCTGTATATTTCTGCCACGACGCAATACGCTCTCGTCATTCAGGTTGATAAATATCAGGAGCGTTTTCACTTGGATGCGAATCAAACCATCTCGATATGGCTTTTTGTGCTGCTCTTTGCTGTTTTGTTTGTGAGTTGTTTACCTCTGTCGCTAACTCGATACCATGATTGAGAGGCATCTTGTATTGTGGGATCATCTCATCTTCTGTTTCAGAGAATCCAAAATCTTCTTCAAAACTTTCGCGTACAGGGGATTTGCGTTTATAGTCTTCCCAGTTTTGCCTCGTCGTTGCATTTCGAAGTTGTTGTGAAAGTCGTCTTAACGCCCTCGTATTGGGGCCGAAGAAAGTCAGCCTTGTATCGCATTGTCAAAACTGTTTTCTCTCAAGGCTTCACGGAAGAGACTCCAAATGAATTATACCACAGAAATCGAGTAATTTTGGCAGAGGATATATATATTACGGTCGCTTACAAACATCAATTGTGTCAAATCAGCAATGCCCCTGATTGGTTCTCATTAGGGTAAGCTTCAAGCGGTCACCGTTACACGAGATGGCAATGTAAATCTGATCTGTGTGATTTAATCATCCCGAGGAAGTCGCCTCAATCCGAACATGCCTTTGTTAGTTCTTTCGATTGGAGTCTTTTCGTATTGACGTTCTCTTTCCTGACTTGCTTATCATTGCTGTATTACCAGGAGACGGATCTGGAATCACGAATGCAACCGCCATGGCTATCTCAGTGCTTGCGATGGTATCTTGTTCGCGAAAATATGGAACGGCTAGGTCAAGCCGTCCTCAAAGCTTGCACAAGGCCATCATCGGAGTACTTTGATGAAGGAGTCAAACTCTTGATCACTTTGGCTGATGGGAAGCCGGTTACTCTCTATGCGCCGTCGGGGTGTGGTCGTCGCTGGCTTCACGAAAGGACCCATACCTCATAATCAATTATACAAAATTATGAGAGCGATTGGTTGGTTAACCTTCGCTTATACATATTATAGCATTGGGCCACTCCTATCTAATCTGTCAGATATATACCGTTGTTCTTATCGTTCTTAACACTTGGACAACAATCCGAGGTTTTGGATGTGATGAGGAGGAAGTTGCAACAGTAACAGCAACAGCAACGGCAACGAAGATGAATGCAAACCAACCACTAACCATGCTCTATTAAACGGAATGAAAATGCCGAGATCTACCTGTCTCTAGAATGATTACTTAATTATTTACTGAAGCTTTTGGGGGCGGAGAACATAAGAAAGATTTTGGACTCTCTAGACTTTCAATTTGCCTACTATAGAATGCTATTTTATAATACTGTCCATACAAATAGCATCATAGGTAGTATAGTAGAATATTCTACTCCTATTGATACATCTAAAGAAGAGAAAATTGTATCAAAACCCCTGCTAGGAATCTGACTTGAATGAGTGGATATAAAATCTCCAAAATCTCAGCTGACGATTAGATGGCTACATAGCTTATAATATTTTATGTCTGGATCATGCCGCCCCGCGGCCTATTCCGCAGTCTTGGACGCAGAGCCTTGAAAAATAAAATGCTTGGGCCGAGGACCTTACAGATAGAATAGATGTCGATTTTTTTTCCTACGAATGAACCAGCGAGAATGCAAGAATACTCAGTATGCCAAACTTCAATCCAAACAGCAGAGCGGCATCTTTGGAACCTGAACAATACCTGATTTGAGACAACACTTTCCAAGAGTCATTGATTCACGTTCAAGATCGTCTCCAAGATCGTAACCCAGATCGTATCCGAGGTCATCCTCAAGATCTTGGATACGAGCTGATTGGTTCAATTCAGGTTAATTCACACCGTCGTAATGGGTACAATCCTTTCCGGAATCCGTTGACTGGCGCAGATAAAGTTCGATATCGTCTACAAGAGTTGATGGATGCATTCGCACCGCGAGATGTTGGAACTTATGTATACAAAGATATCAATTACAATGAGAATATTCGAGTATTGCAAATTTTGCCTGGTAAAAGAAGTTCCCCAATTTGTTGCGTTTTGCTACCTGGCGCGCTGCCAGATTCGAACCACAATACCGATTCAAAATTGAAGGAGCTCGAGTACACGGCCTTATCCTATTATTGGGATGATGATGACCCAGTGCACGAAATTAATATATACGAAGAAAGTCCAGAAGCGAGTTTATGGCCTTTTAAAACGAGGTTTATTTAGAAAATTCTCAAAGAGGCACTTGTGCAGCTACGATCGGAGCACGAGGAGGTGTATTTATGGTGTGATGCTTTATGTATCAGTCAAGCAAATAAAAAGGAGAAAGTTGCACAAGTTGCACGAATGCATGAAGTATACACTCATGCGGAAAAAGTTTGTGTTTGGTTGGGAACAAATGGTGATCAACAGGGGGAAATAGATGGTCCAAGACGCACATTTGATTTCTTGGGGAGGATTCTAGATCTGGAGGTACCCGGATCGGATTGTCGATAGGTAAGAAGATAGGGAAGATTGGGTGCTCATTATTAATTTAATGAAGAAGATTGGTTCAGGAGGCGATGGGTCATACAGGAACTTGCACTCGCGAAGAACGCTTGAATTCGATATGCGGATCAGGAGATGAAGTGGATGGAATTTGCTGATGCGATTGCCTTATTCATCACCAAGTTTCCGAAAATGAAACGAGCTCTCAATAACTCGAATAATAACGACTTTGAGAGTTTGAGGAGACCGGGTGAGTACCTTGGTACTCTGGACGCTCGCGCATTGGGTGCTAATATATTGGTCACTGCTACCTCTCGCTTATTTCGCAGATCTGACGATGGACGAATCGAGCAACGGTTATTGAGTTTGGAAATCCTTGTATCTTCACTACCTTTGGCATTTGAAGCTACCGATCCCAAGGATACGATATTTGCAGTCCTATCTATCGCTAAAGATACTTGGAATATGGATTCTGAGCTCGATGCAGGGAAACGATGGCTGGATTCCGAAAGACGACCCGTTATCTTTAAAGTTCTACTGTTTCTTTGCAGATATTTCGTATGGCCATTCATTAATCTACTTACCAAATTATTCTATACACCATCATACACTTCAGTGACAGTTTTGTACCCACGTATACAGCCCAATTACCGAAAATGTCTCTCAGATGTGTGTGCGGATTTCATGGAGTATTGCATTGAAAAGTCCAACTCCCTCGATATTCTCCGCCGGCATTGGGTTGCTAGACCTAAGCCCAAAACTGCACGCGAAAAAGTACGAAACAGAAAGCCTCCTTGCGAAGGCGAGAAAATGCCTTCTTGGATCTCTAGTATCGAGCGCTACGCGTTTGGTTCACCGAGAGAAGCGAAAAAGGGAAGGATTAATGGAGATAGTTTTGTAGATGGATCGGGTCGCTCTCGATATAATGCATCATTTGGACTAGCACCCCGCGTCCACTTTGAAAAGAGGAATCGCTATGATTTTAAAAATGACATTTTAAATCCCGCAAAGACAGGAGAGCCAGTTGTGAAACCTTTGCATGCGAAAAAGCAGGAGAATAATCAACTACCCCCAAATTCGACGGTACGATGTATGTGGAAGGATTCCAGCTCGACGTTATCAAAATACGATCGGATGCCGTGAATAGTGGTGTGATTACATTCGAAGCATTGCAGATGGGAGAATATAAAGAAGATTCTTTTACTGGGAAATATGAACCGATTGATGCGTTATGGAGGACTCTCGTAGCAGATCGTGGGCCAGATGGCGTTAATGCACCTATTTGGTATCGCAGAGCTTGTGCATATTGTCTAGATATATTTTTACCACTCGATCCATCGGGGGATTGGAATACAAATGATCTGAGAACGATACAGTATGCACCAGCAGCTATGCTTAAATTTCTGGACCGGGTTCAAGCTGTAGTTTGGAGAAGGAGGTTCTTTTTGACGAGTGGGGTAAAGGGAAAGCAGTTGTTCGGATTAATGCCGAATGAGGCGAAGGAAGGGGATGTGGTTTGTATATTATTGGGGTGTACAGTGCCCGTTGTTGTGAGAAGAGAGAATGACGGTGGGAAGGGGGAGGGGGGTTGGATTTTTGTGGGCGAGTCTTATGTTCATGGGATGATGGATGGGGAGGCTGTAACAGGAGATTGGCCAAAGAAGTTGGAAGAGTTTAGATTGAGGTGATGAAGTGAGTGGAACTTTATGATATGACATGGAATGGTGTGGGATGGAATGGAATGGGGTAGTTGTTAAGTGTGTTGTTGATTGTACTCTGTGTTATGATAACATTAGATACTCATTTACTAGCTTAGGCGTCAAAAGACACACACATGTGATGTCATGTTTAATACAGAAAAAGATATTCTCATACGTTAGACTATAATTAATGGGAATGGAAATTTCTGAACCTCAAGTGAGAATCCCCAATTTTTCGTCTAGTCTCATTTGATACTCACTTCCACAGTATCTTACTGAAAAATTGGAAAGCAAGTCATATCATTGAGGTCGATAAAGAAGATTCACAGTGTCATTCCTGACCCAATTGTTAGACATTAGCCATATTGTTTTGATAATGAATTCATCGCCAAATCATTTCCCTCGTGGTTCATAAATTAAGTTCTTATTCCTCTTACATTTTCCGGTCTGCAGCTTCGAAATTGACAAAGACAGCAACTTCTTAACAACAACGCTATACCTTGGGCATCAATCACTTCTGAAAAACAAAGATCCCATCAGGACAACAAAGCTCCAAATAAAGAATTTAGAACGCAAATTGACTAACAAAGATCAGTGTTAAGTTCTTTATGATTGTTCTACTTCCCTGAAATCGACTGCATCTAATGTTAGTTTCTCAACTATCTTGCATGTCTCGAATTCGAGTGTTTAACTAGTAACTAGTACTCGAGTATATCGAAAATAGAGTCAATACTGAGAACGGCTTCTATCGTTGTTCGATCTTGGTTTGAGCGATAGGGATTTCGCGGTGAATCAAATCAAACACGATATTGCACAGTCTGCTCTTTTGCAACCGAAGTTCAAGAATCTTGAAGACTGGTTGTGTAATTTGCTCTTTTTATTTCGGACTTCATAGCTGTAAGCGTGGATAATTTTATCGAACATTATGGCGCAGCCTGCAAAGCCAGACAATATGTGGGATCGGAGTGACCAGGTCGTGGAAATTCTCGGAGATGAAAACGTTGACGAGGCAGCTAGAAAGAAACTGATGGAACTTTTTGCCGAAATCGATGCCGATGTAGAGCTTTACGTAGGCGATCACGTACATGAATCAATAACCAACTATCAAAACCTTCAGCGGGATCGGGAGGCGAAAAGGGAGGAATTGTATCAGGCGAAACGCGCAGCGTACCTGGAAAAGGAGCGACGGCAAATACGGTTTAAGGACGTTGCAATACCTACTGCACAACATTTGCGTGCTATTCGTGAATCAGCTATACCTATTCGTCACAACAAATGGCGAAAGCACAGCGCCGGACTCACGAGCCAAAATATCAAAATCTTAAATGCGATTGGCTCTGGTGCTTTTGGTGCAGTTTACCTTATCGAAAATACCGACACTAAGGTTCAGTATGCAATGAAGTTCCAAGGCCTACGAGAAGATGATGACATCGAGTGGACAAAAAAGCCTGAATTTATGGGTGCACGAACTCCTCCCCTCCTCTGAGGCCTCAAAATTATCCGAGAGGATAATGAAAGAACGAAATTTGCTGACTAAACGATTTAATGAAACAAAATGCTACTTGCGTTATATACGTTCTGGTCACCCCTCCATCTGCAGTATGGAAGCCTTCTTCGATCACCGAGGGGGTGGAGAAATTTTTAGTACCACCGAGGATATCGCTCATGGGCACATCTTCGAGTATTGTGACTGGGGCACCTTGCAAAATCTTATTAAGAAATATTATAGGACACCACTCTATAGTACGGGGAGGCTAGCAGACAGGGACAATTTTTCTAGACCGGAAGGAATGCCACCATTATACACGCATGCAGCAATACCTGAAGCATTCATTTGGCATGTCTTTTTGCAGTTAATGGACGGCCTTTCTTTTCTTCATGGTGACCACGAGCTCAACAAGCAAGACGAGTTTCACCGACGTAACCAGGTCATTTGCATTGATATCAAGTTAGATAATATCTTGCTGAAAGACTCTGGGGTTCCAAACACATATCCAACGGTAAAAATTGCGGATTTTGGAGAAGCTATATATGTGCCACACGGAGAATCTCGCTGGCACGACATGGGAACGACATTTTGCCCACCGTCTGATGAACCTGTAAGCCTAATTAATTCGTTGAATTTTTGGCCTTGAAGCTTAATTTGTCTTCCCCCAATATCAAAGTCTACTTTTGTGCTTCCTCCTCATATACAATCCTTTTTCTTTTCTTGATATAAACCCCCGGACTCCTCATTTTTTTCAATATCCCCCCAAAATCTCGTCTTGAGTAGCAATTACTGACTCTCCAATCTGGCAGTGGTACAGCGCCAAATATGATGTTTGGTGCGTAGGAATTTCATTATACATTATGTCGCATTCTGGCAGACAACCTTATAGAGTTGATGATCCTTTACATGAAAGGGATGATTTATCGGTAGAGCCGAGATGGACTAGGCCCGATGCACACCTTTCTCAAACACTCTGTAGAGAACTTGAAAGGCCATTAGAAATGGATATGGAAAAGAGGTGGACGGCGATTAGAATTTTTAACCGTATAAAGCCAAAGGCTGAAGCAATGATACGTTCAACGTATAGGGAACTGCAAGACTGGGTAAAGCCAGACTTTTCGGGTGATAATTTCGATGACGGCTATCTTGAATGGGTTCAAGGGGGAGGAGTCCCTAGTGATATTGAAGAAGATGGTAAGGATGATGATAAGAAAGATAATGATGATGGTGGTGGCGGTGGCGATAGCGATGGTGAAAAGCATGCAGATATCCCCGACCCGGCTGCTGCCCCCATTTCCAAAAAAATATCGTCGAAAAAGCAACAAGAGATGTCAAAAAGGCGACGAGAAGAAGAGGAGCGAGAAAAAGAAAACCTGCCGCCTGTGAGGCCCTCAAAAAGACGATTAATCAGGTACCGAAAACTCCGTGCTTACCGGGTATGAAGTTAACTTTTGGTCAGCTCACTCAAGTAATCATATCCTATAGCACTAGCTAATGTAGGAGTGCTATAGAACTGGTGAAATTTATTTCGATCGGTCCAACTGTTAAGTTTTAACAATGATTTGTATATCTTGTGGAGGTTTAGTATTCTCAAGCAATGGGATGTTAATGTAATTTTACATCTCTCTATTCGAGAAACTTTTCGATGCAATGCGGCGAAATGACCGCCACTGATAAATGAATCGGGGTTTTGTGTCACACCTTGATTGCTGCGTGTTTATTTGGTCATAATAATGGGAAAATCGGTATCCTCAGGTCAATTAAGTCTGGTCATATATTATCAATCAACATCATAATTTAGTTATTCTCCTTGATGCTTGTGAGCCATAGTTGTCATTGCCTCCGTATATCCAATCTCGCTTATTTCGTATGAGGAAAAACGCAATGCGAATGCGAAAGGTAGTTTGCAAAAGAAAGCTTGATGTAGGATATGCAATGGGTTTTCGATCCTAACTTATGACCAAGGAACTGGATAGCGAAGTCGATGGCTAGATGTAGGTTTGCATGGTAATCTATCTGGGAGGGTAGTTTGCGGCTTATTCTACCTTCACAACTGTACCTTTCCGTGTGTCTTGGCAAAGTATTTGCAGCATAAATAAGAGATCCATTATTCCATATCGCTTTCCGCAAAACGATACACGCGCATATTGTGTCGAGATTTCTGAATCTAATGTCCCAGATCAAGACACCGCCAGTTATTCTCACATGACTTGGCTCTTTTTGTGTACGGATGTGCAGCTCAAAAGCATGCAAATTGGATCCAGTTTGACTGAAAAGAACTGTAAGCATACCTTCTTGATCTGCACGCCGACCACACAAGCTCAGAATCTGCTACATCGGGATGCCTGTGCAATTTGGCTGCTTTTAGATTTCCATTATTTGCGCTAAAGATGTATCAGGCGTTCGAATACGGCCAGTAAATAGCACAGGACTTCTGCCGACGTTGAGATTGAAATACCATCACCATCGTATGTACGGCGTTACGTCCAAGGTTAAGAATCGAGACCTGTCGAGTTACTGAAGGTAACCGAGTAACGGGCCATGAGACTTCGTCGGAACGGCTATTAATGGGTAATAAAACCACGAGAAGAAGCTGTAAACATGAATGAACAATGCGAATGATGAAGGAAACAAAACTTTAAACTTGTTGCACAAGGTTCTTTATGTGTATTATGCGAATGAGGCCACCGGCCGTGAATACCTGCTTATTGGCCACGAGGTAAAAAAGATTATGCTACAATTTGATGAGGCTGAATTAAAAAACTTCAAACTAATAAGAACAGTGGGACTATACATCAATGGCGGAAGACATTCTAGATGATATTTTTAGACGTACCATGAATTAAGTGCCAGCATTTCATTTGCTGACGGCCTAAGTATACATACACGTACACAAATTTTTTACTCCCAAATTTCTTCCAAACTCCTCATTACTCTCCATTCTGCTCTCCTCCACCGCTAATCGTTCCACCAGCTTGCTTCCAACTTTGAGCCATCGCCAAGAAATTCGATAATTTCTTCGTCTGTTCATCATCGGCAGGGAAAACATAATCAACATATTCTTCGTAACTATCATCATCAAGCTTTCTTCTTCTCTTCGTCTTTCTTGGCATTTGTTTCTGTACTTTCTCAATATCTTCCTCTGTACCATGAGTACGTTCAAAAGAGAGATGAGCATTCAGGAGGGAAACGCGCTGTAAAATTGTTAGAGGTTGAATTAGGAAATCTGAAGTAATTTTGTAACATACCTCTTCTTTGAGATCCTTATCTTTCATGCTCTTCAGAGCACGTTCGAAAATCTTGCGTGCACGTGTCTTTGCAGCCTCACTTACTGGCTTCTCCTCATCTTCCTCGGTCTCCTCCTCATCATCATCTGGAACGTTAATCTCGAAATGTGCATAACTGATCCAGACCTTCACATGATCTGTCTTCTCCAATAATCTCTCGTAGAGATGTCTGGTACGATCATATTCGCCTTCTTCTTCCTCAAAGTCAATATATGCTTTCCATAACAATTCTGGCATGTCAAGAACTTGTTGACTAATTGCCAATTCAAAAATCGCACGTGTACGTTCAAGATCATCTAGACCTCTTTCGAGTTCAGCAAATTTGATCCAAGCTTGACAATTGGCTGGGTTCCATTCGATATGTTTCTCATAAAGGGTGCGACATCTCACGAATTCGAAAAGTTTAATTTCTAGCTCAACATAGCCTTTGAAAAGTTTGTCCTTAGGACACATTCCTATGGCTGTTCCTAGAGTTTTTCTCGCGGCTTGGAGTTGCTGTTGTCGAATCTCGAATTGAGCCTTCATAAGCCAGATCTTGGCAAAAGTGAATTTCTTGTGAGGTATTAATTTCAGACATTCTTGATAGATCTGTCTCGCTCGTTCAACGTCCTTTGACTCCATTTCCTCCCAAATGGCATAAAAAATCCACAAATATATATAACGTCTCCAATGCCTCTTCTCCTGGGTTGGTGGAATTTGAGCAATGGCTCTTTCGTAAACATCTCGAACTCTATCGACATCTCCAGAAGTTTCTTCCAATCTAGCATAATCGAACCATGCATCGTAATTTTTGGGATTTTCCTTCGCTTGTTCCTCATATTGAACTCGGCGTTTCGAAATAATCACATCCTCCACACCTTCACGATCACCGAATTGTTTCTCGAAAGTAGTATAAGCCTTATGGAGTGAAATAGACTTCGATCGTGCCATACGATCTAGGGCGTATTTGTAGATAGCTCTTGCACGTTCATACTCCTTTAACTTTGTCTCAAATCTCGCATATGCAATGAAGAGCCTCTCATCCATGAAGTCTTCACCCAAAGCTTCAACAGCTGTCCCAAATACCTCTCTAACCAAATCACTTGTCCCATACTCTTCCTCAAATCTGGCCCATTTAATCCAGTTTCTTGGTTCAGGATGCACCATAGTAAATCGTTGAAAGATTTCCCTAGCTCTTTGAAACTCCCCATATCTCTTTTCCAATTTGATATAACTACTCCAAGCTGCCTCATCCGGTTCCCAAGACATCCATCTTTCGAATACTTGTCGTGTACCCGGAATATTACCAAGCATTTCCTCCATATAAACATATTTGTACCATAATTTATCAATTCTAGGTAAAATAGTTACCGCACGATCTAACAAATTCCTGGCATGATTGATATTCCGAGACTTCATCTCCGCCTCGACATATCGAATCCATAATGTAACGGATGTAGAGTCGACGTCTAATGCTCGTTCGAAAACGGATCGTGCTCGTTTGAATTCTTTCTGTTCCAATTCCCATTGCGCATATCTCATCCAATTGTTCATATTGATCCTATTCCTCCGCACATAGTCCTCGAACTCTTTCCGTTTTCTGCCTTGGAATTCATGGAGCTCTTCGAGATCAGCAAACCGCTGAGTTGGTGCTTGAAGTCCTGGTTCTTGACGGTCAACAGCTTCACGTAGAAGTTGTTCTGCAGAAATTTGGATGGCGCTGGCGGCCTTATTCTTGACCTTCGGCGGTCCGCGAGTCTGTTCATAATCCATGATGGCAAAGTTTAATTTCTCGAAAAAAACAGCTGGCGCAATTCGATTTCGCGTTGCAACATTGAAGGTATCGCGATGTTCGAAAATGTTGCTTATTAATCACCTACGTAAATACGCTAGCGGCCGCTGTCTCCGAGCTTGGAGCTCTTTCTCAACTTGATTTTCTTCGGATAGCTACCTTCACGCGCCAACTACAACAAACAGTACGCTAAGATGTCGACTCTAGCAGATGAATTATTACAGGATTTCGAGGATTCCGGGTCCGAAGGTGAAGAGGAGGATAATGCCCATCTTTTCGCTGATCCTGAAGAGGTTGCGCTTAGCATGAATGGGAACGCAACAGGACTTTCAGGCGCAAGTGAAATGGAGCTCGATGGTGATGAGGAAGCAGTTGATGAAGATGATGAGATGGTAGGAATGGCCAGTGGTGCTATTGATGTTACAGAGGATGAAGAAGCAACCAAAGCAAAGGTTGAAAAGATGCAACTTGGTGGAGTAGATGATGTGCGCAGTGTTGCAGGTTTAATGAAAACCTTGGAACCAGTTTTAGAGGTCAGTACCATTTCATTCTTCCCTCCTTCCAAACTTGGAGACCTATGGTTTACATCTACTCGTTCTTGTCCTAGCCCTGACTCTCCTCGACTTGACAGAAAATCGCACATTTTCAATCATTGCCTCCTGAAAAACAAACAACTTTCGTCGGCTCGGTCGAAGACAATCCAGAATATCATTTATTAACGCAAGCAAATACTCTATCGACATCCATTGATAGCGAAATCATCCTAGTACATAAATTTATACGAGATCATTATTCAATTCGATTTCCAGAGTTAGAAACCTTGGTCACCAACCCTTTGGATTATGCCAAAGTCGTCACTATTATTGGAAATGGACCTATGGATTCGGAAAATATCAAGGCACTTCAAACATCAAAGGATAACCGGCTTGGTGCTACATTAAGATCTGTTCTGGATGGACCATCCGTTATGATTGTCACGGTCGAAGCAACCACCACAAAGGGTCGAGAAATGTCACCGCATGAACTCGAAAGGGTACTACGTGCTTGTGATATGACACTCGCACTCGACAGAGCAAAGAAGACATTAACTGATTATGTACAATCACGCATGAACTTGTTCGCTCCAAATCTTACAGCCCTTATTGGATCCCTCACAGCGGCACAACTACTCAACTTCGCGGGAGGTTTAACAGGTCTAGCCAAAACACCTGCCTGCAACCTTCCTCCCCTAGGCTCCAACAAATCATCTGGAACTGGTTTCGCCACCAATGTTGGAGTCCGTCAGCAAGGGTTCCTTTATCACTCTCCTATTATTCAAGGCATTTCTAATGACCTCAAAAAACAGGCTATGCGCATCGTCTCTGCCAAAGTTGTTCTAGCCGCAAGAGTTGATCGAGTTCATAACAGTCCAGATGGATCTACTGGTGAAGAATTGAAAGAACAATGTATAACTAGACTCGAAAAGCTTACTGAGCCACCTCCGAATAAAGGTGCTCGTGCATTACCGGCTCCAGATGATAAACCCGCACGCAAACGTGGTGGTCGACGTGCTCGACTAGCCAAGGCCGCAACTGCTATGACTGATTTGAGGAAAGCACAAAACAGAATGGCTTTCGGAAAGGAAGAGAAGGAAGTCGGTTATGGTACTGGTGATGGAACTAAGGGTATGGGTATGATTGGACAAGGCAACGACGGACGTATCCGAAATATTCAAATTGATCAACGTACAAAAGCCAAGCTATCAGCTAAGAACAAAGGTTGGGGTACTTCAACGCCTATGAGTGGTTCTGCCTCCTCACTTCGTGGATTTGGTCAATCGGCTGGCAATATAGATTTACGAGGTAAAGGTTTAAGAGCATCTGGTGTTGGAGGATTAAGTACTAGTACAGGAGCTAGTGCAGGAACTGCTAGTAGTTTGGCATTCACGCCGGTTCAGGGATTAGAGCTGGTAGATCCAAAGAGAGTAGCGGAAATGAAGAGAAAGAGGGCTGCCGAGGAAGATAAATGGTTTAAGGGTGGAACTTTTACTCAAGTTGGTAATGGTGGTGCTGGTGGGAGTATGGGACCACCTCCTCCGAAGAAAGTCGATTCTGGGGCTGGAAAAATGGGTCCACCTGCGTTGCCGAAGAAAGCTTGAAGAATGTGATCTGAAGTTGTAAGATGGAAACGGGAGTTCATGGGAAAAGGCATTTTATGGCGTTTTTCGGCGGATAGGCGTTTTACAATACCATAACAAGCAAAGCATTCGCATGGCTGATGACTTAGCAAGAACTAAATAATGTAAGATGTCCAAGATCATGAAATAATTCCTGAACTGATTTGAACCCATATTTTCACTTGTGGATTTTACACTATTTATTTGTTCGTTACGTGTTCAGCATCATTGTTTTATGAAATTGTTCCGGCCGGATCGAGTTTGCATCCTTAGAACTTAGTTCAATGGGGATGATTACGTCAAGTTGGTGAAGACTACTCCTGCAATACTGCTACTTCGTTTTCCCCGTCAGACTCTCGCCCTTCTACTCAATCCTCAAATGTGCACTTTATTCCGCTACATTTGTTAAGGACTATCCATGTTTTACTTCACTCCCAGCCATTTTTCTCAATTTTGCCCTTCTAAAACATGACCAGAATTATCAATCTCCGATTTGGAGCATACATTATCGACTTAAATTGCAGTGGTAAACTTTTCTCTGTGGTCTTCAGGGACAGAAAAAGCAAATAGTCGAGGTCCTCGCTCTACCACGAGGACTTCAGCGGCTATTTCAGAATCTCTTGACTCCATGCTAAGCTAGCTCTTCGTCATGCTTTATCTCTCGAACTTTCTTTGCTATTTCATCTCCTTTCTTTCTAAGCAAGGGAAATAAACTTCCACTCCGTCTTCAAACCTACCCAAATATCCTCTTTCACTGGTTCATTCACCATCTGGACTCTGTATGCGATATTGTCTACCCATTCTATGAGCATTAAATACAAACCTGATTTGTTCTGTGTATATTTCATCTTGCACGCACGAGCTACGACCATGAATTCAAGCTCATCAGGTCTATCTGCTCGCCACGATCGATTCAATGATATGGTGCCGATTTCTATGCCTCGGGTTGGATCTCTGATCTTCATTTTCTCATTCTCTAGTATAGCTGGATCGGATGGATCTACACTTATAGATTTCTCTTGATTACCAGATCGGTCAACCAAAAGACGAGCTGTGCTTGTCCAAAAGTGGAGAATGTGTGGTGCTCTTGGAAAGTCATGTTGAGGAATTGAGTTGTTGTCAGACTTCCATTGAACACTCAGTTGCTTTTCTTCTTCTGTGATTTGGTTTTCTTGGTTTTCTTTGGGTATGAGCTCGGAGGCGTTTATTCGAACATATTCGTCTGATCCCTCCACGGCGGGCTTGTACCAAACTAACTCTCGACGGACCGCATCTGCATATGTAAAGCTTACACCCGGACGACGAAATGTTTTCCCCATTTCCATGTTCCAACCAGCCCATGACCAACTTGGGAAGAGTTTTCGTCTCTGATTTGGATAATGATAAGGAAGTGTCCAAATCAAAGCTAAGTCAAAAAATGACTCCGGAATGCCGTAATGAAAACTTCCACTCAAACTCTTTTGCTTTGAAGAGAGAGCACGGTTTTGAAGATGTTGCTCTATGCCTTGAAAGGCATTTAAAACATCACTTTGATCCCCTAGTGAACGACATGTGTAACTGTGCACCAGTATATGGTAGGAGGTGAAAGCATCCATAATAGTATGGCTCTCCGAACTTATATCTCCCGATGCTTTGCTTTCGCACGTAATGCTGGGATTCAGGTTCTCGAGAATAGTATCTTCACACCATAAACACTTCTTACATTGAAAAAACACTTGTGAGCCTGTGAAGATCATCAATCTCTTTGATAAAACCATTTCCTGGAAAGTCCACCCGCGTGTTTCCCAAAATGTTTCGTACTTCCATGTTTGATAATGCTTCTGAGTCGTTATTAGATCAAGATCCTGTATCTTTGCAAAGTATTGCTTTGGTAACCTGGGTATTGGCTCAGTTCCAACTCCATTCAGGCCTGCCCATGCATTAGAGCCAGAACCAGCAACGATGGTACATAAAGCGCTTCCATACACCTTACTCATGAGAGGAATTTGGGCAGCTCTATCAAATTCGTCATCTTGTTTGATACATAAAGCATCGACCCAAAGATATCTTTCACCTAGGTCAAAAACTAGGTCAATAGAATCTCGAATCGTTTTTGGTATATTGGGGTTATTTGATAACGAATTCTTCCCATATAGCCATACGATGGTTTTATCTTCAAGTTTAAGGTGCTTATTTGTTTCCGATGGCGCACCCCAACAATAACTCAAGGCTAAATATCTGCATTCAGCTGGAGCACGAACAATACATCGACGCTTAACATCAATCAAACGAAAGGGACTTTTTGGATCTCGTATCCAGGTTTGAGGAGCACAGTCAGGCGTATGATGTGTCTCGCAGCTATCAATCCAACTTCGTAGTAGTTTGATATTCGCTCTTAATAGATCCATGTGTCGACCTAACGACAGCTGATCTATGTCCTTTTCATTTTCCTTTGCCATCAGCTGAACACTAGGACCATAAATTGGAGCATCAAATTTTCCTTCACGATGTGTCGTTTCGGTAATTAGCGTGGGCTGTAGTTGATATGTGACATGATGACCGGGAGACCTATGTAGTAAAATTCTAACCCATCCTCTTATTAATACACGGCAGATCCATCGTGTTTCCCCTTTTTGGTGTAAGCTCCGATGGTATCTAGCAGTCTTTTCATCTATTCCAAGACAATGACGTAGCAAGCGACAAAATGGGCAGTAAATTGACGTAGTCCAGAAATCTTCCAAAATAAAGGGGGGCGGGGTTATTTGAAGTTTTGGATCTAACTCTGGTGATCGAAAGAGTGTTTTGAAGTTGAGTTTTGAGCATGTAGTGCAGAGTCGATCGTAGCCATGGTATAGTTTCACGATATCCTATTTATGAGTAAATGGTAGGTACAACAAGATAAGCTATTTTGGGACATACCAACTGACGCAGAGAATTTGACATGATTGATTTCTAGTTTTATGATGTATGATCATTACATATAATCAACTATTGATGTTTTGAATTCTGATGCGAATTGTTATCTTATAAGTTAGATATGAGGCTGAAATTTGAGACAATGAACAAGACGATGTAACCTCAGCCGGAGTATTATCCTGAGTTTGGTCAAGCCACACCAATAAAACTAATGTGTATATCTTGCATGCAGTTATTCTAAAAAGATTGAAATATCTTTCTAGATTTCAAAATGACCCCAATTATCCCTTCTATTTCTTTAATTCACTCATACATTATCTTATGCTATCTCTTCAGCTCTAAGAAATGACTGCTTTATACCTATCAGCAACACCAGCCTGAAGCTGCTTAGAAGCCGGATAAGCCTCCAAGTCAAACACTCTACTTTCGGACCACTTTTCTCTATCAAAATAACTTTTATTATAAATAAAATGGTTTGAAATTTCGAATATAGATTAATTACAATATTAATAATTGAAATTTTAAATTATAATTTTAAGAAGTTTAAATTAAATATTATATAATAAAATAAAATTTTAAAGTTTAAATAATATAAAAATATTTTCATTTATATTTTTTAAAGTTTGTTATGGATTATTTTTTAGAATAATTTTATTAATTTTTTAGATTTTAATTGAAAGGTCTTTGAAAAAGATATTATTTGTTTTTAATTATCTTTTAAAAAGATTATTAAATTTTATATACCAGGGGCCTACGCCCCCTAGACCCCTGGCTTTTCGAGAAAGTCGAATGAAAATTTAAGTTTTAAAAAGTTTATAATAAATTTAAATATTGAATATATATCAGGGTGCAGATAGAATATCAGTTTGTTTTTGATAATCGAAAATTAAAATATTTTATTTAAAAATAATAATTATAATATAATTTAATATTATAATTTAATATAATTTAATATTATTATTTAATATAATTTAATATTATTATTTATTATTATTATTATTATTATTATTATTATTATTATTATTATTATTATTATTATTATTATTATTATTATTATTATTATTATTATTATTATTATTATTATTATTATTATTATTATTATTATTATTATTATTATTATTATTATTATTATTATTATTATTATTATTATTATTATTATTATTATTATTATTATTTTAAATTGAATAAGATGAATTGAATGAATAAAATTAAATTGAATGAGTTGAATGATTTCAGTAGAGTTGAATGATTTCAATAAAGTTGAATGATTTTAATTGAGTTGAGTTGAAAAAAGCGCCCAAGTCAGATTTGCCTGAGGCTGTAAGGCTTATGTCAAGCTTTTTGTTAGATTATTTACCGGGGTATTTACCGGGGTATTTTAGACCAATCAGATTGTCAGGATCGCGACTCATTTAAGCGAGTTTCCATCACCCATCAGATAAACCTCGTGTACAACAAGATTATAAAGTCGGCAAGTTGACAATTATATTTTTATATTTCATTAATATAAAAAGAATTTATATTTATAATATATTTGTTAATATTACTTATATTAATATTTTCTATAAATATTATATAATATATATCATTGTATACTATTATATAAAGAATTAATAAAATAAGATAATTATAAATTCAATGTTTCTCAACAAAACCTAATTTTCTTTTTTTATAATAATATTAAATATACTTCTCATTTAAATAACTAATTAAATACTATAACTTGTTTTCCTAAAATAATTGATGAGATTTATTAATTATTAATTCTTTTTATATTCCTCAATAGATCTTTATCTCTTGTTTCGAAGAATTCCAAGAATTCATTTTTGTAATTGATATTATCCTCAATATTATCTTTAGGATTTTGAATAACAATACTCAATTCTTTTAATTATTTAAAATTGAATTAAAATAAATCTTTTTTCAATAATTTTATTTCTTTAAAACTTTCTTTTAAGGTTTTCATTTCTTATAAACTTTATTTTTTATTTCTGAATTTCAAATATTTTCTATTCTTTATAACAAATAACTTCTTTTGAAAATAATTTTTAAATATATATTTACTTTTATTACAAACATAATATAAATTATTCTTTTTATACTTCTTCTTTTTATCAAAACTAAAATTATTTAATTTGATATAACATCGTTCAATATTATTTAATTCTATTAGATTATTAACATCATAATATCTATTTTAATAATAATATTTTTGAAACTTCTTATTTTCTTATATAATTCCTTTCTTCTTCATTTATTATTTATAAAATCAATTATCAATAAAAATAAAAATTTTAATTAATTTAAAAAGAGTAAATAATTTTAAAACTTTTGTTAATTCATCTTTATATAACGATCTGATAGAGGCAGTGGCTGCCTCTAGTTTTCGTATGGTTGGTAGTTGTAGGTTAAAGCTAATAATCACTGATTATCCATTTGAAGGTGAATATATTACTAGATCAATTGGAATATAGATAAACTAATTAATAATTAAATTGAATATGAAGCTTTTAAATTATAAAACTATTCTGATTATATATTAATCTCTTTTCTTATACTAATTATACTAGCTGACTAATATAACTAGCATTCCTATAATACTAACTCTACTAGTTGGCTAGCAGAACTAACATATCATATAATTGATCCTAAAGCCTTTCATATCCCAAAACCTTTCCTTTCCTAGAACATTTGTCCCAAAAGCTTTCTTCAAAACCATAACTCTAAAATACAATATCCTCTAAAATAATAATTCTATTACAACCAATTAAATAGAACATTTGTCTTATTCTACTATAATTGCTTAGAATACTTATCCTAGGAATCCTGGGGTCCTAGGCTTAGGTAATCAGGACCCCCGAAAGCAACGATTAAATCACACCCCCCTTGTAATCGGCATATAAATCATCGACAACAATAATACTACTATAATGAAAACTATAAATCGTGACACTTTAATAATATTTTTCAATTCTTTATAAAACTATAACTTTAAATAATTATCATTTTATATAATACACTTGATATATTATTGAAATTTAACAATATAAATTATAATTAATTTGATCTACTTAAATTATTACAATGTTTTTTCAATTATATAATCGAGATCTACTTTCCAAAATACCTTATCAAATCCTTATTAGAATAATTCATAATTAAAGAAAAAACATTATATTTCAAATTTCATCTTTTTATTAAATTAATTATCGATTATTTTGATTATTAAATCATTAAAGAATAATTCAATCCAATTAAATAAAATCACTTAATAATATTAGCCGAACCAATGATCGGATGATCACGTGATATATTAATAATATTCATATATATTATTAAATTTCATTATCATATGAAATTTCGATTATAATTCATATCAGATTGATTTATAAGAGAATAGAATGAAATGGAAGTGTATAGAATTTCTTATTCACCAGATTGAATATTATTGGTTATTATTTCCTTTTATTATATAAAATGATTTTATAAGATTCGATTCAAATTGATCTTATTATTAATCACAGAATATACTAGAATCATATTAAATACTATAAATATAAAGGTTTTCTTCAAAGAATCCTTAGAAGAAACAAGATAGAAAAAGCAATAAAATCTCTACTCTATTATTCTAACTTCAATTTATGATTATATTCGACTTTACCCTATTAAGCTTAAATACGATTAAGTCTTCCACTATTAATATAAATAATATTATTATTATAATAATAATTATTATAATAATTATTATTTATTCTCGATTAATCTCCTCCGAGTGTAACGATCTGGTTGAGGCAGCGGCTGCCTCAGGTTTTCGTATGGTTGGTAGTTGTAGATTAAGGTTAATAATCACTGATTATTTATTCGAAGATAAATATATTATTAGATCAATTGGAATATAGGTAAACTAATTGATAATTAAGTTAAATATAAAACTTTTAAATTATGAAATTATTTTGATTATATATTAATGAATATAAAGGAGCTTTATAAAACTTTAAAGCTTCAAAAAGTTTTTGAAGCTTTAAAAGCTTTCGAAGCTTTTAGGGCTCTTTATTATATAATTAAAATCAGATTATATATTTAAGCTTGTTAAAAATAAGAAGATTATATGAGATAATTATTATATAAATTTGTATATAAATTATTTTGTTTTTTGATAAGATCTAAACTTATATAGATAAATTAATTATTGTTTTTTAATATATTCTTATTTTAATTATAAATTGTAATATTATCTTTTTTTTAATTAAATATTATTTTAATTATTTATAATCTTTTAGATTTCATTTAATAATTAATATTTTTTCTTTTTTTATATTTTATTTATCTTTCTTTTTTTATTATAAACAATTCTGATTTTTTCAATAATTTAATTCAAAAAAAGAAAAAGAAATATATATATTTAATTATAATTATTGATTCTATTAATATTAAAATGATTCTTTATTTTTATTATTGATAAGAGAATCGTTGTTGTATTAAGGATCTTTTTGATAAATATTGTTTGTATTGTTTGGAATATATATAAAATTCTGTTTCATATGATATTGAGTTTCGTTTAAAAAATGATTGGGATTGTGAAATTCTTCGAGAGTATGATTGAGAGAGTTTTGATTAATAAATTGATAAATTGGATATTGAAATCGCTGAATCTTTTATTAAGATTATTTGTTTTATTAAATAGAAGATACAATTCAAAAAACGATATAATGAAATGTTATATTGTAGATTCAAATACTTTGATAAACTTAATATCTTTGAAGAAAAGGAACAAAAAGAAAAAAATAAAGAAATTCTTATGATTCTTTTATTGCTCTTTGATCAATTTAATTAATTTGATCAATTTGGTTAATTTAATCAATTTGATCAATTTGATTAATTAATTCTTGATCAATTTGATTAATTATCAATTGATCTTATCAACTTTAATAAAATTTTTATAAACAAATTTGATTTTTTCGATCTTTCTTTACAAGAAATGATGAATTCATTTTCCTTTTAAATAAATCCGGATTCAATCGATGAAATTCCTAGAACTTCTTCAAATATTTAATCTCTTTTTCAAATTCCTATATATTTTCAAAATC